GTCTGGAGGCCATGGTTGAAGACAATGACAATTTTCTTAAATAAATTTACTCTTTAGTATTCCAAGATATTTGTGTAATTTTGGTAAATATGTTAAAATGAGATGTCAGTGCTATTTTCATTTTTGCATAATTTAGACATCACACCATTATATATATATAAGGAGGTGGTTTAAAATTCTTGAATTGATACAATTACCAAAATTTGACCAAAAATGTGTAACTTTCAAATATTTTCAAAATAATTGTTTTTCTAAGTTTCAGTATTCAACTTTCCATAAAATATTTCTATGCTTTATCAAGGAGTATTTTCTTTTTGTAAATGTTGAAATCACTTTCTATTCAATTTGGATCCAGGTAGATCTTTGTTGTTTGATCAATAAAAAATAATGATAATTAGTTAATTAATTAACAAGTGAGAATATGCAAATGAGCAAGTAAAATTCATGTAGGATATGACCATCTTAAATGACAAAAGTTTGGAGAGCAATCTCCTTGACATCACACTTGTATGCAAGAGCAAGCCATGAATGGATCCTGATATATTTTGTGCAACCTTGGACTAAGAAGATCATGAAGACAAAACAGGTGAAAATACAGAAGTGTCAATATTTGGTGGGGCAAATCAGAGAAATAGATGAAGCAGCAGTTCAAGTTGTCCCTTTTGTGGTTGATGCACTTGAGACTATTTCAAAGAATTTTTCTGCTTTGCAAGACACCTTGAGGACACCTAACATAATTGGGAGTGTGCAGGTGCAACACTGCTTGGAATAGCTCATGTTCTGAGGGAAGTGATGTGTCTCAAAGCTGCAGGTAGGAGCTGAGATATAATCATCATTACCTGGCTGAAACATTTCAAAATCAGAAAGGATATCAAATAATAATTGATTCCTAGTATTACAGTTATTAATTAACTAATTATTGGCTATCACTAACAAATCTCTTGCTAAAAACTTTCTCATTAATTTTTGATTAGTAGTAATTTAGGATTAACATATTCACCTCCAGCAAGAGAAAAGAACAATGTTGTTTCTAGGCTTTTAATGAAGATAATCTTGGACTCACTATATTTCATAATCTATCACATCTTAATGCACAGAATATTTCTGTGTGTAGCTACCAAGAGAGAATGTCATTTTGAGAATATTTTTTTGAAGACATAATTCCTTTTAACAATTTATAACTTTTACAGAAATTCATTCTCTGATGTACAATCATGATAAAAGAAAATATATTTTCTATCAGAAAATGAACTCTTATTTGAAAAAAAAAAAAAAAAAAAAAAAAAAATGAATTGTTATCAAATATATCTTCACAAAAGTATTGGCAATTCTTTAATAGATTGTATAGTGTGCAATGAGAAGAACAAACTATCCAGGCTAGATCTGACCAAGAAAATTCCGGTGCATCATGCTTGTGATGGAAGATGGAGGAATTTGTGATTGTGAAAAGTGTCAGAGAGATCAACTAAGAAAGCTACAAAAGATTTGAACCAGAAACTGTGGACTAACATATATACTAGAAAAGAATCCAAAATGGAGATTTTCAGAAGCATCTGGAAAACATAGTTTTAAATTTGATAAGGAAAGCAACTTGGAAAAAAAGCTTGCATGGATTAAAAGAGATTTGGTTCCCAAAGTTAATGGTGAAAAATTAAATCGAGTTTTTCGTATTTTGAAACAACAAAAAATGACCATATTTCAGAGCATCAAAAATTTACTATTTCTTAAGATTAACCTTGAAAATGTACAAGGCTAAATATTCGATGGATAATTTCAAAAAAAAATTTGTATTTCAGTATATAATCTCAACAACTGTTTAATATAATAAAAAGTAATAATTAATTCATAAAATTCATTGGTGTTTCATTAATAGGATATGATAAAACTAGTAAATTTACTTTTAGTAATTTGCCTGGGAGTGACACAATCCATCTATGGGGGTGCTAATTCACAAGTCATGGTCCCTTCTACTATGCATTTCCATTACCCCCACTCTTTGTTAATATCAAGTCAAACTGTAAAATATTAGAAAGAGACCAAAAATGAAACTCAAATCTAACAGCTGATATTTACATAAAATTTGCACAAAATGGTTGTTTTGTTTTTGGTCAATTGTTATGTTTAATTATAGTTTCAATAAAACATTCCATCACGTATTACTGCATTTCTTAGACACAAAAACCAATAAAATTTTCTTCTTTTTATTCATATCAAAAGAAAAAGCTTCAGCAGAGCAACTATTTATTTTTCACAATCCAAAATTTGTTAGTGTTTAATTGTAGTTTCAAGAAAATACTCAAACATGCATTGTCATATTCCTTTGAAGCTGGAATTAGTTTTATTGAAATCAAACATTTTTTTTTTATTAACATAGCCACACCAAAGGACTTCACCTATAAACCAGAGATTTTGTCTTTCAAAACTTTTGCAGCACAAAATGAAGAATACAGCTTGAAAAATGGAAAATTTACATTCAGTTCCTACTGAAACTCTGGTATAAAAAAGAAATTGTAAAAGACTTTATATTCTTGTTTGAACAAGTATCTTTACACTTGACGAACAATTCTCGTCAAAACCTGACAAGTCAAAGTCACGTCTTTTCCAGAATTAATAAAATTTTCATTTTTTGCTAACTAGGCATACAAAAGAACTGGTTTACTTCACATGTTTACTTAATTGGGTTTATAAAATTTATCTGGACAAATTATGGGTGTACCAAGAATTAGATGAAAGAAAGATAGTATTTAAGTGAAATTAATGTTAATTAAAGAACACAAAAGAAAGTTGGATTCAGTTGATATGAAAATTTAGATTGAAAAGAAGAAAATCAGATTTTATAGCATTACAAGAATAATCCAGGATTTTTAGCACATTACAGTGGTTCACAGAACTGCTTAGTACTTAAGACTCATAAATAGTTAGGAGATTTAAGAATTAAAGAATGATTATAACCCACTGGTTAGTAAGCTTGACCAATTCACTTATGAACTAAGTTCAATTCTCAAGGAGTCCTCCACTGCTTTATGTCAAACTAAACTAAAATTAGGGAACAACTAGGACTTCATTTAATCATTCTCACTACCAGTGTAAGCAAATATCATATATATATATATATATATATATATATATATATATATATATATATATATATGAGTGTAAATGTCAAAACAAGAAAGAATGATATAGCATCAGGTTGAACTGGGGAGGGTTGAAACAAAAAAAAATTAATAATTTCATCCTCCATTAAAAATAAGGAAACATTTGTCATTCATTGCCCAAACAGCCACTGCTGATTTCAGTTGAAATTTGTAAAATTTTTCTATTAAAACAATTTTTCAGGAAAATAAGTTTCACAACTCTGCTAAATGTTATCTCTCGTTTTATTATTGATGGGAGTTTCCTTTCTAATCTTTTGTTTGAAGTCGTGTGTTGAATGTCAACATCTTGATTATGTCATTATTTTCTCTTCAAATTACGTGTGCTATCCATTTTAGTTGTTGCTCCTGTTGGTAGTCCTCAAGTAATGCAGTTTCTGTTATTTGGTAAAATTGTTTTTGCAATGTCAGTCCATGATCTTCAAAGTAGGATGGTCCTCTCAGAGACCTACAGGATTCTGTCTATATTTCTGTCTATTAATCATTTACATTAAAATATTTGTCCTCAGAAACTATAAATATATTATATTTTAACATTTTTGACTGTTTGGTTCCTCCGCCTTCAGGTGGTTGGAATGCTGAACTGAAATAAAAGATTCAGTTTGACATTCCAACCGCCTGAAGAAGGCCTAAGCATACAACAGCCAAAATGTTGTAATAAATATGGCGACAAAGATGAGGACAACAGTCAGAATAATGTAAATAGTGTACAGGGTTTATTCACTCAAAGCCATTTTTAATTATTGATCTGAGAAAGTAGTTAAATACAGTTAACAGTGTAGACATTGCTGAAGGAGTTGAGTACTGTGCATGATATCCATATGAAAATTTTAATCTGACAAGGCTATTTAAGAACATGACTAAAGTTCTTAGGTTAATGTTTTAGCTTTGTAGCATTTTGCAGTGTTAAGTGAAAATATCCCAAATACAATTTATTCTATGATCTATTTCCTTATCTCTAGAACCTATATTAACTAGAATAGAAACTAGTAGACAATATCTATACTAGAAGCTACATTAACTAGGAATTCTTTCCTGAGCTAACAATAATTACAATTTTCTTAAATGAAAAAAAAAAAAACTGTAATTATTGTCAGCTTATGAAAGAATTACAAGATAAATTGAAAAATATTAAAATTGAGTACAAAAAATTATTTTCCAAGAAGGGAAATTTGCTTCCATTATCAAATCCCATTGATCTTAATCATGACCGTCAATGAAGGTCGTCATAAACTGCTTTTGATCTCCATAACGTCTCAAATCAAGTACCACAATAAATAAATTTAAATCATTCAAGCAATGTAAAATATTTCAACATAAAACTCTGGAAACACTCAGTTGCAAATGCCTTATGTAAGCAAGCTTTTTATTAATTAGATGTTAATTTATAAGACATAATTAAACACATAAATTAGACAATTAATTCAGAAGATATTTGCAGCCTGAGGCAGTTTTGCAAAGTTGTCACCAGAGTGTTGAATTCAAAAGAAAAAAAATATCTAAAATGTACACAGGGTAAAAAGATGAAACCAAGAAAAGGGAGATAAGGAGGACATGAAAGAAAATGGAAAGGAAAAAAAAAAAGGAAAGGATTGAAGAAGGGGCATCAAATTGTTATACCAACCCTGGGGTGAAGGTGGGGATATTGGGCTCCATCCGCTCTCTAGAGAGAATAGACAGAAGAAAATAACTTGCATCAAACTTCAAAGACAGGAAGGAAAAGAAAAAAAAGAAAGGAAAGAATTCAGAGAAAATCTCTGGGTTTAAAAAATTGTTCCTGCAAATCAATAAATTTCATTTAGTGTAGAAAAAGATGACCAATTATGGCGGATTTAAGTTTCCTACCTCTTTAACATCGGAATAGTAGTTACTTGGATTGTCTTCATCATGGAAACCTGTGTCAGTTGATAATGTAGATGATCGATTACTGAGAAGAGAAAAAAAAATTAATTTAAATAATTTTCAATGTTGGAAGAATTCAGGTTTAGTACAATGAATCCAAACACAAACACTTTAACAGAGTCAATGTGTATCAAAATTCAAGGATAAATTTATATTAGTTTTGATAAAAATTGTTCATGAATGTAAAAATGTGTTTTCACATTTTATTTTAATCATTTTGCTCCAAGCAAGGCAATAAAGCCACTAAGATACAAGTGATTACTAAATGTGAGAGAATATGAGAAAAAGAAAACATTAAAGAGAAAAAAAAAATAAAAGAACAGGAATTAAGAATAACAACTGACATTGCATTTCAATTTTTGAAGATTAAAGTTGACAGGAAAGTAAGAAGCCAGAATAGAGTTCCACAAGCAAGAAGTGTGAGAGAAGAAACTATTAACATAGAACTTACAGTTACATGTAGCCAGCTCAACTGTAAAATGATAAGACCTTGCCACCAATCTAGTACTGTGCTTAAATTCATAAAGTTTAGTTACCAAAGAGGAAAACTTCTCAGAACAATTACCATGAAAATATTTATAGAAAAGGTACAGGAAAATTATGTTACAGCAATGGGAAAGTGATTGAAGCTGAGATATCAGGTCAGGATCAATAACATTGCAGGTTCTATTTTGTATTTTATTAAGAATTTCTAAATACATAGCAGAAGTGCCAGGCTAAATGTGGCAGCAATATTCGACACATGGACAAATGGTAAACTTATGTGTAAGATAAATTCTGTCAAAAAAATTGTTTAGCATGACACAGTTAACAAACTTTCCTAGCAGCGGACCTAGCAATTGATTCAATATAATCTTTCTATTTTTGTGTCATAAAAAAAAATGTAAGCCTGAGAATTGTAAACAGTCTTCCTGGAGGTTAATTATCAGCCATGCTGATGGAAGACAAAAAGTTTCTCAGATGAATAAAAGAGAGAATGTTTGTTTTGATTTAAAAATTTTCAAAAAAATTTTTTAGCCAGTTAACAGATTGTTGTAAATTTTTTTAGATCATAGCTAAATTTGAAAATCAAAACATTTAAATTAGCAATTCAATTTTATTTTAAAATGTCTTGATCATAAAATGTTTTTTATTGGAAAACACTCTTGACAAAAATATTTTAAGTAAATGAGATTTAAAAAAAATTATATGTGATGATCTTCCAAATTTATTCAAGTTCACATAAATAATGCGACATTGTAATATATGTATTATATAATAATTTTTTTTTTTAAAAAAACAGTAAACAAAAAAAAATAAATGTAATTTAAATGTGCCCTTAAATGGATCTGGTCTGAACAGATGTTCAGAGTTCAAACCAATTTGATAAGTGAATCCTATAGAAAAGATTTTGGAATTTAAATGCCAGAAGATTGATGAAAAAAATGACTGAATTCAAAATGAAAATAAGTCAGGACTGAAAGAAATTAGAGACTTGATCATTTGCTTTATTTAACTTCATTTTAATTTTATATATGTTCATTTGCTTGAAAGTATTGTTTCCTAGCATGATGTCATGATCTCTTGACTTTATTAAGCGAACTTATGCTATTCAATGGGTATAGGGTACATAATGTTTTTCTTATTTGGATAATTTCAATGAAAACTCCTGTTTATGATTAAATGCAAGAATTTTTTTTTTCTTTTTTTCTCTTTGGTTTTAAAAGTTTGATAAAACAGAATTTGAAAATCGAAACAATAATATCATCATAAGTGTGGGGTGAATCATTGTGAAAGTACTATTATCATTTTCCATCAACATTTGTAAAATCCAATGTCAGTTAAAGCGATGAGAATAGAATTTATTTACTAAATATCAGATTTATAAAATTTCAGTAAATTTTTTTTATTAAAAATTAAAATATTGGGAAAAAAAAGTAGCGAATGTAATTTATCTAATAATTTAACACTTTGCCGAAAGATGAAAAATATTTGAAGGGGTGAGGAGATGTTTGGTGCAAAATTTTAAGATTAAAAGACAAAAAAATCACCTGCTATTGGAATGCACAGATCCTGTGCTTGGAGTGCCTGGTCGATCCTCTGCCTGTTCATGCCGATGAGGTGGATATTTTATTAAAAGGCGTTTTAGTTGCATTTTGGAGAGCTCTAATCAGAGAATAAGAGAAAATCAAAAGTTAATATAAAAATATAACAGCAATATTTCATAAATAATGACAGTAATTGGAATTCTTCCAAATTAATTTGATGTTGTGTTTTATTTTGTACATATTTTTGATTGTTTCTAATATTCTGAAAAATCAGGGCTTTCAAAAATTTAAGGACAAATTTCAAAAAATTTCATTTATTCATGATTATTAATTTCAAAATGAAATGCAAAAAATATTCAAAGCACTTAAATTTCAATTTGTCATGGTAAGCAAATGTTGAAACCATCTGGCATCAAATAACACAAGTGTTGTCCTTTGGAGCAGTGGCACATGGATGATAAAAATTGGTTATATTTGTTATTGTCATCTTTAAAAAAGGAGTTCAACCCTTCATCATGTAGAAATATGGTTCTGTAGGAATGAACAAGAAAAACCATTCATCTGGGAAAAAAGACACAATAGTCAACAGATATCCCATATTAGCCTAAACAATGGACACCTGATGATGGCCAGAGGGTACTTGGCTGAAACACTGTCTATAACAATGTCTATATCAATAAAGATAATAATAATGTATATGTGTTGCCAAATATCAGAAAATTGGGCATTGGCAGGTGAATTTATTTCTTATTTATTAGTTGATAGTACTTGGACATAGAATAGTGAGAAAAAAGAAATTTCAAATCAAGGACAAACTTTATTTCAAATCAGTCAAATGTCGGCAGCAATGTTACCCCACTGTCTGCTTTAAAGGCAGAGAAGGAACTATGTACAAATGTCCTGCATAAAACTAAGGAATGCTTACTGGTCACTGTATAGATGAAACCATGTCAGCATGATGTATAGCTAATTGGTCACATGATTCCATGATATACACTGTTATTTGATTAAAAATGTCTGTTTTAATCAAGTCATTCTACTGAAGATGAAAGAGACATCTGTAGGGATACAGAAGGCAATTATCTTCCTCTGGTGGAAATTAAGTCACAGGATATTTATGTGATGGACTGACTTAGTGACATCATTTTCCATTCAGTGAATAACAGCAGTCAATTTCAAGAATTTGTTTACAAAGAGCCTGACCAAAATTAACTGCAAAAAAATTTAAATCTGAATTCCTCTATGGTGCTGTTTGTAAAAAAAATATTTCATTCATTTATATAGAAAAAAATGATATTTTGCAAAATCTTCAAGTGATTTTTTATTTATTTTTAAGAATCACGCTGAAAAACACCGGTTCTCGTTCGATCACCGAAGTTAAGCATCGTAGAGCCAGGTCAGTACTTAGATGGGGACCGCTTGGGAACACCTGGTACTGTAAGCCCCAAAAGTCCAACCCTTACCTCACAGTCGGTGGGGGGGTGTAAACAGGTAGTGTCAGAGTTATGCCGCCCGGAACTTCGTTCCTGGTAGGGCCACCCAAAATGCGGACAGGTCTGACACACATGCCGGCTAACAAGGGCTCTGGTGAAAATCCAAGGAGCGTCTGCATCGGTAACCGGCGGCTTCTGGTCGTTCCTGTCTCTGCGTCTGTGGGAACCCCGCGGCAAGCAAGAACGTTATCCGAGTAGGCCTGGGTACCCTACTTCTGTAATTTATCCCAAGAATCTTCTTCTCATAACAGGAAGAAGCCGGCTCAATCCGCCCAGGGTGAATGCCGCATCAGTCTTCAATTTGGGAAAACCCAAGACTCACCATTTCCCATTCATGGATTATGTCCTCATCTGGGACATAGATGAATCTGGCCTGTTTAAATCTGGAGTCCTAAACATATCTTCTCCAGACACCGGAATATCTCCATATTATATGTAAAACCTTTCCTTTTTTTCTTTCTTCTTACACTCTGCTTTGCAATGTAGATATATAAAATATAATATTCTCTCTGTGGAACACACACACACACATATACATATACATATATATGACAGCCTGACGACTGCGTCTAGCATGAAACAACCTGTCGCTTCTCAGTGTTGAATTCAATGTTCACTTATATATATATATATATATATATATATATATATATTCAAAAAAGGCAGGATGTGTGTGTGTGTGTGTGTGTGTGTCTGTGTGTGTAATGATGCACGGCTGCAATTTTTCGACAGATTTGCACCAAAATTTACATGCACATGCTCCAAGTTAAAGGCCAAGACCCAACTTTCCCCCATTGATAGTGGAAATAATTGATTTTTTCATGCTTCTACAGCAATTTTCATGTAGTTTGCGGCCATTTTCTACTGGCCAGAGTGAGAGCCTATAGCTGGCTGCCACAAATAGGCAGGACGATTCTATTGGCCAGCGTGAGAGCCAACAGCTGACTGACACGAATGTTAACTAGATGCTAGCATGCAAAAAAAAATCGATAGCTGCATTCGTCACAAGTGGGAAAAATTTAAATCTGCATGGCACTTTACTCCAATTGGCTCATTCGCTTGCTTAAACTCAACGTTGATTCTGATTCCACAGAACTGGGTTGGGTGTGAAAAAGTATTTGTTGTTAACATTCTTTTTTTTCATTCGGTTTTTCCAGTTACGAGTCCTTTTTAAAGCTGATCGTTTTGTGTTCATTTTGTTTAGTTCTTTTTTCGTAACAGATTTAAGGTTTAGTATAGAGCTTAGAAAAAATTTCAGTGTGAGATAGGCAAGAAGTAAGGCATGTAGCAACATCAGCATGGCAAAGGGCACTCCTTTAAAAAAAAAAGGAAGGGCAAAAAATATTTTAAGTCAAGTGATAGCAATTGCTGTATGAGTCGTACGATTTTTAATCGAAAACACGGGCAACGCTGCTAGTATATATATATATATATATATATATAGTTTTGTGTATGTGGTTTTATAAAAGTGTCTCTGAGAACAAAGCATGTGTGTGGGTTTCCTTTTCCTTTCAGCCATTCTGTCCTGTCCATGATGGTGTTATTATATCATGGATATAATAATGCCCATAATGAGGGGAAATAAAAAAGGGAGAATAAACCTTTCTTCCCTCACTCTCTCCTATTACACGTCCTTTGATGATCACATCAGCCATTATTCTTTTTGTTCAAGCCACACTGCAGAACATAATGTCTGTAATTGTGTACATATATATTGGAGGGTCCAATTCTTATTAAATGATGCTATGCAAGCTGTTTCATCAGAAAATCTTTCCAATTTAGTTATTCATACACAATAATTATGCAATAGTTTAATAATTGGGAAACTATTTGACATTTGTATTTTTAAAAACTGCATGTGGATTTTGGAAAAAACTACTTACATTGATTGCACGTAGAATATCTCGTTTTGTGATGCAGAGTTGGTCTTCCATTTGTTTGTGGAGAGGCTGCATTTCTTCATTAGTCTCTTTCCCGTGCAATTCCAAAGAAGCTTCTAAGGCATGCATCTGAGGAATGAATTGGAAATAAGTTATAAAAATTAAAGGATCATTTTTTTCAGTAATAAAACTAGAGAATGAAAGTTTGCAAGTCTCTTCATGGATTGATGAGAAACACTATCGTATATTCATGTAAAAGAATGAAAATTCATTTCAAACTAAAGCAAAAGGAATTCTATCCAAAGTCGTAATCTCCATTAAAATATATAAAATGATATAAATATTTGCATAAAATTCAAAGCTAAAATGGCAAGTCATTCCAATATGAAATATAAAAATGCAAGTTTGAATCTCATTTGAAATGATTTCTTTATAAATTGATTAAGACACACACTTGTGAAATTGATTGACTAGAAGAAAATTCAATAGCAGATTTATTCACAGAAATTTCTTTTGTTTCATGATAATACACTGACGTGCCAAGTCATGAGATAACAGCATAGTATCATTTGGGATTCTGAAGAAATGTTGACCCATGTAATCGCAACAGCTGTCCGCAGCTCCCCAATATTTGTAGGTACAAGATCTTAGATGTGAATAACCTCTGCACCATGTCATATAAATACTTGATTGGGCTCAATATCAGGCAAATATGGTGACCAAACCAATCATCAGAAATCTCCAGAATGCTCCTCAAACCAAATCTGGACAACTTGGACCTGAGTGAATTTTCCTGCTGGAATAACCCATGATTGTTGGGCTATATGGAGACTATGAATGGGTGCAAATGGTCTCAAAGCAGTGCAACATAGCAGTCACTGGTCAATGAAATGTTTAGGTGGTCCCAACCCATACTATGTGGAAAAAAACACACCATTATGAAACCCCTGCCAGCCTGCACAGTGCATTGTTGATAACTGGCCTCATAGGGTCTGTCGCACACCCAAACCTTACCTGAAACAACTAGAAATGTGACTGATCAGATCATACCACATTTTGCCATTTCACCAGGGTCCACTAAGCAATATCATGATTCCAGGTGAGACTCTGTATCCGGTGCCAAACAATGCATGCCAAGTGGGTCTTCTGCTTCTCTATCCCATTCCCTTCCATCTGACAATCCCAATACACATGTAATCAAGGGATGTCAAATGTCCACACAATTTAAAAAAAAAAATGGGCTGTCCCATATGGCTGTCACCCACTATTCAATAATTCACATTGCCTTGCTACAAGCAACCTAGCCAGTGTTTATACTGACTCATCATGTCGAGTACAACTGGTATAGATCTGGACATTTCTATGACATCAAGTATGATGGTGCCACTTACCATCACCTTTGAATACTGTCACTCCATGACTTCTGTCATGTCAATGAATATGAAATACAAGTTCAGACATTGGGATCTTGCACATTTATCCCAGTGATTCCTCCACTTGTAAAATCCTCTTCATTGCATTCTCCTTAATCTTATCTACCATGTTTCAATGGTGAATGTCACTTTGGGAAAAGCCAGAAGTTGGAGAAAGCCAAATCAGAACTGGTTTGGGTTGACAGACTTGCAGAAGATGTGAAGAATCTAATCACATGGTCATTGTGAATGGTTTCCAAGTAAATAAGCTTACTAGTGTTTCTCTGTTGACTGAGTAACCCCAGTTGAGAGTGTTCACATATATGCAGTAAGGTTCCCAGATTACATCAAAGCTAAAGATGTTCAAAATGGCTGGATACATTATGGCAAGCCTGTGTAAAGTAAAACACTTACGTAGAATGCTACTACAGAATATAAGTGATGTGGTTCAAAATTAACAAAAAAGATAGTGGTGGATGATATAAAAAGATTAACTCTGCCTTAGGTTTTGTCAAAATGAGGTGATGTTCCTACATGAAATCAAAGGTAATTTTAAAAGAAAGATTTAAGTTCAAATCTTATCTGAAGCTAATTCTCTGTTCATAATTTCTAATTGGAATAAGGAAAAAAAATGCAAAATTGTGAACTTAAATAAAACCTATCACGGGGTGGAAGAACTCTTGATGAATCAATGGCTAGCTAACTAGAGGTGGTCTCTTAATAAATAATCATGAAAAAAAACACTTAACTATTAATTCTGAGATTCATGGCTTTTAACAAATTAAGGTAAGGAGGAGGGACATGTGCAACAGGTGTCACCTGACTGTCATCCAGCAACTGTTAGCAAAAATGGCATTGGAGGGGGGGGTCAAATTCCTTGAGATTGATCCCTCACCTGCTAAGGGAAGACATGAGTGACTGGTTTTACAGAAGGATACTGAGAATAGCATGAACCAAACATGTGAGCAATGACAAAAGTTTTAGAGAAGATGGAAACAAAAAGAACACTTATACTTAACACCAGGAAGAGATAGTTGAAATTTCTAGGGCACATAATGAGGAAAGAGGACTTGGAAAATTTAATACTCAAAAGTCAGATTGAAAGCAAGAGGGACAGAAGAAAACAATGTATAACCTACCTTGTGAGCTTGAGTTAATGGAGGGTGGAGCAAGTTTTAGGAGAGATAACAAAAAGATAAATTTTATTAAGAGCTACAAAGGACAGGAATTTGTGGAGAGCCATGATCACCAATGCCTTGAAAGGGATACTGCACATATAGGATTGTGCTGAAGATTACTCGATGCAAAATGTAGATATATTAAAATTGATGATAAAAATACAATCAAGACAGATTTTTCTAAGTCCTTTAGTTTCGACATGAGTTTTTGTTTTTTGGTTCTTCACTGTCAGGTAATTGGCAATGAGCATGCTAGCAAAAGAATAAACAGAAGAATTGAATTTTCCATATTTAACACTAAATTTCATTCAACTCAAGACTTTGTCAATTACTCTTGACTAGTGTGGATCTGCTCTAATACATGGACCTTACATTCTCCTTCTGCAGTGGATGAGAGACTGTCCCCATTCTTTCTGGGAGTGGTTGTTTATATAACTGTAATATAGCAACAACTAGAGGCTTATGGAGATTTATTTGACTAATTCAACTTTATAATGGATGGTTATAAGTGAGAGGGGAAATGGGATGTACTTATTTTAGTACCACAATAACCATGTGTATGACAAATCATTCCTTCACCTGCAAACCATATGTAGGTGTGAGGTCACATGCTTTCCCATTTGATAGCTGGGAGTAACACCAAGCCAACCCATTGGTGCAACTGGCTTCCCTGATGGCCTCATGCAACACCGTGTGTAAATGTCTATTCTGGATCATGCTATATAATGACTATTACTGACTAGGTACTAAAATAAATTTTTTCATTTTCTACAAATTTATTTTCTAGAAACTAAATTTCATCAAATCTCACAAAAACATCAAAAATCAAGTTGATCCAAACTCTCGGACAGGAGTAGAAAATTCACATTCCTAGTTTGTTTTTTCCTATTTCAGAAATACAACAATACAATGTAATGAATGAAATAAGAGGCTATAGCACTTCCATCATTCAGTGACAATAAATATTGCTTCAATCTCTATGATGAGAAGTTAAGCAATGAGCTTCTCTGTAAATAATAGGAATGGAAAAAAAAAACAAAGGAAATTAAGAATTCAAGAAAAAATAGTTACTTGTTCCATCATCACATTCTTTAACTCTTCCAGGAAATGAAGTTCACTGGAATATTTTGAAGAATACTCGGGGCTGAAAAATGCCTGCAAAGAAACAAAATGGTAAAAAGTATTTTCTTTTTCAAAATTTTATATAAAAATGATTTTTACAAAATTTCATTCAAATTACATATTTTAGATTTAAGATATTTACAGAATTGATCAACATTGAAAATTTATTCATAGTTGCCACTTGTGTTTATTTGTTTATTAAAAATCATATCTGCATGTCATAAAGTGCTTTCTTAAGTGAAAAGGGTATATAATACAAATGTGGGAAAATTGTATCAACCAAAATCATCAGGTGTGTGAAAATGTTCCCAGCACTTTCTTCTTTGAAAACTGGACACTGAATATACAGTACAATCCATTTTTTTCTAATAAAAAAATATTGGAAACTTTTGTACACAACAAAAAGTTTTGGAACACAGAAAAATGACCAATAATAAATAAAGCATTGTATTAACATAAGTAACTTTAATGCTGACCATTTTCAAAGACATTCTTCTTAACCAAAATAAATCAAATTTTACAACACATAATTTAATCATTCTACAGAGTTTTTATCCACTAAGCCATGTGTCAACAATGGCCCAGTAGATAAAAGTGTTGGTTGAGCAGTCCAAAGAGTGACTTGACCCAAAAAGTTTGTGAGTTCAATACCTGGCCACAGTAGAGGGAAAAAAACTTGGAGAGTTGAGTTAAAGGGAATTAACTGAAACAGATATCCAAAAAGGCATGGCATGTGGAAGTAGAACAATCTAAACCTATGGACTAAAAGGTTTTGGTTCGAAATTCCAACAAAGAAGGCCAGAGTGTACAATGGCCAAAACATTATGAATATGGCAATAAAGATGAGGACAGCAGCCCAAATGCTCTAAATAGTGTAAGCTGTACTTTTATATTTGAGAAAATTCTTTTGATTGTTCAGGTTCTATGGTAAACATTTAAATAAAGAAATAAAAAAATGTCTCAATGTTTTCCAGAAATCAGGCACCATGAAGAATAGAAACTTAATTCTGAAACTTGAAAATCATGACCATTACCTCTTGGTATTTGGCAACTCCTCCATTCACACAGGCACTGATCATTCCATTCAATTTTAGAGAAAGGAATGGAATTTCAGTCTTGGGACTGATTCGACACTTTTCTGTCTGTATAATTAAATCTTTAGTAGCTTGCTTCATCATATCAATGGCCACTTCAATTGGAGTCAAGAACTGTACATTAACATTGTCCACTTCATACCAACGAAGAATTCCAGGCAGCTTGTGTGTGGTTTTCAAAATGGATCGCTCTATACACAAAGTCTACAAAGAAAGAAAAAAGAATTGAAATCATGCTACAAAGTTTTTTGTTTTTTTTTAAGTTAAAAAGTTGTAGAGTAATTGGTCATGGTTAAATGTAATTGGCAGAAATGCCCAACAAACAATTAACAAGGTTTGCAATAAACAATAACATGAGAAAGAAAAGAACAAGGCAAAATATAATATTAAGCAAGCAAACAATATATGTAAGGCAAAGCTACAGTAATAAGGCAAAAAGTTCAGAAACTAAGAATGGTGTTAACATACAATAGGGGATACAGATAAGTGATTGCAGTGTTTTGACTTCCAGACAAGAAAAACTGGAACAGAGTCTGATGAGACTGAGAAGTGGCCTATCTTATTGGTTAGGAAGAAATTTCATGCATCTGTGTGTTTGTCTATAAATTTGAGGAGTGGGGATGTTTTTGCAGTCATTCCAAACAGGATTAGAAAAAACATAAGTTATGAAACTTAATTAAATAATTTTATAAAATAAATGTCATCATAAACCTCAATTAACAAATCTCTTAATCGTTGAATAATTTTCCTTAATAGAAAATATCTTAGTTTGACAAGCCTAGAACTTTGTAAAACTTTTTTTTAATTGAATATCTTGAGCACTTCCAATAAGACAGGATTTGAACAGTATCAAATTATTTTCTTTCTCAGTTTTCATCTAACATTCTTTACTTGCTTAAAGGCTACCAAAGGGAGTCATTAAGTTCACTGTCAGGTCACTTGCTGTTTGTAGAATTTATAATTATCTATAAATGAAAAATAAGGGGAGACTACTCTGTAATTAGAATTTAAATTTTATTTTGATATAAAATATGAACAAAATATGGTTATCATTATTTTATGAAGGAATTAGAAATCTTTTTCTTTTTCACATGTTGATAGGATTTTCTTTCCATGACCTGTAAAAAAAATCCAAACATACAAAAATTACATTTTTTATTGGGGAGAGAATGAATGGTGACCTCACCCAACACACACTCACACATTATTAGAGTGGTAAATTGGTGTAGAAATTGCTTTATCCTTCATGTTACAGCATTTTAAGGACATTGCTCTAATAAACATCTTGCTATGATGTGATATTTTTGCTGTGTTACAGTAGGAAAGTATCAAACAGAAAATGGACCATAATAAAACAGATTATGAAAGTGTTTAATTTAGATACAAACGTACAATTTGGGGGACAAAAAGGCGTGCATGTGCATTATATGCACACACACATTAATGTTTAGGAATGTATTTTTCATTTATTAATCTGACATATCTTCAGTTTATTTGTTTAAATGTTATTTTTTAATGGATACTCATATTTGAGTAGATGCTCTGTTTTTATTTCTTTATTAAACAGTATATTTATTTATTTCCATCTAACCCGGCCTAAATATCTTGAGAAATCTTGTTAGAAAAATGTGCTCCCTTCAGTAGGATTCAAGCCTGTGTCTCCTACGGGAAACCATCATTAGATCTGATGTGCCTTGACCTCTCACCCTACCGGTGAGTGCAAATATGCAAAGATGGGGCGGGGGAAACTAAAACTGAAGGGCATTTACTGAAAGGGCCGCTGTGTAATTAAGAAAATTTGACAAAATTAATATTGACTACAGGTTACAAATCAAATATAAACATATAAAAAATAAATATAACGATTATCTAATCTAGCAAGGACCTATATTTTTATGTTCAAAAACACATGCGTATACACACATACACAATAACATATACACATACATACAGGCATGTACCCACATACACACACACACACATACCCATCTCTCTCCCCCACCTCCTTTTCTTTTCCTCTCCCTCCCTCTTCTTCTGATCTTTAAGATTAGATTGTCTATTGTGTGTGTATGTCACCACAAAATGTATCCTTTCTGGTTACATCTTTAATGTATTAGACATCCAACAACATTCATATTTCTCTCACTTAAACCGTCTTTGACTCGCCTAAAACTTCTCTGTTAAGTTTTAATCTCCCACCTTCTCTTGTCTGTTACCCCTCTCTTTAGCTCTAACATTCGTCCCACACTCTCATACTTACACTCTCTCTAAATTCTATTTTTATTTCCAGAGTTGTTTTTTCTGTTTTCTTTTTGAATTTGTAGGTCTGATGAATTGGATCGTATTTACGATTCCAATGGAATAAATTATGACCATGGAATATTAGTGTTTAAGCCTTTTTATTATATCCTTACTCTGTCCTGGACATTGAGTTCTACCTGGATTCTACCTGGATTCTATCTTCTTAGAATTTTTTTATTCAAAAAATATATATGTATGTGCATGCATCTATGTATATATATTTATATATTTTGCATATGTATGTGCATATTTACCACTAATATATATATATATATATATATAGTGATCAAAACCACCAAGAGGAGGATACTAGTTTAAGTAGTTCATGAAAGAATAAAACAAGTATGATTTCTATTTTAGAATTTGAATGAAAATATTATTACTGATGTTGAAAATTTTGACAAACAAAGAGAATTTGGCACTACCTTGAATTCATTGTTTTTGTCGCGATCTCCTCGATGATATGGTCGATCAAATAAGAACGTATCAACTTCATTAACTTGGTAGAAGAATTTAATTTCTCGAGGAACATTGGAATTGTCCAATTCCACTCTTTGGTTTTCCACTGGCTTCACACAGCTGATTTGAATGTCTAGAGTTAACAATGAGTTAAGAAAAACAAGAAATATCAAACACTGACATTGCAACAAATAAATGAACTGAAAAGGCATGAATTGAGGCAAAAAGAACAAACACTTATTATTATTATTATTATTATTAGCTGAATAGCTGGCAAAAATGGTGAGATTGTGTATGGATCAGTATTTTTGCTTGGAATCAGAGTTACTTTGTTTTCAGACTGGGATCAAGGTACAGAATCAGTTTCATTTCATCCATATTCTGTTTTTTTGGGGTCCAATTTTAAACATGGTAAAAAATATGGTCTTGGGGATTTCAACTCTCGAGCAATACCTCCCCATTTCACTACAATGTGAGGGTTGGAGTATTCTGACATTGGTCTAAAGGACTGGGAAATTTTTGTGCTTAACTCACTTCAATATACGATCCCCTATGGAGAAAGATACCTTATTTAATATCGTCTGCTTCACTTTTATTGCAACGTATTATATTGCATTAAAAAAGAAAAAGAAAAAGAAAAAAAAAGGCAAAAAATACACATAAAAATTCAGTTTGGCCATTATAAATGACATCACCTTGAGTGACTTGAAATTGGTTCCAGCAAGCAAGGAAATGCCAAAATTCGCCAAAAACAGTTACATAAGCAGACACCCCTCCCCCACCTCAAATCCTTGAAAACGAATGTAGCAACATTCAAAAGTACTCAGTTACAAAAAATAAAAATGAACTTTGGTAAGTTTTGGTTTATAAAAACTAATTCAGCAATTTTAAAAAGTTAGTAAAACATTGGATAGACAGAACTTGTCAATATTATTCACCAAAGACGTTTGAAAAATGTGTGTGTGTGAGCAAAGGTTTTAATATATTTTGCATTAAACATTTTCTCTTCCATTATATATCTCATGTAAGACAATCTTCTTTGTCTACTTAAATCATAAATTAATCTTTTTTTTTTGACAGAAATTCTTTTTTTATTATTCCTAAGCGAGTATGGTAACAAGCCTCACCTAACTGGTACTTTGAATCTATAAAAGTATATAGGATAAGAAATGAGCATTGGTTTTATTTTTGCATGGTGGATGAGGTAATTACATATTTTCTATTAATACCAGGAATCAGTGTTCAAATCCAGGTAAAAGATTTCATACACTGATTTTCAAGGCAAGCAATCTTTCCTAATTTTGGAAGATTAGTGTAACACAGACTTTCTCCCTGTTGCTGACCTTGTGGCAGACTAAACTAAGTCTAGTATCTATACACTGGATAAGGGTTTTTTTGCCAGAGATTTCTATTCAGATAGATTAGAAATTATATTTTTCTTACATCTAATTTCGTAACTGATATGACATATTTCAGTTAATCAAGAAAAACAAAATATGTCAAAGGTCAAAAGTAAAATGTCACAGGAAGCATTACTGAGAAAAAGATACATTGTTGTTCTCCTTGTTTCATTAAGTCATCAGGTGGGTTATTATGATTCAGAATTGTAGCCAGCGGATATTCAGTGGTCAAGTGGGTCATGATGGTCTGCAGTTTTAAGCACTCATCACCACGATAAACAAATACCTTATTCTGAAAATGGAATACCACAAACTTACACAAGAGACACATTAACATTACAAAAGAAATTCAAGTTTCTAAATGTTTCATGAATCAAAACAAAACATCTAAAAATAAATTTTGTGGTGTAATAAAATTTTCTGAACACTTTGAATTGATACAAATCTATTTTCATGAAGAAACTTTAAAACAATTAAAAACACTTTACACTTTCAAATTCATTAATATTTTAAAATAAATTCATATGTGAAAACTGCTACAAAAATTAGAGAAGTTCAAAGAACCAGTTTCTGGATTGTTGGAAAATGTTTTTTTTTTTTCCTTTGCTTATGAATTTCAACAACTTTTTTTTTTAATCAAATTTGCTGTTTTCTGAAAGCAGGTTAGCATGAATTGCCCATGTAAACCTAAAAAATGCTGAAAAAGATTTTTAAACAATGTTATATTTTTAGCTTATTTAATTTTATTTACACTCATTTTGCATAAGAAAATCTGGAAATATGGCCACTCTTCGTTTAACAATTGGGTTCTGCCCAACAATTTAGTAACTAGACAAGTTGGTTGCTATGTGAGAAGTTGTACTTGACTGCTATTTCAGGCATGCTATACAAGTAACATGTTTGTGTCAACCAGCTTCAGATATCTTTAATGTCCCTTTCAATGTTTATACAGTCGTGTATTGAGCAGTTAAGGTAATAAACAAATTAAAAAAACAGCTCCATATTCAATAATACATTACTTTGGTTTGCATACAATAAATACTGTACAAGTAAAATTTTATTTTTCAATTTATTCATTTTGAAACAATCAAAGTTTATATACAGTGCACAATACTAATTGAGTGGATTTCTGTTTGTAAGTCTGGGAGGAGGGAAGGGTGTTAAAATTGTTAAGTAAGGAGCAGCTATAGTTGAAGCATGATGATAATCAAAATTATTTGTTATTTATTTTTTTCTTATTAATTCCAAAGTTAAAAACATTTATGGATAAAATGGAAGAAAGAACCAATTCCTAAAAATCACTAGACAAGCAAATAATTCTTTGTAATAAGTTTCATTTTCTAAAAGGTCTTCATCAAACTTTATCATTCAATTACTCAACATTGTTCTGGTATATAGAAATTTATATATCATTCTCTGATAAAGTATATAACCTAAATTTATAAACAATAAAATTGTATGACCATTTTAATTACTGTTCAATTGATGTTATCCAAAAAATTAAACATTTTGAGAAAGAATTAAAGCTGAAAATCAAACATATTTCATTAAAAAAACAAAAAGAATTTCATTTAACCTGAATGAATATTTTATAAACAGTTAATTCTATAAAGTGTTTATTTTCTACTACATTGGAGGTAGTGGCTGTAGCTTAGTATGAAGGAGTGCTGAAAAGTTATCAGCTCAACCCACTTCCCAAAATCTGACCAAATTATCTTTTTAATCCTTTGTCAGGCTGAGAACTTTTCAGTAGACCTTTATATGATAATAATGATAATACAGACTCTGCAAGAATAGTCTATAAATACATAACAAACAGTAGAGAATTCGCTGAGAAGTGAAATAATTTGAGATTAAATAAAATCAGAAATTTAAACTCTGCAAAATATTCAAAGTCGCTCACCTGCACAAATTTAGGAAAACTGTTGCCATAATATGCAACTCGATAATAACAAGGATCTTGTCTTAAAAATGGCCCTTCAAGGATATTTTCAAAGAATTTTGCTTCTTTTTGCTGAAAAAAAAAAAAAAAAAGAGTGAAAACAGTAGAAATTTTAAAACTGTATTTTGGGGCCAAAACTTCATATCAACCATTAACCTGGATAATAATTTGACTAAATTGAGAAAAAAAGTAGTGTCTTTAAACACAAGGAAATACAGGTACTATCAACACAGTCTTCTTGAACTGTGAGATCTTTTTCTTTTGATTCCTAATTCAGTCAAATGGTAAGAGTAATTGTAATATTAGCTGTTTCTTTATAAGAAAACATTCAGCACTCATTGACTTAGCACTCAGTGCTACTCCTAATTGCTGTTTTGTTTTGATGAGAGACAGACATGTTGCTTCAACCATTGCTGACAAAATTTTTGTGGATTACATGAAGGACTTAATCACTGAAATTTTGTTAAGTTTTTGAGTTTGCTTTATTTGTATTTTCTTGATTGTTTGAATTTTTCTTTTCAGTTTTTATTTTTTTTTTCCCCATCACAAGGCTGTCAGCCAAATTTTTATTTTCTTTTTTCTTTTTGTAGCACCAGACTACCGTTTTGTTTTTTTTGTTATTCCATTTTCTGTTTAAATTTTGGGTTTTATTTTTTCAGCATTTCTATTCCTATTTTTTTTCAGTTATAATTCTTTTGCATGTCTCCATTTTGGCTTAGGGCGAACCTTTATTTTCTTTAGAAGTTCTTTTTACACTTATTTCTATTTTATCTTCACTTTCCCTTTCAGTCTCCTAAGCAGACTCTACTGATAAAAAATTACATCTAAACCAGGGACTTATGTTGAAAAAGAATCAGATACCTGTCTATATTTTTGAGATGAGGTATTGTTGTTATTTACATTGTTTGAACTGTTGTGTCCTCATTTTTATTGCCATATTCACTATGTTTCGGCCATTGTATGCTCCAGCATTCTTCAGGTGATTGGAATTTTGAACTGAACCCTTTATTTCATCCACTGGTAGATTGTTCCATTTCCACTTGCCATGCCTCTTCATGATGTCTCAGTTATCTCACTTTAAGTCAACTTCCCAAGTAGCCAGGTATTGAACTCACAACTCTGTGTCAAGTCACTGAATCCAACCAATGTTTTTCTCCACTGGGCCTCAAGGACACCATGATCAAATCACTAATGTCTCTGGGGTTTAAGCCCAAAGAAATCATTAAGGACATGGGCTTTTTCATGTGGGATATACTGCTACCCATGCTGCTGCATGGCAGTAATCAGTAAGGATCTGATTACAATGGACCTCATCATATGAGAAAATATGAGAGAAAATGTAAGACCAATGTAGTATATTTCAAGGTCCTTTCATAAGTTAAAGGCAAATCTGGACCTATGTGGAATAACATTACTTAATGCTCCCACCTTGGTCAGTTACTCTGCTGATGCCAATAATTAGACTGTGATTGTAATGAGGAGTACTGAGATTGCTGAAGTCATCAAAGAAACCAGAGGTTACAAGACTGTAATGGGACAAAATCAATTGGCATGATGAGTGTTGGTTTGTGGTTGAGCATATGGAAGGAAGTTTCTCTTCCTGGACCTTTCCTCTGGATGGATGGGCCTTGCAAAATACATGGCATCTGGTTTGGCTCCAACTTCCAGGTCAGAGGTTCAGGAGAAGGCAGAGAACAGTTTGCTTGTGTTTCTGGAGGAATCCTTCCTTAAAGAGGAGAGCAGAAGTTTGTACCTTGCACATCTACCCTATCCTTCTTTATCCACTCGCCATGCTTCCAACCTTATCTACCAAACTACTTAGTTTAGTTGGCATTTTGTTTGTCCTTCCATCTGGAGGCAGTCTGGATATGTCTAGCATTTACGTTCTTCAACATACACTATACATCACTTTCCTAAAACAGATGTATGCATAATCTGATGAAAATGGCAAATTCTAAAAAGAAGATGCCCATAAAGTCTCCCTCACTTTAAGGAGTGTGCTGTTTATCCTAAGATGAGTGCTCCTTTTATCACAAATGCTGAAACATGTTGAGGTTTTTCTAATGAGCACATGATATAATGCCTTCCAGAACGATGGCTAGACATCAGCAAAGTGTCCTACTTCCATTGTGTAAGTTGATTGAATGCTTCATGGTTCACATGCTGCATGGAAAGTTCTTCATCCTTAAAGTTCATTCTGTCTGTAACAATATGGTACTACCATTGAATGTTACAGGTCTTTTTTGTTTACTGGGAATTATGCAAATCATGGTGTGAATGATGCAACAGAAGGAATTCCATGGACATAAGAAATTTACCTTATCTCAACTGATCATGTCCTGCATAGAATGGAAAGTAAATGCATGTCTTCATTAGAATTTGGTGAAAGGCGGGTGAGAGTTTCACAACTTAGCGAAAGGAGCCAATTTGAAGTGGCATATGAACGTTGATTTGTCATCAGAATTTTGATCCTTTCAGTTGAATAATGGTAACTCATTCCTAATAAGGTAGCTAAGTGTTTTTCATTTAATTTCTTCCCTTAAGTTAACTAAGGTATATATACTCATCACCCACCCTTATTTTTGTCCCCTCTTTCTTTAGTTTAATTCTCCCTCCCCTGTTAGGTGACAGAGATTTCAGTTTAGTGGAATCGGGATACATTTTGCTTTTTCATTAAATTTTTAAAATTTAAATTTTTTTGATCTCCCACTCTAACAAATCCTACATATTGGGATGAGTTATGACTTCATAGAAAAATTACAGTATTATGGTGATTGTAGTAAGAATGGTAAGTAAAAATGTGGTATTTTGGTGTAACAAATATTAACAAATGATTGGTTCATTGATTGTATCTAGGTTTAGTCAAATGTAAGACAGAAGAAAAACCAACCCTCCCATCCCAATTTTGACCCTTTGCCATATTTTCTGTATCTTGACAGAAATAAATATTATAACCAGTGCTACTCAAGTTACACTTTTCTTCATTCCCTGACCAACAGCTGGAATCAAAATGTAGTATCTGTTCTCTTCATCTCTAATGGTAATATTTTCCATTTCCTTATAAGGAAACATTTAGCATTCATTATCTGTGCTGCCAGTGCTACTGTTGATTGAAATTTATAAAACTAAAGCAATTTTTCAGAAACATGGCTTTCTCAAGTCCATTAGCTATTATTACTCTTTCCATTACTGATGGAGGTTTTCCTCTCCAATATTATTGTCCATAGGTATGCTACAACAGAAGTGATTTCTGTTATTTGATATACAGTTTGAAGAGGGATGGTCCTTGCGAGAACCTACAGGTTTCATTTATTGAAAGTCATTTTTAACCATTAATCTGAGAAAGCAATTATACACAGTTGACCGTTTAGATGTTTCTGAATGAGATAACATCCATATGAAAATCTTTAAGGCTAACAAGGCTATTTAAGAACTATGCAAATCAAAGTGGTAATAAAATGAAAAGATCTTTCAGGTTTATCAAAACCAAAAGATTTTAAATGAATTTTGTGATTATTATTTTTTCTGTAATAACCAATGAAATTGAAAAACTCACCAGAATTTTACTCAGTTCTTGGTAGTTATAAAGTTTTGATTCATACAAAGAGGCCAGCTCTTTGCAAAGTGGGATACCATATTCCCAGACCTAAAAATAAAGGAATAAACAAAACTGAATGATTTTGAAAGAGAATGACTACAAATTAAATCTTTTGATACACAGAATATTTATATCAGTAATGTTAGGTGACAACATTGAATTCATGGAAATTATTGCAAGTAAAAAAAAAAAAACAATAAAATAAGCTCACACAGAACTTTTTAAAATAATAAATAAATGATTATTTCAATAATAATTAATACATAGATTATTTGTATAATGAAATAATTATTAATTTTATAGTGTTCGCTATTATTGCCTGCTTGCATCAGCATCACCAAACTTGAAATTTTGGACTGTATGAATTTGCCCAGCATTGAATCAATGCTCATTAAAGCACACGTTCAATGGACTGGCCATTATCATTAGCATGGAGCAAAATTGCATCCTCTGGCACCTGTTGTATAGAGAGTTTTTATGTAGAAGAAGACATCAAAGTTGACCAAAGAACAGCACAAAGACTCAATCCAAACTAATTTCCACTGGTGCAAGATCAAGAACTGGAGGAGATTGCTGCCAACTGATTATAGTGGTGTGCCATTGTCCACCAAGCCTCTGCAAACTTTAAAGAAAGCTTGCATCAAAAACTCACTACTCAAAGAGAACAGGACGACCATGCAACTTTGGCAGTGATCACCACACCAACTTCCAGTGTGTTCTCACTGCTGCAAACTGTGGATCCACCAATGAATTGAAAAATAAAGTTTTCTTCAAACCCAAAGGACAACCATTATTATTATTATTAAAAATTATTATTATTATAATTATTAAAAATTATTATTATTATAATTATTAAAAATTATTATTATTATAATTATTAAAAATTATTATTATTATAATTATTAAAAATTATTATTATTATAATTATTAAAAATTATTTGAGGCAAACAACATTTACCAACAAATAATCAAATTACATGCAAAGATAACAAAATATGAAGATTAACCCTTCGAACCATGACTCCCTATATATGTATACAGTTTCAAACAGTGGCCAATATACTGACCACTCAGGTTCAAAGGATGAAGAATAAAAAAAACTGTTTTTAGTTCAAGATGAAGAATTTTTACAATTTCACATTCTGATCATCTGAATAATTTATGGAATAATATTTAGAATGGATTTTAATTTGTATAACTCACCTTGCCCCTGTCAAAACAGTCAATAATTTCTAAGTAAAGTTTCTCTTTGCGTTCCCATTCCTGTTGAGCATGATACCTCATCTCTGATGCCAATATAGAATCATTCCAATCCAAAAGTTCAGAATAAAGGCGAAGAGTGAGACCAGCTTCCACATAGCTGTCTGTTGATAAATGCAACTCATATAATTTATTGATATACCGAATATACATTTCTTCCTTCTTGATTCCAGTGTGGTAAAAATTCTGAAAGTCAATGCAAATTTCACTTAAAAATCACAATTGAAAAATTATATTCACTATACCATCAAAATTTTACTTTTGATCTTTTTTTAAAATACTAAATTGTCTTAAATTTTAATTTTTTAGAATTTGTGGAGATATTTTCTTCTCCAAGGTGCAACATTGTAAGTCTGTTGGTACTCTATCAATATTTCCATGGCAAATGTTCAAAAGAGCACCACTTGTTAATTCTGCCATTTCAGACTTTTACTACTTTCACAGAATCAAATCGCCCTTACTTCCTCTGTGCTTCAAATTTAAGAACAAAGTTCCACCCAGACAGCTTCCCTCCCTCTTCCCCAAGAACTGCTACTTTATGGAACTGACTCCTGCATGGGTGCTTTAATCTTGGCCTCTCCACGTCAAGGTTCAAATGTTATCTATCCTCATAATCTCCACTTATTACCACATTCTCTTCCACTCATTTCACACACCTCACTCATCATTACACTTTCAACTCTAACCCTCTACATTGAACGGCTCTCGAGCCTTGTATTAGGTGATATTTATTAAAAGAAAGATATTATACATGCTGATTGGTTTTGCAGCTTACTTACCAGAATATTGTAAGTACATTGCATCCGTTTGTCTCGATTCTCTTCTTTATCAATAAATTTCCTGAACAAAAAGAAAAAATCCTTTTTATCCTCAAGATAAAAAAAAATTGAGATTTATTCGACTAGAAGTAGAACTTTTATAAGGGAGTCTAGGGGAAAGGGAAGTGGGTAATACTGCTTGGCATAATTTATTTCAACTTGGACTCTTTGTTGTTGACTCCTATCCATAATACCAGATACACTGGTTGAAATATTGATGTGCATTTTTTTTTGTATTTCAATTGCAGTTGGTGCAACATAATTTTCCTAACAAGAATTATTAATGTGCACATCTCAAATCAATTTCAACTTTATTAAACTTCAGAATAATGATTTCACATCAACAAAATTAACCTCAAATAAAAAAAAAAAAAGAAAAAAAAAAGAAGGCTATTATAGAATTTATTTCATTAAAAACAATGTTTACTTTATAATAGATCACTGAACATTTTAAGGTTTTGAAAGAAAATAAATTTGCACTTTGATTCCAGTCAGCCACAGCTAAAATCAAAAAAATGATTTTCAACTTTAATACAGTGACAGCAAATAAAAACAAATGATTTGTGTATTTTATAATTTTTCAAGTTTTTTCCCTAAGAATTTAAAAAAGAAATACTGCCATTCCATAATAAGCAACCAAATTTATTATTTTAGAAAGAGTGGAATTGGTCACTTATTGTGGAACGGTGACAGTATTAAAATGTTTGGTTTTCCTCAAAGACTTAATTGACAAAAAAGAAAATCATTTGTCTAAATAGCTAAGGGTCATGAGAGTTAATTGTCTGCCTTTCTTCTGGGGAAGGGAAAAATGACTGGTTGCAGCAGAGACCTGAAGAAGGTCAACAAACACACCAGTCAAAATACTGTGATAAAAACAAAGCAACAAAGATTTGGATGCTAATCTAAATACTTAATAGAATAATGGAAAGACTGCATATCAAAACCAATGTTACAAGGACTTCATTTGCTTTCAGTAAAAGAAGTTCTCAAATGATTTTTCTTCTAATAAAAAATAAACAAATTAAAGACAACAAAGAGTTAGAAAAAGAAATTGAAACTGAAATAAATTGATAAGATGAGGAATTAGAGGAAAATAACTGATTTATATTCTAGATCAGCAACCCAAAAAAAAGTAAATAAAATCAAGGAAAAAAAGATGCATATAAGGTCTAAAACTATGCATGGCATCTCCATTGCAAGATCACTTGCTAAAGGTTAGATGTGGGGGGAGGAGAAAAGCATTTTACACTTGCTCACACAGTCAGATTTAGGAAGAAGAAAATGGTGAGGGGGAGGGGTATTTAAGACATTCTCTTCCTCACTGTTTCTGTCTGAAAGTAGTCATATATATTGTCAGAGGGATCAGTTATTAAATAGTTACAAGGAGACCAACTTGTCCAATTATAACAAATTTCCTGTCATATTAATCTTTGTTGTTTTTTTAACAAGTTTACTTACAAATGTGAAGCAAAAGGAATTAAGCTAAAGATAGAGTAGAGGTCAGACAAAGTGGGGGGAGGGTCAAGAGAATTTTAACAGTCATTCAGGATTGCGAATTTATACACAATGAATTTTGGGAAAAGATGGCAAATTCATTTCAAAGAATATTCACAATAGTGCAATTAGATCAATCCTCACTAAGTACTCCATTAAAATGACATTATGTCAGACTAAAGCTTAATAAGCATCCATAAACAAGAGATAAATTTTGATATATTTTTTAAACAGTTCAGAGTGTTTCTTTTAGAATACAAATATTTTTATTGTTTTGAAAGATTTCAAATTAATTAATTTTTCAATTAAATTTATTCCTTGATATAAATGCATGTTTAAGTTAACAAACTTGTCTCAAACGCTACTGACAGTGATTTCACTGGGTTACTCACAATTTTAATTTTAAAGCCAATTTGGAAACATTCAGTAAATCCCTAGAAATTTTGTCAGAGAACAACAGTTAGTAAATTACTTTCATAGGTATAGGAAGTGAATTCAGTCATCACTAGTGTAGCCTTGAGCCAAACTAGCCAAAATAGAAATAGTTTTGTTGTAAATAACATTGTTCAAGTTCAATAAATAAAATCAATTTTTTAAATCTGCTTTGCTTAAAGAATTTAATTTATAAAAGCTGAAGACTTATTTATCAATTATCAAGCCAAGTCCTTTTTTTTCCTTTTGACTTCATTGGTTGGATTAGGAGCATAGAATTCCATCTTTGGAATTGCATGATAAATTCAGACTTCACTTTTACTTTAAATCTATCCTGATATGAATTTGATTACAACAAACTTATAACCTTTATTTATTTTAAGGTCTATGTATCCTGCATTGTTTCACTACCAATTTAGTAAAAACAGGGGATAAACTGAAATCCCCTGTTTTTATTAGTATTGAAACAATGTGGAATACATAAACCTTAAAATAAATGAATAAAGAAAGACAGAAACCGAGTTAAAAAGGAGTGAAAGGCAGTATAAAGACCTTGCTTAATCGACAACACTCTTTATAGCTGATTCACTTAAAAGCATGTTGATCTAAAAGATGGTTTCTCCTGCAAAGGGGACACAGATTCAAATCCTGCTAGAGGGCACATTGTTTTCTTTAAGTAAAATTTCTCGAATATTCAAGCCAGTAGATGAAAATAAATATACTATTTAAAAAATGGATGGAGCATCTACTAATATAGGTATCCACTAAAAATAATGACTGAAGTGATAAAAATACATATGCATATGTATGCATGTGTGTTTGTATATAAAGCAATCGATTCAACAATAGTTTACAGCTGTTCAAAATTTTTAATTTCTAATTGTTTTTCTTTTAAATAAAAAAATAATGTTAAACTTTGATTATTCTGTCTTTTCTGCCATTTTGGGAGTCAAGTAAGTCATAAAAAATGGATAAATTCACAAAAATTCCAAGAACCAAAGAAAAATTAAATTTGGGTCTTTCTTTTAGCAGAAAATAATTCAGAACTATCTCAAATATCACCTTGAGGTTAAAGATAATATTTTGAAAGAATAAATCTTATCTACTGTAAAAATGTGGGTTTTAGTTAATGAGATTTGGAAGTAGGAAAATCTCCATGACTGGGTAATGTCAGAGCAAGAAAATAAATGCTTGAAGGTCATGTAAATAAAAGGAGGGTAATCAGGCTCTCTAAACTGGGCTCCAGTTAGAGATAAAAAGGAAAGAAAGTCATCTCATCAAATACTCTGCATAAATTCAATAATTACTAAATGGGTGGTCTATAAGCAGTTCACATATCACCTGTCTGATAAAAAGGCGGATCTGATGCCTTGAATTTGATTGGCTCACCTCAATCACCTCATTAATTTTATCACCGTCTCTTTCTCTCTCTTTATCAACTACATAAGATAAAAATAGGGAGAAAGGAATAGGCAGAAATACTTAGAGATAAGCAACATGAAAATGACAAAGGGGATGAGAAAGAGGGGAACAATTTACATAAAAAAGAAAAGAGAAAAAAGGAAATAAAACATTCTTGGAAATAAAAGGAGAGAGAAGAGAAGAAATACAAACAAAGAAAAAAGGAAAATAACACAAAAAGTAAAAAAGAATACTAAATCATAAACTGAAGCAAAATGGAAAAAAAAAGTAAATTTTATTTCCGACTTCCAAAATAAGGGGGATCGACATGGATTAAAATAAAAGAAAAACCATCATGTATCCTTGGAATGCTGTAGACTTTCAGGATGTGGGTGATCATGGCTCTCCACAACTATCCTATCCCATATGGACCTTAGCAACATTTCTCTCAAGCCTTCCCCCACCCCATTCCACCATACATTCCCACTAGTTTGTCAGGTAGGTGGCTCTCTGCCTTCCCCATCTCTTGCCTTCTCAACCCATTAAGTAACTCTGTAGACAAATATGGAATCTAAAATAGAAACTGATGTCATTTTAAAACTGAATTTGCAATTATAAAAAGAAAAAACAATGAGGACAAAATATCAACAAATTCATACAAAAATAAATTGAAATATAATGTGAGAATGTCATTGAAAAGATTCTTCTTTTTCTACATGCCATGTCCCTTCAGGATGTTGGTGATCATCACTCTCCATAGTTTCCTATTTTTTGTAATTCTTAGTAATATTTGTCTTTTTACCATCCTTCCCACTCTCTATTCTGCCATCCATTCACACAAGCTTGTCTGGTAGGTGATCTCCAGTCCCACCCTCACCGTCTATATTGCTTTCAATATGTCCTGTGAGTGTCAAATTCTCCAAGCTTTCCTTCCTCATTATGGGTTCCAAAAAATGTCAGCTTTTTCTGATTTAAAGTGTCCTTTTTGTTTCCATTTTCCTTAAGACTTCCTTATTGCTTACATGATCTGTCCATGGTATTCTCAGCATCCTTCTGCAGAACCATATTTTTGTTGTCTCCAGTTTTCTCTTCATCTTTGAGGAAATTATCAAGCATTCACTGCCATATAAGAGGATTGAGATTACATATTTTTTTAATCAATTCACCCCATGCTAGATGATAATGCAAGGGGCTACTGAGAGTGAAAGAGAATGAAAAAGACTTTAGAAGGAACCAGAAACCCAATCCTAAACAGGAATCATCGGATAAACCTCTACTCTTGATCAAAAGACTGAGCAGGACACGAACCAGACAATAGGTGAACATATATACTCCTATTGAGGAAAAAAAAACAAAAATCATAAATAAAATTTCAGAGTTTAGGTGGAGATGTTAGACATGTAGTGTTGAAGTAGACTTTAGAAAGAACTAGAAACCCAATCCTAAACAGGAAACAAGGAATCAACCTCTACTCCTGTTCAAAAAACCAGGAAGGAGTGTGAACTGCATGATAGATGATCCTTTCTACTCCTTACATAGCAGTTCAGATCATTTTCTTTGTTTCTAATGAAATTTTCCTGTTTCTTGATATTTTGCTTAGTTTTTGGAAGGCATCTTTTCCATCCTCTGTTAAAACACTCTGAGATATTTAAATATTTGTACTGGTTTGATTTGGTAGAAAAGATTATTTTTTATTATAAAATGTGCTTCTAATCAGAAAGGTAAGAACTATTAAATTTAATAGAAGGTATTTTTTAAAAAAACTGATGCAAAAGTGGCTTTTATGGTATTGAATTTCAAAGTTTATTTCTCAACAAATCATAAATTATTCATTTCTGTCTTCATTGGAAAATTCCATTTTCTAATCTATATAAAACTAAAAAGCTTATTTCCTATGTCTGTAACCTCTAAGTATCCAAAATAGTGAATTGTAGACAAAGGCATTGAATTAAGGTACACCTAAAATGCAACAGCAAGGCAAAAAATAATAAATTGGAATGATTGGCAACTGAATGCAGATAGTATCGAGTCTGTATTCGCACTGAACTAGGAAGTTCTTCAAGGGAGATAACTATTAAATATTGATTCAAAAAAGAAAAGCTCCTCTTTCCCACAGAAGGTAGTGTCATTTATGGGAGAATGAATTCAATGGAAATTTTGTTTTTTCATCATAATTTTCTCTTATTGGTCAACTTTTACAGGATTGTCTTGTGTAAATTAAAGATTTTTCAATAAGTAGAAAAAAACTGTATTGGGAATTGGATTCTTGCTTTTTGGTAAATGATTAAGGACAAAATAATTGCATAGGCTCTGTAAATCACCCAAATGATCGGTGTGTAGAAGTTCTCAACACCTTTGTTTCTAGACACTGAATAAACAATAGAAAACTTTTCGTGTTTTTTTTTTGTTTTTTTTTTTAAATCACTGGAACTTTGTTCATTAGACTTAGTAATTTCATTGTATATTTTGTTGATTTTAAATATATTTGTTAATCTTTCAAGAAGGTAATTTGTTTGATGTGCAAAATATTCTTTAAAATTTATCAGTTATTTTAGTTGTATTATTGGTTTTGATGATTTCACAAATAATTAAAATAATTTCCAAAAAAAATTAATTAAGAGTGTGCAGATATGTAAAAAAATCTTAAAAATAATTTTTAAGATTTTTTACTCTCTTGCTGAAGAATTTTCAATGCAGCAGTGTTGATCCATGACCATTGTAATTACAATGGGGAATTATCCTGAATCTCATTTTTTAAATGTTTTTGGTTGCTTCTAATAGCTGTCATCTTTTAGCAAATTCTCAACTACAATGTTTGTTGGGCACATTAATTACAGATGGCTTATTTACTCATTGATGGACATCCTGAAAACAACATGATCCCAATTTTTAATTGCTGATGTAAGTTGTAGCAATAAATTTAATCAATGTTGTTTGCATGGGTAAAGGGAGAGGTAAACTTATTAGTGGTAGAGATATCTGAGTATTTCTCGTTATTTGCAGCAGTGGGTGTTCCTCAAAAGAAAATCTAGGATGTTTATTCTAAAATTTACTGCACTCTATATGTCCTTGTGTCAGTCTAAGGTAAGTTGTGTGTATATATAAAAATTTAAATCCCATAATACTGGAATTTTTATGAGATTTTATTTTGTTTTTTTAATTTTTGAATGTAGACTTTAGTATAAAATCATTTTTAGGATGAAAAATAATTTTCATAATTTGAATATAGATTAAGAGGTCATGAAATATTGACAAATAAGTTTAAGTAATGAGTGAATTTTGGATGAATCTTTTTTGCTTAAGACAAGAACCTTTCAGCACTCCTCATTGTTATACTGAACTCTAAACTAAAATGAAACAAAGAATTACTATTTGACAATTTGAATGAATCTGAGTGTTTGCAATAACTTCATAAAGATAGCAATTTGTAGCTAAAAAGAAAAATGCTCATTTCTGATAAGGTTTCAATAAAAAATAAATACTTTGAAAAAAATATATATATAAATATGTTTTGCAGTTAAATTTTTTTTTTCAAGTCAGAATTTTTTTTTTTTTATAGCCTTACATTGACAGTTACAAATGGTAATTGTTACCATATATATATATATATATATATATATATATATATATATATATATATAATAAAGTTTTAGTGTTTTGTGCCTTTTATAATAGATATATATATATATATATATATATATATATATCAAATTTCCCATATATGTTTCATGCTTGCACAGAAAGTAGTCTGGGGAGAAGGGTGAGACGACCATGGCTGCCTTCCACCACATTTGCCAAACAAATCTTTTCTGGAGAAAGATTGTTCTAGACAATTTGACATAAAATCAGTAGTAACAATTTAAATTTTAATCTAAACTCATTTGTCTTACCACAAACGGTTTAGCAATAAACAGAATTAAAAGATTAACATTGCATATTTTATTTTCTTATGTAACTAACAGATTTTGTTAGAATAAAGCCTTTAGTTAATGCCTTCTTTATTTTCACTACACATATATGTCCAGTTTACTTAACATACATATAAATAATGCAAATAATGTTAAACATACAGGAAATAAAAGCAGGGAAACAGCAAAGTCATATTCTTGGCTTAAGAGTTGTTGCTAGTCATGTCCACACTGGCATTATTTAATCTTTAGTTTTTAATGATTACATCAACAATTCGAAAAAAAAATAAATGAAATAAAAGAGGTCCACTTGTCTAACGTTGGATATCCTGGTTGAAAAAGCATTTACTCTTAATACTTGTAAAAACCATAAATACCAATGTATGCTGAAATAATTCCCCCCTACCTCAATGGCAGAACACAAACTGAAATACTAGAGGCCATAATTTTAAATTCTTCAACTGATAAAATTTATAAATTGTAAAAGAAACAAAAAAAATGCTCCCCTCCTTTACATCTGTGCCCTTTTGAAAATCCATAACCCCACCAAGAATAGCATTTGTGTGTGAATAATAATCTTAGAAAAGATTTGCATCTATGAAATGAAACATACTCTTATTTATGTTACACTCACAATCTACACAGGTGATTTTGTTTTAATCATATATATATATATATATATATATATATATATATATATATATATATATATATACATACACACATATATACACACACACACACAGTTCAAAAGTTTGAAGCCACCTCTAGAATTAGCATGTGATGAACTTGACAGAAGAGTAAAAACAAAAAGAGCTCTTAGAGCCATTGAAAAAAGAATGGAATCAATTACCAAATTTATACTTTGAGAAACTTTTGCAATGAATGCCAAAAAATGTGTTTTGCAGTTATCAAGGCTAAAGGGGGATATTTTGTTGAGGGCAAAATTTAATCATGAAATGTTTTTTTTTCTTTTTGTCATAAAAAAATTTCTAATCTCATTTAAAAAAAGAAACAAGAAAAATGTGTTTGTAATTAAAAGAAAATTTTCTATTTTCTCTGTTTTTAGATTTTCTATAAAAAATAAAAAATTTATTTCAGATTTTTTTATAATAGAAAATTTAGCTTTTTTTCTTGTTTTTTGAAAAAAGATTTCATGTGTCTCTTTCCCCCTACCTCCAATGTTCAAAGTCAATTTTTGTTTTATTGGCACATTTGTTGAATGTATAATAATTAACTGAACATACTCTTGTTATAAGGGTCAGAGTTCACTCTCTATTACATTTAGGAATCGTAACAAACTCAAAGACAAAATACACAAACATGTTTTATCTTCAATGGTTGCCTCATACTTGTAGCCATCTACCAAAAGAAAACTTGTAAATAACAATGCAAGATCAGAAAATTTTTTATGATGAACAGAAGGAGTAAGATTTCATTCTCTTCTATGTTTAATTTCATCGTTTTCTAGCTTTAAAATATTTTAACAAATTTTACTCAACTTATAAGAAATTAAAAAAAACTAAATTAAATTTTTCAATAAATATTTTAAATTCATACATTTTATAAATTCAAAATGCCAATTTAAAATTAGATTTCACTTCTGTTTTATAAAATATGAAAATATTTTTTTTAGTGAAATTAAAATTTGAAAGTAAATTTTAAAATAAAATGAAAACACGTTTAGTGATAATTTTGAATTGTAGAAAATATTAAGAGTTAAAAGCAAAACAAGTCAAAGTTATGAAGAAATGAAAAGATGAATAAAAAGTGAAATTACTTTTTAGTTTTGTTCCAAAAGAAGAAAAAAGTAAAAATCATTTACCTGTAATCAAGAAGTCGCTCCAACAGGTCAGTGACTGATTGGATGAAATAAGTGCCATTCTCACGTAAGGTTGGTTCTGCTTGTACTTTTTCCAAAAGTCTGGAGAATTCAGCATAAGTGCAATATTATTAGAATTACAGATAACAGAATTTAAAATGGATCCCCTCTCTCTCTCTCTCTCTCTCCCCAATAAATAAAAATAATTTTAAATGAGCAAAAAAAATGTCTGAAATTTTTTAGAAAAAGTTTCTATTTTTTTAAAAGGAAAGAATTCTATCAGAGATTCTACTGTTTTATTTTAAATTAATTTAAATTATTTTTTCTATATTCCTCTAATTTTATTTTCCAAAAAGGAATTTCTTAAAAGTTTTTTTTTTTTCTTCAATTATTTTTTCAAACATTTTTGAAAGAACCCAAGAGTGTCTAATGATAGTAAATCCAGTCAGCTTCCTCTTTTGATGAAGGAAATAACATCAGTTGCTGATGACTAGCAGGAGGAAGATAAAAAGGCAGGGTGGATGCTACAGCTTATTTTAGGCATCTTTTCGCTGCATCAAATGGATTCAAACCTTATTTCATTCCTCACACAAAAACACATCAAATTTACTGATGTCAAACATGGATCATATGAGAGCAGATTAATTCTCTGAGAAAAGACAATAAAAAAAAAATCTATAAAAAGTTCTCAAAATTAACAATGCAGAATTTTTTTATTACTATAATTAAATTTTTTGCAAAGAACTAGAGAAATTGAAAAAAAGCTGAAGTGGATTGTCAAGATGGAAGGAGTTCATTTTGAACTCATAAATAATCATTTTGTTTATGGAGGGACAATAATTCAAAAGATAAAGTAAGGTGTAATATAAAAAAATTATAAAAATGGACACTGACATCAGGAAACGGCGACAGTCTGTTTCATGCTTGAAGGCCTCTCTAATAGGAAATTGTATACCTGTTATTTTAACCTTACAGCAGCATATGACCACATCAATAAAAACATCCTCTCTTCATCCATTAAAAACTGTCTTCCAAGTTCCCAATTCACTTAATGCATTAGTCTAATAGAGGAAAATAAGAGCAAATAAAATATTTAAAGGTTTTCCTATACTATTAAATGCCTTCATATTAACAAACACAGATGCAAAGAGATGGGTAGTGGTCATTTAAGCATTCCATACGACATCCCAAATAAATCAGCTAATAGAAAATCAGTTATAACAAATTTAATATAGAAGAATAGGAAATTGAACTTAGAACAAGCTGCGCTAGAGGTAATTTCACCTATCATCACAAAATTGCTTCAAAATAAAAAACATTAACCTGAAAACTCAAGTCATGTTCTTAAATAGCCTTTTTAGGCATGGTGCCAAACCTGATTAGAAATATCTAAATTGTCAGCTGTGTATTCTCAGATCAATGATTAAAATTGGCTTTGAGCAAGTAAAGACAGTAAAGTAAAGTCCTGGCAAAGATCATCCTTTTTTGACCTTGTGAACTGGTGCTACAAAATCACAAGCAAAGAACTATACAAAATAACAGAAACCACATCACTTGAAGACTTTCAACAACGGCAACAACTAAAATGGATATCACATACAACTTGAAGTGAAAATAATGACAATCAAGATGCTGACATTCCACATTACTTTAAACAAAAGGTTATGATGGAAGGAAGGAAGGAAGGAAGACCCCCTTCAATACTGGAAAGGGGTGATAATAGCTACTGGGCTTGAGAAACCTATTTTCCTGAAAAATTGTTTTAAGTGTAAGATTTTACAAGTTTCAACTTAAAATAGCACTGGTTCCTCATTCAATGAATGCTGAAAGTTTCCTTATAAGGAAGTGACTAATATTACCAATACTACACACACATTATATATATATATATATATATATATATATATATATATATATATATATATATATAATAGCTACTTATCAAGTTTATTTTTTGGGAATAACCATATAAAAAAAATTTTTTTATTAAATTAACGAATGGAATGGAAATAAAAAAATAAAAATAAAAAAAAAATGAATTTAAAGAAACTAGAGTCCAATATCATTCAGACCCAGTAAGCATTGTTTTTTTAAAAAATGTCTTATAAATTTTGCCTTTTCCTAGCTATTATTAAATTCTGTACCACAAAAAACTTATATATATATATATCTCAACTGGGTGATTGATTTGATTAAATGACTGCACTCAGGATCAGAGTCATTGTAGACTCCATGATCCTCTTGTTAGCTGCATTGTATGTGCTTCACCAGGGCTACATAAAGTTTTGATATTTGAGTTGCTATCCCTGTTTTTTGTTTTTTTTTTATTTTTCTTACACAATGAGATGAAAAACAACTGACCTTGATTAAGAAGTCCTACGAAAGAAAGATTGTGCCTCCAACAAGAATTGAACTTGTATCCCCTTTTTCATCAAACAAACTATTTCTAGAGCCAAAACATGGTTTATTAGTTACCTCCAAAAATTTGATAAAAAAGAGAATACCATGATGAAAAAGCCCTAAACCTGATAAAAACAAAGTTTTATCATCTAAATGTTTATGTTGTTATTAAAAGGAAAGACCAATGTATTTTTTTATCCTTTCTAGCCTGTTCAAAATTTTGGTTAAAAATCTCGTTTTTCTTGCATCAGTAGGTGGGCCAAAGATTAGTATGAGAAATTTAGTATCTTTCTTACAAAAATCAAATAATTGTCAGATGTTAATTAAATTTTCAGGACTTATTCACAAATTAAATTATTTTTGAAATTTTTTTTGTTTTTTTTTTTTTTTTCTTTTTTAAAAAAAAAAATTTTTTTTTTTTTTTTAATCCCACCATTATTTAATTTTATGAAATTTGGAGAAATTAAAATTCCACCCAGTTCATATTTATATTAGTTAAAAGCGGAACTCCTTGGAGAATTTAAATCATTAATTTGTTTTTGTCAAACAGAAATACCATTTACGGAAATCTGCACTGAATTGTAAAATAAAAAAATGCAATATAACTATGACATTATTTAATTAGAAAAGCTTTTAATCACTTTTATAAATAAGATATATTGAGGACACTATAGTTTTAAGAAAAAATTTTTTTTTCAATTAATACTGAATTTTTACAAGAATGGTTTTCATTTTTTAAAAATTTTAATTAGAATAATTTATTAATATTTAAGTCTTTTAAATTCTGTATTAATTTCACCCTTTTAGATTATATTATTATTAAGTAAAAACTATATTTACTAATCATAAAAGGAAGAGCTTACTACAAAGCATCATACAACAATATTTTTAAAAAAATTTTGAATTTTTTTTTTTAAGATAAAACATGCTGATTTTTTTTAAATACGGACGTCCATACACCACATTATCAGAAAATAAGAATGATGACTATAGTAAATTTAAAACCAAAGTATCTAAAATTCAATAAAACATTAGATTATGAAGAATATTTTCCTAAATTTTTTTAATTACTGAGTACTTAAAAAATATATATAAAAATATCACGTTATATTCAATTTTTTATTACTTCCCTAAAGCCTCCATGTAACAACATTAATATATCAATCATCAAATAAATATCAATCTGTCAAAAAATGTCAACACTGTTAAAAAAAAAAATGCATTTCTGCAATATTTTAAATTTTAAGTAAATAATATTTGTTTCAAATCAGATTAATTATATTTTAAATCAACTAATATACCACAAATAAAGTTTCAGAAAAATGTTTTATTTTTGGAAGATTTTTTAATAAAGAGAATTACATTATGGTGAAAGAAAACTAAAAATGCATGCTACTTAGTTATTTTAGCAAAAAAAAAAAAAAAAAAAAAAGCTACTTTCAGTCAATTTAAATTAGTTTTGAAATACAGCAAAGTATTTTGCTTATTGAAAAATATAAATTTAATCTATTAGCTTGAAATTAAAAGTAAAATAAAAGCTATAAAAGCTTTAAAAAAGACTTCATTTTTAAAAACTTATGTGTCATGTTTTCTGGGGTGGTACCTAATATATATATGTGTGTGTGCATTAATGGATTTTCTAATCTCATATGAAAAAAATTTTTTTATAAACCAGCTGAAAAGATGAATTAAAACTGAAAAAAAAAAAAAAATATGAAAAAAAAAAAAACAAAAAAACAATAGCAAGAATAAAACATTGAATGTTTCTTAAAAAAAATAATATTTTGAATATTTCTGATAAATTAACTTCTAATTTAACCAAACATTGGAGAAAGAATAAAAACAAGTAACAATCCAACTATTTTGATTGTTACATTTTATACTTTCTTCAACTGAAATGAAGTGTTTAGTGTCTGCCTCACATAAAATTATTTGAATGTAATTATCTCGGTCAATAATGTCTTCATGAAAATGTAAAGAAATGCAGTAAGTTCTAGTACATAAAATATTTGGCAGACAAAGGACACAGCTTGGAAGTAGAGGTGCAGTTAAAATTGTGATCAGAACAACAGCTAAGGTAACAATGGCTGCCAACTGAAGAAAAAAAAAAAACGGATTCATTAAAAAGAGCCTGGGGTCTCTTTCCACACTTAATTGATTTGCCTTTCTGAATTTCTCTGAGACAGGACAAGAGAAGGTAGTGAAGCCTGAAGCCAAAATTCTGCTTTCAATTAGATTATGAATTCTGTAGAAATGTTGTTCTTAAAAAAAATTTTTAAAAAATGATCAAGTTTTGGCCTTTGGCATCTTGTGAAGTTTGAGGTCCAGTCAAGAGGAAAAAGATGAAAAAGAATGAATTATCTTTAGAGAAATTACATTTTGCCAGCAGACAGGCGGATTTCCTTGGATTTGTCTTTTTCCTGTTCTACTCTCTGAAGAAAGAGAGAAGGGTAAACTAAAGATGATAATGGATGTGTGTAACCTGAGCAGATAGCACAACTGAAAGGACAACTCAAAAATGTCTTATTTGTAAGATGTCATTTTATACAACATAAGGCCTATTTCATAAAAACCACTGTCTCATTTTTTTTTATCATCTTCAAAGACTTGTAAATATAATAATTAAAAAACAAAAATAGAAGATGAAAAAAGTTTAAAAAAAATGAAAGTTAATCCAAAAAGTATTTAATAAAAAATATTATTGAAAATTCATGAGAATTAAATATACTTTCCTCAACATTTGTCTATATTTCTGAGATGAGGTATTGTAAATATTTACATCATTCAGATTATTGTCCTTATCTTTATTGCCCTATTCACAATGTTTCAGTTCAATTATATTGCTTCACCCAGGGATTGAACTCACAATTACTATGTCACCAAATTCACAAACCAACACTTTAATCCATTAGGCTATTGTCTCATAGGACAATTCTCTGGTTTGGAACGTTAAACCTAACCTGCCTGCCTGACTGCTGATGAGTGCTGTTGCAGCTTGTTATGCTTGATTGCACTCACTGAAGCTTTTCCATTTTGTTACAGCTGCTACTGTAATGATAGTATGTTAAGCAATCTGATATGTTGCCGTTCTCTTTGGTGTTTTCTGTCTGAAGTGTGAAGAAACTAAACAATTCCAAATTTCAAACATTTTTCAAAGCTTTCAAATATTTTAACAGTTTTTGTTAAAGGTGTAGACATTTCTACAGTCAAAGTAAAATGTTTTAAATTTTCTTGTCAACAGAATATTTTGTCAAAACACACAGAAGAGTAATAATTAGAATCAAAGTAAAACAAAAATGTTGCTTTACTGCTTTGAATGCTAATTTCAAATATTACTTGTTTAATAAAAATTCATAAACACAAATGAAGAGAAAAAATGTTTTTCTATTGATCAGATAAAAGAAATAATAAAAAGTTAGAAATGATTGTTGCATAACTAAAACACAAGATATCTTTTTCACTAAAACTCAATCAAACACTTTGTTCTTTAAAGATAATGAGGTGGGGAGAAATCTTCTGTATTTTAAAAAATTGACAAAATTCAATATTTAAATTCTATTTTTCATTATATGAGAGCAGAAAAATAAATAGATCCTGAATCATCTTTCCAAAGAAAATAAACAAATGTTTTGCTCAGAGGGAAAACAATTTTTTATAATTAATATACAGAAAAACCTTTCTGGGTAGCAGGCCATATTTTATAGGAATAGAAAAAGGCAGTTTTATAAATGTAAGACTTTTTTGCTGACAGCCATTTACAAAGGCATCTACCAACTAAATAGATAACTATTAACTTACATACATACATACACACACAACACATTACATTTTTTTTTAAATTAAATCATGAGACACTCAAATACCATAAAAATTTGTGTATCTAATGTTTGCAAATGCTTCACAATGCTCATGAGATATATGGAGGATCTCTGCAATATCCCATGTCATTTGACCAGGATTATTTTTAATCAACATCTCAATTTGATCATCATCAATGATTGCAGGCTGAATGGAATGTTCTCAGTCTTTCAGATCAAAATTTCTACTTATGAACATAGCAAACCACTTATGAACAGTACTTACAGCTATGGCACCATCCCAATAAATGGCACATATCATTTTTTTGCTGTTTGTACAGTGTTTTTTCCTTTCCAGAAATAAACAAGCATCAATTGATGATAATGTATCTCATTTTCTTCAATTTTAATTTTTAATATAAAAACATTTAAAATTCACAATCCACACATGATTTGTGATGAAATATATATTGACTGTAACCTTTAAGAATATATAAAATTGTAGCCTCTGTCTGTTAGTTATCAAACTCCTCCCAGGGTTTTGGAGATATACCTCCCAATCAATATATATATATATATATATATATATATATATATATATATATATATATATAATGGATAAATATATTTCTTTTGATCAGTGGGGGGGCCCAAAAGTTTTAAATAAAATTTTTTTTTTTTCCCTTTGATTTAAATTAAATTTAAATTTAAATTTGAACAAGGGAATGACTCCTATCCAAAAAATAAAAAGAGAAAACCAAATAATAGACGTCACATTGGCAAGATCAAAATGAGACAATCAAGTTTAGCAAGAAATCACCAATCAATGGATAGTGCCTTACAATACATATTTGTTACAACAATTCAACATTCATATCAATGTTGAAATCTGCTCATCAATTCATTCAATCAAGTATTGCATCAAATACATATCAAAGGGGTCAGATCAAGCTGTTTTTGCACCAACCTCCTACTGAAAAAAAATTTTCCCCTTTGATTTAAATTTAAATAAGGGAATGACTCCTATCCAAAATATAGAAGAAAAAAGCCAGAAGATGGAGGTCACATTAGCAAGATCTTTCAGTAATTATGAAATGCATCATTTTTCTTCAGAAAATATAACGATTGAAAATTAATCATCATTTTCTTACAAAAGAACTGTGTGACATGCAGCAAGGTGCAGGTAATTCAGCTAGTATAAATTTCAGTCACATGTTAAGCAAAATCATCTGTTCAAATTCAACTTATTGAAAATGTTACTAACTTTTGTTCCAACATAATTTATATAAAAACAATTTTTTTTTATTATAACTTTATCACAACTTTCAGCCATCTTTAAAATTTAAAATTGAATTAATGGAATAAATCTAAGCAACATTACATGTCATGGAAGAGTTCTTTGTATTCAGTGTCTCCTTTATCATCTGTAATAAAAATATCCAGTTTTTCTATGATTTCATTCTCCACCTGAAGAAGAAAAAAAAAAGAATTAATGAATAAAGACTGGACAAGTCTCAACTGTATTACGCTGTTACAAAAACAATTTTATCTTGTAGACATGAAAAATAAAAGTAATTTCAAAAACTTATAGGCAACCAATATTTGATTAACAATAAGTCAGAAGTAATTTTGTTAATATTTCAATGTTTATTTACATCCTTATCAGAATATTAAGAAATGTTATGTCTGGGACAAATAGTGAAACTGGTTCAGTGGCATCACAAGAATAAATTAACTAAGAAGAATTAACTGACATGAAATTTCTAGCATGGAATATGAAACGAAAACAATCCACCTCTATGTATTGAATAAAGTGTTTGTTTCAAAATTCCTAGAAGGGGAAAATAAGAGACCTGAAGAAGGACAAAAGATAAACATATTTGGACAACATTTAATAGGTCATTTCTTTTAGTTTTACAGTGGAAATGTCATGTTTCTGCTTTCAAGTAATACATTACAAAATTTAAGAGGAAGAAGTATTTTGATAGTGTTATAGATTTGATGAAATGATATTAAAGAAAACTAAAGTTGATTTTTTTAAATGCATAAAAGCAAATTGTGTATATATTTGACCAGCTTATCTTAATCTGGGGAGGGGAAGGAGAAAATTGAATAATGCCAACATTTCAAGCATGAAGTGTGTTTAAATAGTAGGACATGTATCATTGTTATAAAAAAAAAATTGTTAATGTAATATTCACTTGCAAAAAAAGAAAACAAAAATAAGAATTATTCTTACAATCCAAAATATATTTTGGCTTTAAGTAACCCGCAAATTTCCTTCATAAAAAAACAATATATATATATATATATATATATATATATATATATATATATACACACACACTATAAATTTGCTATGAAAAATATTTTGAAAGAATTTACTGAATCTTTGATAAAAAGATTTTTTTTCAGGTTTAAATAGTTTTTAATTATTTAATTAGTATCTTTAAAGGGAAAAATACCAATCAGTTAATTATTCTTTTTAATTATATTTTATTTAAATTTGTTGAGTTCAAAGTTCAATTTGTCTTTGCTCAAATATATTTTTTAAAGAATTTATTATTTAGCATATCCTTAAAAAAAATTATTTTTGCACTTTTTTGATATTAGTTTTTGGGTTTTTTTTTCTGGTTTTACCATAGTTTGCATTTTAACTTAAAAATTAATTATTTTCTTTTGTTTGTTTCATTTTAAATTATATCAATTATCTTTGTCATTGTTCCCTACTTTTACAAACGAAAGAGCATTATGGAAATTTAAGCTGATATAAATTGAAAAACAATAATATTCATCAGAATTAATTTTAAAATATTAAAGATGTGACATGATAAAGACATCAAATCTTAATTGCAAGTTTGGTGAATATAGTATGCTGCCATTGCTGTCAACAAAATTCAGCCAGTGTTCAAGAAACTTAAATAGTTAAAGTTTATCAAACAGAATTAAAAGAGGAAAATACAGGCTAAACCATTACTTTACAACTTTATTTATTCTGTGACTCAAACTAGACAGCTAAAAAAATTAAATGTCAGAATACATTTGATGATTTTTTAGAATCAATCAGTTAAGACTCAATATGACTGAGTTCTCAGCTGTAGAATACTTTTCACACCAAAATTCCAAATTACCCAACCAAAATATTTATATTACTCCTCCCTTCAGGTGACAGGCACCTCTAACTGGGTTAAAACTTCAGGTAATTTTTTTTTCTTAATAAATATAATTTACTTGTGGACTGAAATCTCTGATGGAAAATGAAAATCTGGTTAGTAACAACAATTTATGAAAATACAGCCATAAAGAAAATCATTAAATGAGGGGAACTTTACAAGTAATTATGCAAAGAAGGAAAAGAAACAATCTTGTGTTGAATGAATGAATGAAAGAAAGAAAAGCAATCTTTGTTTATTTCTTGGCATCCTTATATAAAAGTTTCAAAATTTTGAAGTTCCCTCCCATCATAAAACACAATTTGTTTAATAATTACAAAGGTAAGAATTTTGGAGAGAAGTAAAAACCAAGCCTGGAAACAAGAATTCTACAAGAAATTGTACAATTGCAGACTCTAAACAGAAAAACCAGATAAAAACAAATTCCATGTCTTTAGAGAAATAAATGACAACCAATAAAATGTCTTATAATAAATCTAGCTACAACCACAAAAAATTTAAAAGTTAAATACAAATTGGATGAACTTCTTTGATTAAATATCAAATTTTAATCCAAATTATTGGCTGAGCTAGACAATGTATAAAGTAATCTACAAACATGGTTAAAATTCTTACTGAGGTTAGCTTTTAATTGCATCAACAATAATGTCTTTAGATAAGACCTGATGAACAGTTATATTCCTTGCCTTGAACATTTATTGGGACTCAAGCTCACACCAGAACTCAAGTGGATCTTGTATATACAATCCATTGCTAAAGACACTGGAAAATGACAAGTTCCTTGAACCAGAAAATAATAAACTCCATCTGCCATGATTTGAGCATTTCAGCATGGTGTAACAATTAGCAAGCTTGTCTCACTTGATCAATTACAACTGAGTAGTGAGTTTGGTCTTCAATGAGTGCTCCATACATTCAGCCTTGAGCCACAAGTAAGCTATGCTTACTAAAATAGCCACCTGCCATGCTTTATCTATGCAAGGATCAGATCAGATCAAAATATTATTGCTGCCACACTTGGGCTGGAGCTACACAATCCTCACTTTCCAGTCTTGACAGAGTTCAAAAGTATTCCTGCAGCTTTGTGGATGATAAATTATTTTCCACCCTACAACCCCGTTTTTCCACAGATGCAACTTTGCTAAACTCTCACTAGTCTATCTCTATTTTCATAGCAAATGTTCAGATGAGCTACATTTCTTAGTTCTACCAGTTCAGGCCTTCACAGTTACCCTGCCTCCATGCCACATACACAAGAGTGACTAATCTTCATCCCCTTTATATTCCATAGGTAAGGAGGAAATTCCACTCAGACAGCTTTTTTTCCAAAATTGGCACTTTGCTCTCAAGATGATGATTCCCTGCTCACTATAAGTTTAACCTCTTCAAGTCAAGAGTCAACCGTTATCTATCATACATATCCTCAAAATATGAACTTCTTACTCTCTTTATGTCTTTACAGTAAACTTGTTCAGTAACTCTATCTTGAGTGGCTCATGGGCCTTGTATTATATGAACAATAATATAAGAAAAAGGGATGAATCCACTACTCCCTGCACTGACCTATTATTAGCTATCTTGACAATGGTATGTTACTGGCATTCAATGATAGTTGATGAGAACGAGTGCAAATGGGACAAGAATTCTCCCCACTCTTAGCAGAAAACTAGATACAGTCTCATCTAATCTGGAGAGGGGATGGGCACTGCTAATAACCTTCCATGTCCTAGAAATGTTGTGAAGGACTATTCAAGCATAAAATCATGAAAACAACCAGCTACTTTGGTTGAATCTATGCAGAAAATAAGGAACAATGAATTATTTAATATTTTTAGAATATATGACAAACCAGTAAATAACAGATTCATAAGTTGTCTTTGTTTACACTTCTTTTTTTTTTAATCACACTTCACACCAAGCAAGGCACTAAGATAGAAGGCAATTACAGAGTGAAAGAATATATGAAACTTGCTGTGAAAATATTTAACAGAGAAAAAACAATCTTAGAATCCAGGTAGAAGATAAAGAAAAGAAAAGAAAATGAGAAACGAACGGTTTTTAATTCTTCAGGAATCTTCTGTTCACATTCCATCATATCATATAAAATTGGTAAAGTTGCTTTGCGCAGTTCTGTTTCTGGTACAAGAGTTACTTCCAGGAATGGTCCAATCATACAGGGAATGAAGCATAACTTGTGCTGCCCTAAAAAGAAAGGCAAAAAAAAATGCTTTAAAAATGATTGGTGGTGGTGGTGGGGGGTATAATTTTCTTCTAAATTTCACAAAAACAGTCACTGAAATTCTGAAGGTGATTTAATTACAGTGGTGAAGGCTTGTGCAGGACCAGCTACACTTCAAGCACAACCTCCAGATGACTTCAGAATCTCCTGCAACTCTTCTGGATGGTCTCCTTGTTTAAATGGGTGAATGTTGCCATAATCCTTGCCTCCAGTTCATGTTTGGTATTACAAGGAGTTTTGTTGGTCTCTCGCTCAATTGCACCCCACACATAATAATCAAGAGGGTTGCAGTCTGGAGAGTTAGGTAGCCAGATGTATGAGGTGATGTGGTCACAAAAATTGTCTGACAGCCATGACTGGAATCTCCTGCATGTGTGGCATGGTGCAGAGTCCTGTTGTCAGACATAGGGTCTTCTAGCAACCACTATCTTGACCTAGGACAGCATTACCTCCTCAAGGCACTTGATGTAGGCCTCTGTGTTGAGTCTAAGGCCCTCACCAACAAATTTGGGAGTTCTTTTCTTAGCAGAATGATCAGAGTGAGTTTTTCGAGCTTTTGTGCCTTTGTAATCACCATTAGATTCATCCAACTCCTTCTGAATCCCTTGCACTGTTCTCAGATTTATACTCAAACATTCTGAAGTGTTCATATTGGATCTTCAGGCACAAATTCCAAGCATTACAGTCATTTCCAAATTTCTGGTGGAGTGAATTGTGTTATGGTGTTCTTTTTCTCACAAATGGTGCCCAACTGACCCTATTATACTGTGCAGTCGACAAAATCAAAAACAAACAATGCACATGCATGAAATTAAAAATATAAAATGGTGACAATTTACCCATCACACCCTGTGTGTGTACATGTATATATATTTATTTTTTATGTACTCTATTCATTCTCATCGTACCTGTGTGTATATATTTGTTTCAAAATATATGTAGAGCTTTTGAATAGGTGGTATTTGAAAACGATTTCACATATAATGACATTTATGATATATATATACATATTCTGAAAGTTGACATTTTTTATTTGTGTCAGGATTGGGAATTTTAAATGTTCTTACATTAAAAGTAAAAATGGAGGAAAGTTAGATGCCTTTTTCATCATTTGATGATCTTTTATTTTCAGAAAGAAGAAATGCTGTACAAACAGCAAAACAGATATGGAAATGGTGCCATAAGTGAGAGTACTGTCCATAAGTGGTACACTAAATTCAGAAAAGGAAAATTTGATTTGGAAGACAGAACATTCTGGCAGATCTACAATTACTGATGATGATGAAATCAAGATACTTATTAAAAATAATCCAGATCACACAAGATATCACAAAAATACTTCACATATCTAATATGAGGCATTTGAAAATAAATTGTTTTGATGTTTAACAGAAAAAAATTTAAGGTACTGTATTTCCATTTGTGATTCTTTGTTCAAATGTAACAAAAAAAAAAAAGAAAAGAAAAAAGAAAGACCCATTTTTTTTTAAAGAACAATCACAAATAATAAAAATGGATTGTTTAAAACAATGTGGAGCAAAAAACATTCTCTTAATGGGAAGCACTTCAATTCTCTAGAAGCCTGTAAAATCATTTAGACCAGTTTATCACTCTAAAAGATGTTAACTTCTAGGAAGATGGAATAATGAAGCTGCCACAAAGATAGTGAAAGGTAATGGAACAAAATGATACATATACAGTAGAATAGATCTTTGTACAAATATTTAAATATTGTCTTCACTTAAAAAATGAAATTCATTCAAAAAATTCTTCAAACTTTTATTATGACCCAGTGAGCCAATAAATATTATCCAGTAATTCTTTACTTATATTCACTGTATAAAATATTTATATTCACTATATAAATTTAACCCCCACAAAAATAAAATAGTGGCAGCAGCACCACTTCCATCAAACTGTTCATATCTAAAGATTTTTACATGTAGTCAAATTTTATGCTACATTTTTATGCTATTTTTCTCTTTATTTAGTTTTTTATGAGTTTCATTCATTCAGAAATTCAATAAAACTAAAGGAAAAGAAATCTTATTATGAAAAAAAATTGGGAGTTAGTACATTGGTTTGAGAATTTATCATCTTCAAGAAAATGGAGCCTTGTAAATTATCTAATAATATATATTAGAATAAATATTTTATTATGAAGATGAGGAACAGAATGTCAGACTCACCTAATTCCTGCCATAAAGTTTGCATCTGGAAGCCCAAAAGAACTCGCATGTCTTGGTATCTGATAAAAAAGAAAATGAAAGAAGTAATCAAACACATACAAAGCAAACAAATGAAGAAAATAGTAAACTTCTTTTTAGAACTCATTTTTTAAAAAAACTTTTATTGACAATTAAAACTGAAAAAAATGGAAAGAATTATTTGAAGAGAACATGATTTTTTTGTATCTTTAACCGTTCTGAGACATTAAAGATTTTTAACCAAAAATTAACAACTGACCTTTCCTTGATTTTCTGCCTTTTGGCAACAGAAAAATTTTCTAATTGAAGACTAGGCTGAGTGATGAATGCTACTGCTAGATTGAAATAATTATTCCAGAGCTGAAGAAAAAAAACATTTATTATTATTATTATTATTATTATTGTTGTAATTATAGCTTTAAAAACAGACATATTAAAAATGATATATTAATATACAGGCTGACTACAGTCTGGATCAGATAGTTAAGTGCCATATGAGATACACACTTGGGTGATCATATCTCTTGATTTATGACTGATTAGGTACAACATTTTCTATGCTATTTCTTTCTGTAGTAATCTGTTTGCTAACCTAGTCTGTTCTGCTATTTAACTCATAGCTAGGAGAAAAAGAGATGGATTCCTACCTTTCCCAAGGCTGTGTGTAAATGAATCTAATGAACTCAACTGGAATTCAAACTCGGTTATCAGATTTCTTATTCCAAGCTGATATCCATTACATCACAACTATACATGAGAGAAAATGCATATTTTTGATAATTTTATTCAACAACAAATTAATGAATAATATTCCCTAATTTTCATCAATGACCTTTCTGATGTCATTAGTTCTCAATTCGGTATCTATGCTGATGACAACTATGTACTCCTGTCTTAATAGTAGGTCTGATAGGTTCAACAAGGTCAAATTGATAGCAAATGTTAAAAGTAATCTAATATCTGCTGCTAACTGGGGCAAGGAATGGTTTGTTAGTTTTAATGCCTCTAAAACTAAACTGCTCTCTAATAAACACCTGAGAGACCCTTTTTACCTTCCATCAGTATGGCTGATGCTAACCTCTAGGAAATTGACTCATTGTGCCTTCTTGGGCTAGACATTCTCTGCAAACATGAAGCAGAAAGATTATATTAGTCTGCTGCTAGAAAATTTGGTTCACTGTGTTGGGCAATACAATTTTTCTCTCCAGAATCTATCTTACATATTTATAAGTCTACCATTCACCCATGCTTTGAATATTGCTGCCACATATGATCCGGTGCTCCTGCTATATATTTAGAGATTCTTGATAAAATCCAAACAAGAATCTGCAATGTTATTGGTCCTGACCTGGCATTCCAACTTCACTTTCACATTGCTGTAACATAGCTTGCCTGTTACTTTTCTATAATATTTTCATGGTAATTGTTCCCATGAATTTTCCTCTATAGTACCTAGACTTTTTGAATTTAAGTGCAGTACTAGATTGGAAGCAAGGTTTCATCATTTTACACTTCAATTAGCTAGATTTAATCGCAAATACTTTGATTTTTTTTCTCACACTTCTCACCTGTGGAACTCTTACAGCTCTTTGCTTTTCAACCAACTTTGATCTTCAAAAGTTTAAATTCAATGTCAGTTGTTATCTACTGTCTTCTTGATTTCCTCTTTTATTGTTATTGTTCCTTAATAATTTTTTCTTTCTCTTATTCTTTCACATGCAGTATCTGAGTGACTTTATTGCCTTGCTTGGGGTGAAATGATTTTTAAAAAAATCTTTGAAATCAGAAACAGAAATTTAATCTCTATGTTATTAGAATGGTTCATCACTACAGTTGGTTTGGCCATTAGCCAAGGAGAAGAAATTCATTACTTTCAATGACCCGCCATTCTGGGCTACAGTACATGAATTGGATTTTTTGTTTTTATGGTTTAGGTTTTTCCAAGTCCATTATAAAAAAAGAAAAATGTTCATAATTATTCTTATTTTTCTCCTTGACCCATATGCATGCAGTTGAGCACCCCACATAAAAAATGACCTTGTGCCACATCCTGCCTTAGTGGAGAGGTAGGTAAATAAATGCTTCTCTGAGAATTAAACTAACATGTCACCTTATTTCTCTTCACTAGACTCTCTCCCTTGTCCCTAGTTTTGCATGGAAAAATCCTATTAAATGTTATAGTTTGTTTTCTCTCCATCTAGAAAGGCTGTTTATATTGCCTCTTAATTTCTTTAACATTTTGAAGTTGGTGCATATACATGAAATATTTTTAGAGTGTCTCTTTTACATAATGTGATTACTATCTGTTCTGTTAGTACAGTACAGAAATTGCATTGTTTTACTTCCCTTATGTTAGACACTTTTTTTAGTTTAGTTACCTTCTAGATTAGTCACCATTTTGACCACTTCCGGTTAGCCCTACTCTGGAATCCCACACAATAAAGGCATTACACCAAGCACATGGTTGGTAGTTTCATCATACTAATCTTACCCTCAATGTCACCATCACCGGTTTGTAATTTATTACCATTTCTTCCTATAGTTGCCTATTTTATTATTATGTCATGATTTAAACATTTGTTTTATGTACATATTTCATACGTTTATTTTACATTTGTATTTCTCTGTGTAGAATCCTTTCAACACATGTCCATTGTCCACACATGCTGTTGCAAAGTGTAACCTTCTTCTAACTTTTTTCCCATGCACTCATCACAACATTGGAATGTATTCTTGTAGCAAACTTTATACATATTCATGTAAACAAAGTATTACTACCTTTACACATTTAGACAAATGGTCTTTGTTTTATGTTCAAACCTCTGGCTGTTTTTGTCACATTTCTCGTTACACTTGTTTGTATTTTCAAACTATCTAATCTTATATGTATTTATTTCTTTTTCTAGCTTTACTCTTTTGGTTAATAATAAATCCGATGTATGGGACTTCATTTACTTCAAAGTTTTAATTGTCTAAGGGCATTTACCTGGATATCTTTGAGATTATGTATGAGTATAACATGGACATGTAATCTCAGGGTAGAACACCCAATGTCATTTTTTTTATAGTGAGCGACTAATGCATTGAGTGTGTTGTTTTGATGACACACTCAATGCATTAGATTGTCAGATCCCGATTTTGGTTTAAAAGTGCTACTTTAATTAAAAGAGAAAGCAATTTACTGAGACAAAGTGTGTAGAAACCGTTTTAATTACTAGATCATCCACAGCAAATTTGTGTCTTGGTTCTTATAACATTTTACCTTTCTTAGCAGATCTTCTATTATCACAATGTGGGATACTTAATCACAAATGTGATTTAAAAAAACAGGAGAAAGTAAATAAAATTGGCTAAATTATATACCCCAAACACATATTTAAAAAAAATAAAAATAAAAATAAAATAAAATAATAAATTAAAATTTCAGCATTCCCTCTCCTTCATGCACATGTGTAATTATATCAATGTAAACATCACTTTAGTGTGATTAAGTCCTAAAGGATCAAATGTATTACAAAAACCACTTTGTATGGATATTTGTCATGGATTTTCCTAAAATTGTTCTCATATATATATATATATATATATATGAGTGTGTCTCCAGTCCTTCCAGAATGTAAGCAATTCAGTTTTCTATCATATTAAAAAAAATCTGAAATTGTTCAAAGTTGTAAGATTAACATTGAAATAAAAGTCAATGATTCATGGCAGATTTTTCAAATGTTCTCGAATGTTCCACATAAAGATTCTTTAATATAAAAATTCATTACTGATAAAAACAGCTCCGCTCAAGGGGATTTTTTTTTAATTGTAACTTTATGAAAAGCTATTATTTTAAATAACCAGAAATTCTTTAAAAATGCACACTTCTCATTTAGATTGCATTTTATTTTTATTTTTTATATTTTTAGCAAAGATGTAATCAATTTTGATAGCATTAAAGAATTTTGTGTTTGAATTTTACCTGATAATCAAAGTCATCTGCTTGCAGGAAGTGGTCCGACAATGCTCGGGCAAAATAATGGATAGAAGTGAGAATGACACTGTAAATAGAACAAACAAAATAAATTGAAAATTAATAAATTTCATGGTGGTTTATGAAATGAAGAATATACAAAATATTTTGAATGTTTAGAATTTTATTTCACATTTTTCTGCATTTGTTTAAGCAGTTAATACATAAAAACATACCTATGAATATGCTTATATAGACATGCACAAATGCAAAATGCACACATATATGTTAGATAAATATGAAAAATACGCCTCTGTGTGTGTGTGTATATATATGTATATATGTATGTATGTATGTATGTATCTTGGATATCAAACATCAGTTTATCAAAATTCATAAGAAATTAAGATATTGAAAATATAACAATTTTTATTCAAAAATCAATCATTTTTAATGTTCAAGATGGGAGCTTTTAATGGTTAAATTTGATTTCATAAAAATTCTCAAAATAACATTGACCACAACAATAAATCTTCTCTGGTCCTAAAAGTTGTTGATGTCATTACAAACGTTTCTTTATCCAAAATATTTAATCACAGAAGGAAAATAACAAAGAAAAGTTGTAATTTTTTTCTCTTCATTGTTGTGCAGTTTTAATTTTTTCTCTGAACAGAAAAATACAAATGTGAAGAAAAAAAAAAATAACAAAAAGTCATTAAAAACAGACATAAAACATTCAAGATCAATGAAGGATTTACATTCAGGCTGAGTGAACTATAGCCTAGAGTTTCATCATATAGTTAACCTTGAGCTAAAATAATCTTGAAATTCAGTTAATTTTATCAGATATGTCATGTTAAAAATAGGTGATGTACCTGTCTATATTTCTGAGATGAGGTATTATGTACACTATTTACATTATTTGGACTATTGTCCTCATCTTTGTTGCCATATTTACTACATTTTGGCCGTTGTACGCTCCAGCCTTCTTCAGGTGGTTGGAATGTTGAATTGAACTCTTTATTCCGCTCACTGGGGTAGACTGTTCTAGTTCCACGTGCCATAGATGTCAGTTATCAGTTATCTCCTGTTAATTCCCTTTCCAAGTTTTCCACTGCCTTAACCGAGTATTGGCACATGGAACTAGAATAGTCTACCCCAGTGAGTGAAATAAAGGGTTCGGTTTGACATTCCAAGCACTTGAAGAAGGCCAGAACATACAATGGCTGAAACATTGTAGTAAATATGGCGACAAAGATGAGGACAATAGCCTGAATAATGTAAATAGTATAGGTGATGTACCTAAGCCAAAAATAATCTCTCAACTGAATGACATTCCTTGCCAATTTCTGAAATATGTTTGCTTCCAAAAAGACTCAAAAGAAACCTTTTTAATTTTGTTCATAGAAATGTGTTTGCATGTTTTCATTAATTCCATACTTTGGAAAACTTATTAAGTTTTACAGTCTTTTAATTCATTCAAATATTTAGAGGATGTATGGATAGTGTAATGAATAATGATGTATGGATAGTGTAATGAATAATGATGTATGGATAGTGTAATGAATAGTGCCATGAAATGAGAAATCCCAGAGCAGTGTTTGAAATCCACCTGAGTTTGTTACATTAATTTATGCACAAATACTCTTCAGAAAGGTATGAATCAGATTTTTTCCCTCCAGCTATAGATTAAATAGCAGGACTTGCATCTGAGACAAATTGTTAATGCAATATTTACTTGCAAAAAAAGATTATTCTAACAATCCAAAATATATTTCAGCTTTAAAAATAACCCACAAAGGGTTGATAAGCTGTAAAAAAAGTGTTGTAGCATACCTACTATGGGCGATAATGGGTATGTCCCCATTCACATAAATACAGTAGTAAATACTGTATGTTGGTCTGCAGTGGGAGATTCAATGTAGAATTCACTTTACTCACTTCCAGCAGTTGACTACTTGTTCTACGTGCCACTTGAAAATCTTATATGTGTTTTCACATCCTAAGTATTATCATTCATGATCAACCTTCGTGTGATTATTCTATTCAGTAACCTGCCCTAGTGTATAACAAAAAGCAAAACTCACCTTCTGTCAAAATATAGAAAATATTCAACTTCCATTGTGTGGATATAGAGTAGGACAATCAAATGCTTTTGTGAGTTTGGTTGTGACAAGTTTTCTAAACCAACAATAGTTGAAGATGCTTTATTTTCAGTGGATAACATGATTTTATCATCACCCCACCAAAAGAAGATTAAAAATTCTATTGTATTTTGTGCAGTAAAGACCTAAATGCAAAACATCTTGAATGTTCACAACAACTGGAGAAGATTATTATACTCATGCAAGCTTCGTACAAGAAATCTTATTTACTATATAAGATTTGGTTTTCGGATATCCAAAATCAAATATAATTATAAAAAAAACAAGCTCAACTTGATTTTTATAACTCATACTAAGAAATATGCCTAAATTTTGTTTCTGGAAATAGTAAAAAAGGTGCATCTGATGCCCTGAAAAATAACTTAATTCTAAAATTAATCTTTATGATAATTTCCAGTTAAATTTGTCCTTTAAACTATAAACACAGATAAAACTAGACAAAGAACACTTAAAGAAATTGCAATCAAGTTTATATTTAGTCTCTGAATAATTTTTGAACTTTTCTAAAATCTAAAAAAAAAAAAAATATATATAAAAATATCAGAAAACAAAAGTAATAAAAACATCACAACTTTTAATATTTCTTCATAAATAAATTTTGCTTAGATATAACCACCTGAAAAAATAATTGATGAGATAAAATTATATTGTTATGCAGATATGATCAGCTTGTGAGTGTGTAATGTTGATCAGCTTGTGAGTGTGTAATGTTGATCAGCTTGTGAGTGTGTAATGTTGATCAGCTTGTGAGTGTGTAATGTTGATCAGCTTGTGAGTGTGTAATGTTGATCAGCTTGTGAGTGTGTAATGTTGATCAGCTTGATAATGTTGATCAATTGTAGTGTGTAATGTTGATCAGCTTGCAGAAAGTGTGTAATGTTGATCAAATTGATTGTAAATACTTTAATATTGATCAGCTTTTCTTGTAATGTTGATCAGCTTGTGATTGTGTAATGTTGATCACATTGTAGAAAATAAACTGATGTTGAACACTACTGGTAGAGTATTTGTGCCATAATTCAGGATCTATAAATAGAACTCATTTCAAGAATTTTTTTTAATTCTTTCACCACAACCCAGGTGATAATGCCACTAAGATGTAAGAGGTTCCTAGGAGTGAAAGAGAATGTAAAGATATTCATGAGGACAATAAATGTACAGTCTTCATGAAAACAGAAGATGGTGTGTGATGTATTTAAATCTTTGAGGATTGTAGATGGCAGGGAAAGCAAGAAACCAGAAGAGAGTTCCATGGGCAAGAAGTTAAAAAAAAAAAAAAAAAAAGGAACTATTAGAACAGAGCTTACAGTTACATCTAGTTGCTAATTTAGTAGTACATTTGATGTACCAAGGAAGAAAGCTCATTAGAACAATTGCCTTGAAAATATTTATGTAAAAGACCCCAGGAAGTGAGATCAAGTTTGCAGGAAAGTGACTGAAGTCAAGAAATGGTTCTGTATGATAATTAAAAGATAGCAGTTTAGTTATGTAGGCATTAACAAGCTCTTTCTTGCCTCAGTTAATGACTGATTGGAGGTCATTTTAAAGATTAGCTGCCAGTTTTACTTTATCAGATCTATTTGACTTTTTATTAAAACAGGAGTAAATAGTTGTGTTAACAGCATAAATACTGAGTCAGGAAGGACATTAATGAAAATAAGAAACAACATTGATTCAAGGAGGGACTCGCACATTAATGTGATTAAGCGTGATCCAAAGTGTGTGTTGAGAGATATGATGACCACAGTGGGAAGAGTTTGTTCACCAAAAGAAAAGACAAATATAGCAAAGAGAAAATGAACCAGAGGTTCTCCGATCTATTGTAAGGAATGGCAGACAAGATTTTGCATTTATCATTTTGTAATGCAGCAGGATACATCATCAGTTCCATTGAATGTTTCAGGTCTTCAACAATCAGAAACCCCTTACATAAGTGAAGAAGCAACACTATTCTCCTCATGACTTTCTTCTTCTGCATCACAGCCATCTTGGTGGCGCTTCCCATACTAATTCCTGTGATACCCAGCATGTTGTAGGCCCTGGGAGAGGGATTAGCCTGCAAACCCATCTCATCTCCATCTTGCTGATAATATTTTGGATGCAACAGTATGGTCCGGTGTTAGTTCCATTTTATCAAAATCATCTCACAGTTTGGATTTTTGCTCTATGTCCAAACTTAATGACTTGAATCATAAAAATAAGAAACAACATTGCTTACTTGTTCATCACCATTCTCATGACGGACCAATCAGAAGGAAAGTTGCCTGGTTTGATCAGTTCAAGGAATGTCAGTAATACCCGCACTAAAAAATCCTGAAGAACACAAAAATATATAAAATGAATATGAAAAATAGAATTGTTTTTCTACAATAAAATATAAAAATGAATGTAATAAAAACAATTACATGTCAACTTGGTCATGGTTCAAGGTTATGGGCTTTTAAAATTCTGGTCCCATAACATAAATTCCAAGGCCCAATTCTGATTATCAGATGTTTTTGGTAATAGTAATCACAGGGTTAGATTAAACAAATCAATTAAGTATTCCACTTCATGCAACAACTAAACCTTCTATGTACCATGGACTGAGAGAAATATAAACAAATAGTAAAAGTGAATAAAATCTTTTAATCAAATGTTGGTTTGCTTAAAAGAAGTTTAAACTACAAAACCTATTTTTAAATCTTCTGCTCATTCAAATCTTTGTAAATTTTGTTATTGGTTTTCAAGTTATTTTTCTTGATGTCAACCCAGTCTGATTTAAAATGTCTGGGTCAATCATTTTATTATTTTATATTTCACTTAAATAACATATATCAAAGATGACATATTTATGATATTGTGAATGAGTTCAATACCAGGCTACAGCAGTGGTGAACCAAAACACTTGGAGAGTTGAGTTTAAGGGAAATAACTGAGACATCCGAAAGAGGCATGGAACATGGATTTTATTTATTTATGTTTGTTTCTTATAAAAAGAAAAAGAAAGTTACCTTCAATGGTGCCTTATTTGTGTATGCTTGAAAAAGTGATGTGTAATGTTGGTCATCCATAAGTCGTAGCATTTCAACCAGACAACTTACTAACGATCCCTGTTAAAAGAAAATTGAAAATCATTGATCACAAGATTGGACAAGACAAAGCACAACATTTTTTCTTTATAAATGAAAATAATTCATCTACAGTAGATTTTAAATCATTTAAAAAAATTTAATATTAAACTTCACCCAATATAAAGCTCAAAAGCCACTGAAGACAGAGCATTACTGCTAAAGTGGTAATGATGAATGAAGTATAGAAGATATGGATGAAAAAGAAGGTGGTAGGAAGTGAGGATAGGGAGGATAGATAAAGATTGACTCTTGACATGGAAGTAGCATGTCATATCTAAAAGCCTGAATTAGTAAAAACTAAAGAATGGACAAAGTATAGAACAAGGATCTATTTGAACTGCTTGGAAAAGTAGAAAAGTAATTGGAGAAGATGTTAGACTAATCCAGAACTTATAATGGGAATAAACCACCTGAATATGGATAGAAAATGAATTGACTAGAAAGGGGTGTGAGATAAGGGTGTGTCTTCTCCCAAAATTTATTCAACCTCTACAGCAATGATATCCTAAGGAAACTGGAGACCCTAACAAGACTTATTATTGGTGGGTGTAATCTCAACAAAATAAGATATGCAAATGACACTGTGCTGATGGCTGATTTGGAAAGGAAACTACAGGACCTCTCAGACAGGATGATAGAAGAAAGCAAGAAAAAAGGACTAACCATCAGCTCCAAGAAGACAGAAAGTCTGATCATCAGCAAGAGAAAAAGCTCAAGATGCAAGTTATGAATTGGAGAGACAAACATCAAACAGGTGCAGATGTTCAAATATTTGAGAAGTGTTTTAACAGAGGATGGAAAATGTGACACCGAGATCCGAAGTATGCACTGGACTAGCGAAAGAAGCATTTCAAAAGCTAAGCAAGATGCTGAGAAATGGAAAAAAATCCATTAAAAACAAAGAAAAAAATACTGGATTACTATATGATATCCATTCTCTTTATGACAGTGAAAGCTAGACAATCTCCTAATGGATGAGGAAAAAACTAGAGGCAGCAGAAATATGGTTCTACAGAACAAATTTTTTTTAGGGATGGTTTTCTGCAAAAAGGAAGTCTGAAAATGGCAACAGAAAGAATATTCTAAAGAATCAGGAAAAGAGAGAAATGAAATTCCTTTGAAGGAAAGGAGCTTGGAAAATTTAACCCTACACGGATATATACAGTATTTTCTTATATTATTACAGTGAAAGCTAGACAATCTCAGAATGGATGAGGAAAAAAAAAAGGCAGCAAAGAAGGATACTGAGAATCCTTTGAACAGAGTTAATTGAAGCAACAAGGAAGTCTTAAAGAAAATTGCAACAGAAAGAACAGAATCAGGAAAAGAGAGAGCTGTGGTTAACAAAAAGCCATAAGGAAGTTGAGATGAAAATTTTTTCCACACAAGGCTGTTCACCAAACTTGGCGCCATCAGATTCTCATTCATTTTAATCAATGCAGAATTTGTTATCTGGTCATAAATTTAAAAAAGTTCAAAATTTTAATAGCAGCTATATTGCATCAACACTAAAGTCATTTTATTGAGATAAAATACAAAAGATTAACATAGTGCTATAGAAAATCAAGAAACATAGTTTGATGTTGAATAAATATAACAAGTTATCTTACTTATTATAAAACGCAGATTGTGTGTGTGTGTGTGTCAGTACCGTTTATATATTGGATTGAATTTCCTACATTTTTTAGCCGATTTCAACAAAACTTCACAGGACTACATAAAATTACCTTGTGATGGTTCTAACAGTGCCGAAAATGGGAAAAACAAAATTGTTTTTTAACAAAATCAATGTGAAAACACGATTAAGACACATCGTGAGAATGAAAGGGGGACAACTCACCCACGAAAATGTAAACAAAAGAGCATAGCATGATGAAAAAAAAACAAACTTGACGAAAACAAAATTTTATCGTCTAATGTTCATATTATTATTAAAGAGGAAAGATCAAAGTATTTTTGGGGTATTTTTTTACATTTTTTAATCGTTCCTAGCACGTCTGAAATTTTCGTTAAAAATATTGTTTTTTTTTTCAAAAAGGACAGATAATCAATCATTTTCAATCATTTTTTTCGATTTGATAAAAAAAGATTAAAATCTTATTTTGATATTCTTTTAAAAATCAATTATCATTTTTTCAAAACTGATTTTAATAAAAACAGAAATTATACTGTTTATTTAAAATATTTTGAACCAAACTTAACTTAGCTTCTGCGCCGAAAAAAATGTAATTTGAAAATAAAACAAAGCAGGTCATAAACTTTCGCGTCGCTTGACGATTGACGAAAGGCACATTCATGACGTTTAGATAACTTACAGGAGGATAATTCTTTCTACGGATGGAAGGAAGTGAAATTATTTAAGTGAACAAATTATTTACCTTGTTACTTTTAAGGAAAACTTTCAGCGCTCTAATTTTTTTTTTTTTTTTTTTTTTTTTGTACTTAGCTTTCATTTTTACGTTTACGATGCTTTATGGAAAATATAAAGAAATTAAAAATAAGACTGTTAATAGTGAGATTAAATTTCATAAGAAAAAGGTATCTAATTAATTTAGGTACCTTTCTTATGAAATTTTATCAGAAGTGTACATAAAATACTATAATTTTATGTACATTTATTACATTTTACTGTGTTATTTGTATTTCCATTCATTTTATTATTAATTTTGATATTTCATTTATGGAAAAATGTCATAACTGAGATTAATATAAAAATAAGATCATATAAATTAAAGTTTAGCAGTAGTTAAATTTCATAAGATGATACTGTTACTTGTAGGTACCCTTCTCAGTTGAAATTGAAAAACTCAAATTAACTTCTCCATACCTGTTTCACAAAAAAGTAAAGGGGCTTAACAGCGGAGAACAATGCTGAACTCAAATAATGCAACTAAATTGTATTCTGGTTGGTCTTCCGTACTTGATAATTACTGTCCAACTATAAACACAAAAATTACATTTCTTAATTACCATGGCTAATCTGATTGGTCCAAATTATACAATTTTCAAAGCGCTAGACAATGACAATCTCACACGGACATTTTGAAAGGTTGATGTTGCTTTTAACTAATGTTAAAATATTTTTAAAAATTCAATTTAAAATTTTTTTTTTAAAAATCTTTTTAAAATTAAAGAAATAAGAAATAATTGTATTAAAAATTCAATTTTCATTGAAAAAATTTTTTGCTTTCAGAAAATATTGTCCATATTCATAAAAACAAATTAAAACAAATAAAAGCATTTGAAACTAAATAATATATTTGTTTTATTGAGTTTTGTATGTTACAATTCACAGCTGATTTTCAGGTACGTTGGCCAAAAAAAAAAAAAAAAAAAAAAAAACATGATTTGCATTCTTCAAAGCCTTGTGCTTTTAACTATTGTAATCACTAAAACCGATGGTCTCGAATTTCTAGAGTTTTTCATAAAATTAGTTATGGGGGTGTTAATAAATATAAAAAAAAATATTTCTGCCATGACTTTAATAAAAAAAAAAATATTTATAATAATTTCGATCATCTGTGAATAGTTTCTGAAAGTTTCATTAACATCTGACAATTATTTTTATTTTTGCAAGATTTTCCAAATTAATGTGTGTAAATACAAAAAAAAATGCGCTAAAAATTATCTATGTTATTTACTACCCCTTGTTGCGACAAAGAGAAACAAGGTTTTTTAAATCAAAATTTAGAATATTCTAAAAAGATGGAAAAATTTTTAAAAATAATTAAAAAAAATTTAGTCTATCCTCTTCATAAAAACATAAGCATTTTGACGATAAAATTTTTTTTTCATAAACTTTGGCGTCTTTTTCATCAGACTATGCTCTATGTTTTAGCGATTTAAGGATTCCGTTAAAAGACTTAGGTTAAAAAACCCAGGTTGTTTGTGTGTGTGTGTGTGTGTGTGTGTGTGTGTGTGTGTTCTTTATATATGGGATCGGATTTCTTACATTTTCAGCCGATAAAACAAACATCCACTTTTTTTTTTGCAGGTAGTATTTCTTATTGTCTTGCACACTTTTTTCTTTATTTATACATTCAGAATGCTTTAAAAATTCCATTTACAAGACAATTGTTTATAATAAAATTCTATTCACCAATCGATAGACTCATAACGATTGTAAACAATGTTTTTGTTTAAATTTGGGTTTGACCAATTCGTAAAAAAAAAAAAAAAACCTAATTAAGACATGCATGTCCGTCAACCTTAAACAATAATCTTTGTCAATTTTATTTTTCAGTCTTTATGATGGTCGATACTTGATCTATCTCTTACTGTTATATCCCCAGGCAACGCCGGGCTCTACTGCTAGTTATTAATGAATTTTAATGAGAGAAATGTTAGAAACTTTTCCACACATTTTTTTCAATGTTAGTAAAACCAAAAGACCCAGGTGAGTTGTAGTTATATGATCTTTGTTATATATACACTAAATATATAAAAAAAAATGTTGCTGGAACATCAAGAAATTTGGAAAAATAATTTTCGATTTCAATTCCTTAAAATAAAAAATTATTGTTGTTGAAAAACAAAGAAAAAGTTATCAAAATAATGGCCAATGTAAATTATTGTCTTCCTGGATGTTTTTTTACATTTTTTTAACCAATTAGCTTGATTCCAACATTTACAAAAAAGAAAACTAGAAAAATGTAATTTGTCAACTCAATTTTAAATGCACATCTAAATACATGAAAAGGTGGGTTTTTGTGAACCATGTTTTCATCATTTTTTCATCCATTGTTGTAAGGGCTTCAACAATCACTTCAAATAAACATTTCATCACTCGGTCAATATTATCAAACACATTAAATAAAAAGGGTTTTCCTTTATTTTAAAAAAAAAAAAAAAAAACAAACAAAATTAATAAATTTATTTAATTTTGAATTCAATTTTTTAGTATAAACTTTGATTATAAAGTCATATGACACAAAATCAAAAACCTCACCAACTAAATTTAATAGCCAATTGTAACTTTATGATTACAAAATATCAATGACATCAGAAAAAAAGAAAAAAATGTCAAACATGATTATCTCCCTTACATTAACTCACTTTTTCTTTCATACAATGACAAACATATTTGCATATTTTTGATATTTTTACTTATTTGACATGTTTTAACAAACTTATTTCAGAAAAAAAACTTTAATAATAAAAATGGAATATATGTGAAAATATTTACTATATATATATATATATATATATATATATATATATATATATATATATATATATATATATATATATAAAATTGAGTGTCAGTGCATTTGTATATGTTTATATGTTTATACATGTGTTTGGTAATTTCAATCAGTGATTAATGTTTTGAAACTAACCATTTTCAAGGTGTAAAGGTATTTGAGGATATCTTCAAGGACTGTGATGGCCAACTGCAAAGCTTTTTTATGAATAAAACATCGTTTGATTTGTGACATGCACAGATTCAGCAGTATACGACGTGATTCTAAAGAAAATGGAAAGACAATCAGAACATTCAACCAGTATAAAAATAAATCATTCATCTAATTAAAAAATAGCATTTGGAGAAAATGTATTGTGCATTCAGGTTTAGAGGTCAACACTTGATTTTGGCTGAGAATGATGATATCTAAAAGTTAGCCCCTGTTTTTGTGGGTAATGTTCGAATCCAGAGTGTCCTTGCTCCTTTTGGAGGAACCCCTCCCTGATTGACCATGCCTTCAGGTGTGTAGCTGTACTCACCATGCTTAGCCAGTTGAATGTTGGCGAGACTATTTAACCCATAGATAGGTTTTGAATTCAGAGTTGTCCTTTTCCTAGACCAGTTACAATCCAAGGCTATAAGAATCAGTCTGTCTTGCTATTTGGATGGGAGAGAAGAGATGGATTCATAATTTTCCCAAGGGTATTTGTGGATGTAATGAAATTGACTAATTTGAACTCAGCTCTCCAATTCCTCATTTCAAGCCACTATCCAGTACGCCACTGTACCTCCATGTGAGTAATAATGGAATGGTAAATGGAACTAACAAAGCCCAACATTAGGAATCAAACACATTCCTGGAATCAAACAAAAATAACCTGACACCTGAAGCAGTAAATTCATAAGCACTAAAAGCCAAAAAGTTTGTTACTTTCTGTTATTTTGCACCTGAATTTTGGAAATTTCTGAAGAATATTCTAAATCTCCATTCAAATATTTATTAAAAATCAATTAAAATAAAATATTTAGTTGGAACTAATGAATATTTTTCTTGTGTAAAATTTGGAATTGTTCCTAATACTTCACATTTGACCCAATTAAACGATTACCTAGGTATGTAATTAATTTACATACACTGAGTGTCCATTATTTAATTTATTTTTTTTTTAATTTTTCCTTTTTTGAGAGTGGGGGTGTCACAACAAGCAATATAATTTTTGAGTGGTGGGTGTCACAACAGGCAATATAATCTTATATAAATTCTTAAGTGGGAGGAGCATTAGATAAAATATTCAAAAATAAATAATTAAAAAAAAATAAATACTAAGATATGAAGTTCTTGCAGAGATTTAATCAATCATTCGATTGTAGAGAGAATCTCCAATTGTGCACCATGTTGCAGTTTAAGGGACTACAGAGCAAAACTGCTATTTGTATAAGTGTGGCTACCCAGCAATGCTCATGACACACCACCTTCCCCTTAAATTTCTCAACAGTTTAGACAACAGAAACATCAAATATAATTCTGGAACTATAATTATAAATTGATCTCAAATATGTTGTCCTATGATTTGTTTTTAATTCCTGTACTTCATTAGTGAATACAGTGGAAAATACAAAGTAGATTAGGAAGATACATTACTCTGCATTGTCCCTCTTGTATTCAACTATGAAATATTTCCAAGCAGTGCTATAAGGACCCAAATTTACATCCTATTTTTAAATTTTCATTAAAACATTTAAAATTTAACTGATAATTGAAAACATTATGGCAAGATTAACTGAGAATATTTTTGAAAATGAAGAAAAAATAAAAACTCAAGATTTGATCACAAGGTTTGCTTTCTTTTTCTTTTTTAAACAAATATAAGTAAAAGACTAAATTAGAAGAAAGCTATTTCTATCAATTGACTTTTAATTTTTATAAATTATCTAAGTTTTTATGTTTAAAATGTAATTTCCAAATATTTTATGCCCTATTTAATGGCATCAAAAAAAAAAAACAATAATCCAACAAAACACATTTTTACCCAGAATGCAAAAGTAAAGCCTTCATAAAATTTTTTAAAGATTTTTTTTTTAAAATTCTTTGAGATATTACATGCTGGAAGGGGTTTTAATTTTGGGTAGAAGCTTAACTTGTATATCTGTATAATTTTTTTAAAGATGTACATGATCATGGCTTTCCAGTTTCTTTTTATTATCTGTGTATAATATAATTTTGGAGACAGGATAGCAGAATGGTTTCCCTTATCCACAGTTTTCAATTTCTTTCTCTGATACTGGCTGCTATCAAAAAAGTCTTACTCTTTGATCCATAAGTGGTCTTGAGAATACTTTATTCTTTGGCTGAAGCCACAAAAAAAATAATCACATGAAGTTATATCAGGGGTTCTAGGACATTGAATGTCATAGTCAATACCAATTATTCTTTCACAATACATTTGTTGCATATAAGACCTTGATCTTGCATCTACCAAATTTAGTTAGATTTGATCAAATATATAACATGTAATTGGGTAACAGTTTATCATTTGGTGGTAATCTCTACTATATAAATTTGTACTAAAAGGATAAAAATTATTGTATCATTACCATGAACAGAGAGAAAGTTAAATCTTAAATATTTTAGGGTGGCTATAAAAAAAACAATTTTCTGTATGAAATAACAGATTCAAGATACCTTTTTTTTTTAAAGAAAGTTATTTAATTTTTAAAATAGGTGAACTTTTTATAGATCAAATTGTATACATTTATTTACATTGTTTGGACTGTTATCCTCATCTTTATTGCCATATTCATGATGTTTCTTTGAGGACACATGGCCCAGTGGATAAAAGTGTTAGTTAAATCCAGTGACTTGACCCAAAGAGTTGTAAGTTCAATACCTGGCTAGTGCAGTAGTGAACAAAAACTTGGAAAGTTAAGTTAAAGGCAGTCAAAGTTGAGAAATCCAGAAGAGAACAATCTAGAACAATCTACCCCAGTGGACGAAATAAATGGTTCAGTTCGAAATTACAATCACCTGAAGAAGGCAGGAGCATAAAATGGCTGAAACATTGTAAATATGGCAATAAAGATGAGGAAAACAGTTCAAACAATGTAAATAATTACAATACATCATCATCAGAAATTTAGACAGATATCAAATTGTATACATTTGTATATGTAACACTTTTCAAATAGTGTACAGATACTATATTTTAGGACTGGAGAGAGACAATCTGGTAAATTTCTGATTCTAGGCAGACATATCACTCCTTATATAAATAATCCCATCCCATTTGGCAGGTACTGTGCTTGTATTTAAAATAAATCACCATTTAGACAAAAAATTCACCAATGTTTTTTCCTTCTTTATGACATTAATTCATTATAAAAGCACTGAATTAACATTCAAGTAAATAATATAGCCAATATTAACAAAATGGGAAAACACTTTATAATCTAACAGATTGTTTTAAAGAAACACCAGTTAACATTTTTTACATTGCGACATACCTTTATCAGCTATCAGTTCTGTGTTTACAGTATCATGAAGAAGTTGTAGCTTGGCATTTAGAAGGGATTCTGAAAGTTCTTTTGGCATTTCATTAACAATGTTGGCAACATGTTGCGTGATAACTTGACAGGACACCAGCTTCAAAAGGGAATGATAGATGCTGGGCAGGTGAGTCAGTAGCAAAACCTGAAAAATAGAGACAAATAATTGCATTTAGAAACTTATATCACAAAAACTTCTTGATTCTTTTTGTTAGATACTCTGTATAAATTCACCTCATCATCACTGGAAAACTTCTGTCATTTTTTTATGATTATCCTAACTAAGAATGTGCTATACATGTTGTAAGCTTCCAGATGCTTTTGAGCAACAAATACCCTCAACTCCTCTGTCTATCAGCATTCTGAGAATCTACTCTGCACAGATCTTTGAGTAGCCAAAAGAATGAACTAAAATGTAAACACTACAATGGCTCACTTGGAGACTTTCAGAGTTTTACAGTAAAGATTTTTCTGTTAGTTGTAATGAAGGTATCAGCTTGTTTGGCCTTATTCTTATTCACAGCAGCTGACCTGCCATTGTGGGGCCTATTACTAAGGTCAGTTTTTCTTTTATCTCAAGGATTATTATTAACTATACTGACCTATCTCCTTACTGTGATTACATCAAGTGCATCATTTCCATAAACATTCACTGATCGCCTATGAATGTTTGCAGTATTTTCCCCTAAAAACAGAAATTCTTTGCTTTCTACAAGAGAGAGCAGTCATTTTGAAAGAGGATAATGATTAGGAAAAGAGATGGTAACACTACAAATTTCTCCTCTGGGCTTTAGGACACTTTATGGCTTATAAACCCTCAGAATTCTGACTAATACATTTGAGATTAATTTAAAACAATCATCATTGTTTTAAAAGAACCTTCAGATAAAAATGGATGTTAAAGAGACATTATGAGTGTCAGCTTGATATTGGGTAAGAGTATGGACTCTACAAGATATCTAAAGGTTTCCACTGGAATCTGGTGCCATGATGTTAACGGCAGATTCTTTAAGTACTGCCAGTTACATTGTGATGGTTTGGCAGAGTAAAACATAACCCACCAAGTTTTTTTATATTAAAGTTCACCCAGTACAAGATTTGAAAGTCACTCAAGATAAAAAGTTACTGTTAAAATGGTTATGGTGAATGGTATGAATTAAAGAAGAGATGGCAGGAAGTGAAGTTTATGAGGACAAGGAGGATGGATAACAATTGATTTATGACTTAGAGAAGTTAAGATTGTAGTGCTCAGAGAAACATCCATGTGGAAGTTTGTTTCCCAAAGTGCTCAATGGGATTTAAATCTGGACAGTCTGATGGCCAGATTAACATAGTTTTCTTCAAATTCCAAAAATCATTCCCATAGAGCTTGTGAAAAGTTATCAGCTCACCCCAATTCCCAAAACCACTATTTTGATGGTTGATCACTGAAATACTGATATTGGAAATGTTGGCTGAACCGAGAACTTTTCAGCAATTAGTCATCTTTGGTAAGATTCTCATGAATTTCCAAGTGAAACATTTATAAAATCCACAAGCAAATTGTAATCATTCTGCACATCACTTGTTAATTACTTCTGGTTAATTAATCCTTGCGATGCTACTGAACTAGATTATATAAATTTCACTACTTAATCTCAGAGTTGAACTCACAGCCACTGTGTAATTGTATACACCGAATATATCAGGATCAGCATTTAGAGCAGGATTTCCCAACGTGGTTGTTAGCACCCCCTTGTGGACTCACTTAAGTTGAAAGGAGGCATTGGGAGGTTTTATTTCATTGGGGGTTATGAGGACATATTCAGTGGGGGAGATGATTTATCCACTTTTCTTTTTTCAAATTTTCAAAAATTATTCAATATTAATAACAAAATGAAATTTCCGGAAGGTATCTAAAGTTGTGGAAAGCTATCAAACTTTCCTTCATTTCTTTTCTAGCTTCCTATATGACTGAATGCGGTTTCAATGCAGTAAAAACAGCTTCTTACTAAACAAAGAAACTGCTTGCAAATTACAAAATGGAGAGATCTACAATTACTTCTAAGCATCATGGAAACTAGGGTAAGCACCAAAGTCAACAACTGCATTGAAAACATTGAGATAAACTATCAAATAAAAGTTTTCTTTTTAGCATTTTAATAATTAGCATTTATAATTGAAATGAAAACAATATTAAAATTATTTTTGCACTCATACCTAATTGTTATCTGGCTATGAAAAATGAATTCAGGATAATATTTGAAATTTAATTTGACAAGAGGGCATTGACAAGAAAGTTTGTACACAAAAGGGGTGCTGGTTGAAAAAAGGTTGAAAAAAATTGCTTTAGAGTAACAACTAGCCTGGTAGCCTAACATTGGCTTCCATGAGCAGAAATGCAACAATGGGTAATAAAAGCCAGAAATCTGCGACAACCTGTGGTAGGTTGGAAAGATGATTCAGAGGATTTGTGGTCCAAAGAAATATTAAAAAACTGGTATAGCTTTTGGATACATCTCAGCAGAGTCTAGCCTGCATCAGGTGAGAATATGAACAAGAACTGTGTGTAAAGCATTTCATGCAATTATGACAGAGAATAAACAAGAAAGAGCAGTCAGATGACTTATTGATGTTTTTTAAGCCATAAGAAATGGAGAGATGATAAAATCAAGTATGCCTCAACATATATGGAAAGAAAAGGAAGTTCAAGAACTGTTGTGGAATTAAGTTAAAATAACAAAGAACAACACTGGAGAATAAGATGATTGAAATAATCAGCAGACATGCTAGACTATGATAACTTTCTCAGTGGGCCTAGTGTAGAAATGGATACCAAATAAGAGCCTTTGATTATGAAGGAATAAACATTAAGCATAAAGCTCTAATATTCTATGACATAACCAATATATACATTAGGCTAAATGAATTTAGTTTTGAATTTGATCACTGATAGTGAAATTCAGAAACTTTGGTTCAATGGCCTTATCAGAATTAGTAAACTATTGAAAATGAACTAACAAAAACCTCTTAGAAGTTGATCAAGTATAACAGCGCAAAATGTAAAATTTTGACTAAGCTGAGGACACCAATTTGAATAAATGTATAATTTTGGTAAGAAGGATGGTCTGCTCAGAAAGCTTCTTCTCAAGAACTGCTGATGTATGGCTGATTCCCTGAACAATACAATCTCAACGCCTTCAAGTCTAGGGTCAATTCATTATCTATTCTTCATTTCCTCATAATCTTCACTTCCTACATACTCCTCTTACTTTCAGATTGCACACATCATTCAGCAACACTCTACCTTGAGTGGCACTTGGGCTTTGTGTTTGGTGAACTTAAAAAAAAAAAAATCGATTTTCAAGTTAGTTACTCAATTCAAAGGTTAAAAAAACAAACAAAAAAAAAAACAAAAACAACAACACTCTTCCTGTTTCCAAATGCAAAAAAAAAAAAAAAAGTGAATTTTAAATCTACCTATCTACATGCAAATTGTACACTGACATTTATGAAACAAAAAGGTAAATAAATGTCTATTCTACTGTTGTCTTTCTGATGAAAGCATAGAAATAAATTCTCTTACCTGACTGCTATGTAATGAAGGGTTACTAAGTGATACTAATTTTCCCATCTTTTTAAATGCATTGCCAATGAGTTCTGAAAAATCGATTGCATCGCTTGAGGTATAAGTCCTAGGGAAAAAAAACAAGCAAAAGAAAACATGTATTTATTGATTTTCTTTTTATAGACAGACATAAAAGTTTTCATTTACTAAATACTAACCAAATTCCTGTCCTATGAACAGAGAAAAGACGTGCAGAAACATTGCTATTATTATAAATAAAAATAAAATATAATGTTTTATAATTCAGTAAACTTGCCTTTTTTTATTCTTTTTTTTTTTTTTTTTACTTGTTTAAATAATCCCATATAATGAAAATGATAAATAAAATAAAATTTAAACCTCATTTAAAATAAATTAGATAAATAAAAAAAATATAAAAACAATAAAATTACTCCCAGCATGCTGTAGGGACTGTTCTTGGTGGAAATACGGACATCCCACCAAGAGACATGAGATTCAATATTTTCACTCATCGACTGTCAAGATGAGAACACGTGTGTAACTTCCCTCCATGATAAGATTTGTGATATTACAAAGTGACTTACTCCTTTTTATAACATGAATATTATCACAGTTGTAACCTAAAATACACACACCAATACACACAAATGCATGAATAAAATTGTATTAAATTACCATACAATTTACTGTCTTTTTTCTTATTGTTGTTGTATACGTTTGTTTGTACTGTTTTTCCTCGTGAACACAAGCCCAATTTTTATGACCGCATGGTGTGAGTGAATATACCTCCACAGATGTCATAGAAGTACTTTTAACTCTGTACAAACAATATTTTCAGCAAAACATTTATTTTCTAAACTACCTTTTGTCATTCTATTTACATTTGAATTTCCTACATTGAACAGAGTTGAGCATGAGTAACTTTTCAATAATTTTCTAATAATTATATTAATAATAATAATAATAAAATGAATTCAGTAAACTTGCCTTTTTTTTTTTTTTTTGCTTGTTTAAATAATCCCATACAGTTTTAAGAAAATCTAATTAAACAAATTATTTTCCCTTATTTATATAATTTCAAAAATCTTTTTGGGATCAATTTGACTAATTTGTAGTAACGGGATATAGTAGACAACAATGGTACTTATTATAAACGTTATATGTTTTCTAATTTACAGCTGAATTTTGGCAAGGAAGATATAAATTCTTTCTAAATCAAGTCAAGATCTGGAGCTTTGATTATACTGCTGTGGCTTTCCCAGTGACTGGGGTAGACAGCAGTCAGCTCTCACAACTTCTTTCCAAGCATGTCTTTACAAGCGGGCTCATGTTGGCAAGGCCGCACTCCTGCACATCCCGATGCAGTCCTTCCATGTTTTCTTAGGTTTACCTCAACCTCAGTGACTGGGAACCCCGAACTCCTAGACAGTCCGAATGCATGACAAAGCTCATTGGATGTGACCAAACTATCTAAGACAATGAGTGTGCAGCACCTTTTAAAAATTGTTATTCAAATTAAATGTCACAGCTTATGTCGTAAATGCCATTTGTGACATTATATATATATATATACACACACATACACAAGTATAGGATTGGTGTATATGGAATAAATTCCAATAACCAAAAAATACTATTCTCAAAATAAATTTGGTAATTTTTAATTTTCAATTTTATAGTAAAATTTAATATTAATTAATTAGAATAATTTCTATTTTAGTCTAACCCTAACATTAAGGCATTAATTAATTATTATAACCAAGGTTCCTTGTCAAGTTTTTTGAATTCTCATGTACTTGTATTTTGATTGGTCATTGCAGCTTATGTAACAGTGTTTCCCCTATTGAGGGGTGTTTTTTTGTCTTTTATTCTACATTCAACACCATCACTTGATAAGACATGAAAAGTGTTGAAAGAAAATGGCTATTTTTGTATTGATTTTATTACATATTTATTTTATAATTTTCGAATAAAATATATATATATATATATATATATATATATATATAAAGACCGACAGTAAAACTATATTTGCGGTATAAGCTGGGCTGTTTTGTTCTACTAATGTAAGGTTGGGACACAGACAAAATTTATCTTTATGCAAGTTTATAAAAGAAGATAAAAAGACTAAAAAATTATCAGTCCCTTTTTAATAATTGTTTATTAAAAATTGAATCTATTTCAAACTGGAAACTGAGCAGAAAGTAGTCAATAAGGTTATCATTAAAATGTCAATTGTCATTTTCAAATTCAAACAGCAAACAAAATTTTCTTGAAGAAAACAATTAACCAAGAGAAAATGTTATCTGAAGATAACTGGAGCAGTGACTGGTTGGAAACTTGTAGAAAAAGGAAACATTTCCAAGTGAAAATACAAAATCAGAAGAGAAGAAAAATAAAATAAAATCTGTATGTAAATTTGGAGATGATTACCTGACAAACAGCACATTTGATTGTACAATAAACTGGAACAAATAATCAAATACCTGCAAAGATAAACAAAATCAAATATGGTCAAAAATATCAAAATAAACTGGAAAAGATAAATGAAAGAAAAGATTTGTGAAATAAATAAGAAAGCAAAATTAACAAAAATTGACAGTGAAATTAAAAATGAAAGCTGAAGTGTTTTCCATATTGATTATTCTAACAAATAAGTTCAAGTTCTTAAAGAACGGTAAAAACTTCACAATTCATAAAAATAAATTTGAAGACTAAAACTAAAATAGTTTTGGTCAATAATTTCTTTAGATTGTAATCTTTTCACATGCGAAAGGCTGAAATAGTTTCAAACTAAAAATGTTTATCATTTACAAAAAATATATTCAAATTCTATTAAAATTTGAATAGAATTTAAGATTTTTTTCAAACCTTGTTTCACTGTCAAATAACATCATCATCATCATCATTATTATTATTATTACTGAATAGTAGATAAACACTGTCTTTGGTGGTCAGTGCATTAGATTGAGTGACTTTCTGTTTCTAGACTGACAGTTCTAGGGAGGGGGGTCTGTGAGAGTTTCCTGAAGTTTATTTCTATATAAAATGTTATACTTTGTTAAACCAATTTGTTATTTTATTAAACTTAAGAACTGGTGATTTCAGCCCAGTTTTGGTGTAGGTTTCTGTGGTTGAATTGGTAAAAGTACCATCCATGAAACTTTTAGGATGTGCATTCAGAAGTTTCTTCTTTAGTTCAACTTCATATGGTTTTATAGAATCACTGTGTATTCAACTTTAGAACATTGAAATAAAAACAAGATGAAAAAAAAACAAACTAGCTAAGAATTGATAGTGAAAATATTTCATCTCAGAATTTAAAACTAGAGTCAATATCATTAATGAATAATTTCTTGGCATATGGTCTTTAAAAAGATTACACATGAGAAAAATGTTCATAGCCTCTTCTTTCTACAATATTGGGAAATTCCTTTAAAAATCAATAACTCACAAAAATGTATAAATGTCAGCAAGTTCCTTCTAGACTTTTTAAATCTCTTCAAGTTGGCAATGTTTACTATGCTAAAGAAGTCTCTTAGATAAATGGTGCTAGAAAGGAATGGATGCTCGGTTTGGGTTTATTTAATGGTCCTTCAACCACTATAGAGTTATTTAAGGCCACATAAAGGTTTTGAAATGAGGGTTGCTTTGGGTAGAGCTTGATGTTATAAGTGGATCAGTGATAGTTTTGGGTACAGGTTAGTTGTTGAAATTTTCTTTTTAATTAGTTATTAGAGAATAAAACTGTGATAGCAAATAAATGGACTTTTTATTAGTATCTCCACACCCAGTTGAGTGCTAACAAAAATTGCCGTCTCCCTTGACACTTTTCTACTGGGAAGAAATAACTTCCTGAAGTTGAGTATAGTATCTGAGCATTTTATGTCTAACAGCATGTGTCTTATACCCGGATCAACTGAGCACATCTTGCTCAATAGAAATAATTCATTTGCCTCTTTAGCTTTAAAATTAAATTTTTAAAAATTACTTTTGTTATTCATTTCCAATATGGTCTTTGGTAATCTGGAGAGTGTTGGAACCAATAATTCAAAGGATTGTTTACAAGCTATTAAAGAAATATTTTCGGCATTAAATAATCAACAGACTTGATATGCCATTAAAACAAGAATCATTCAATCAATTGCTTAATAATGGATTTATTTTCTTATCTTTGAGTTTAAAGAAAAAAGCAAGAATTTTGAGGAGACAGAAAAATAATAGTAAGTGCAAATTTTCAACCAACATTAGTTTTGTAGATATAGTAATTAAATTTGTTAAGTAAAACCATAATATCATTTATAACAGACGAACAATGATAATTGGCATTACACTGGTTAAGTCCCTTTGTTTTGCTCTGTTGTGTGATGCCTACTGAATTGTAGATGAAAATAAACAATTTGTAAACAGTCTAAACTGATGACCTTTCTTTAGTTATATGATAATTTGGCTTAAGACCATCTGATTCTGGATCCACAAATCTTTTAATGAAATGAAGGCAGAGCAAATGAAAGGGACTCTTGTATTACACAATACCAAGCCTCACTGCTAATGAAGGTTACTAGGTACAACTAACACCTGAAGAAAATCAAATTATTTAATTAAAACAACAAAAGGTGAAAGTTTTAGTGTGAATGAATCATCAAATAAAATCAAACCTTACTTTGAACATTTGCTTTAGGATTTTATCCGTGCTGCCATCAATCACTTTGGTTATACTTTGACCCAAACAAAATAGTAAGTCTCTGGAAGAATGAAAGAGAAAGATATTAAGTCATAAATCATTTGTCATCAGAAAGTGAAATCATTTTGTATGTGTAGACATTGTTTCAATCATTAACAATCCTTCACACACACACACAATTCATTTTAATATAACTAAGGTCTATGGTGGTTATCAGCACAGAAAATGGAATTGGCATGCCAAGTTCAAATTCTAGCCAAGTTTGCTGCATTCACTTTCATACAAATGTCCTTGAGAAAGTGTTATAAAGCTTGTATAATGTTCATAGTTGCTGCTTAGTAAGACTATAAGGAAAATACTGGAAACAAAAAATTGAGCAAAGTAGGGTTTAATACTGAGAACATGTGTTGAGAATACAGTAGTTCAGTATGACAAGTGTATGAATGATAAGCACCAGTCCTTTATGACCCACTTTTTGCCACTGTTCCATGGGCAGATGTTCTACTCATAGCAGATGAACAAGTCCATGTTTCAATAATAAGTGTAGAGAAGGTTAGTCAGTCTTTCTACACAACAAAAAGGTTTAATTCCATTTCTTCTTGCTCCAGCCATGGGTTAAATAACAGGTCAGACTGAGCTTTTTAGCCTTGATTAGCAACCAGCCTAGAAGAAAGACAACTAGAATTCAAAAGCAGATTGGCATGGGGATAGTAATTCAGAAACCACTTGTATAGTGAGGCTGTGGCCTTATTTTCTACAGGGGGGTGTCTGGCATTAAGTAGGATGGAGAAGGGATGATCAAAGAAAATAAATGTCAGTTCACCTGTACACAAGAGATGAGGAAAACGTCTCATAAAGGTAAGACTGGAAGCCAGGCACATAGTGTTTGAATTTACGTTCTGTAAGCAAATGGAAAACATGAATCTGGAAGAAAGAAAAAAAAATTGCATTATTAATTTTTTTTACATTTCTGTTTGGGGCAAAAGTAACACAAAATAAAGAGGAGAAAAAAAAAGCAGTAAAAAGAAAATAATCCTAATTGCATAAACTTACAAGAGCTTCAAAAACATTTTGAGCATAGGAAACTGGTTGTGCAGAGTCAGATATGAACATGTCGAAGAGTGTATCAAGGATATCATGAAGGTACTGAAAGAGAGAAACAAAACAAATGATCATCTTTCTGCTAAGAAGTGTGGTACCTGCGATGGAGTAATGGTTAATAAGCTAGTTTAGTAGATCACTTACTAGTAAAGTGAATTCAATCCGCAATCAGTGCTCAACTATTATGGCCCCATTCCAGACAAAGATAAACTTTAAAAATATCTGATTTTTAATTCATTGAGCCTGTAGTAGCAGTTGACCTGTGCAACACTGATATCTAACTCTGGAAAAGAATTACACAGCCATATATACAAGTCTGTTAATATGAGCAACTTTGTATTGGCCATTTGTTGTTCTTCACGGCTAATCATACAGGTAGTTCTGAAATCATGAAATTTACCCAAAATGTTCAGGTATAATGTATTGATAAGTGATCAGATCTTTGTTACAGAAACTAAGATGTAAGTTGAATAAAGTTGTTAATATGAGCAACTTTGTACTGGCCATTTGTTGCTCTTCACTGATGATTTCTTCTGTTACACAATCAATTCTGAAATAGTGAAATGTACCCAAAATGTACTAGCAAAGGGAATCAAGTCTGAAGGTTCAAAGAGTTAAGTAGATTTCTTATGTACCATATCTATTCAGGACATGGACTAACATAGCTCTCCCTATCTATCTGTTTATCTACTTATTATTTCTCCTAGCACCTCTTCTGCCATCAATTTACTCAAGCTCATTAGGTTATTGCAGTTTCCCTCTGCCCCTCTCATGTTCATTATGTTCTGTGTCTATCAAATTCTCATTATGTGTCCCAGAAATTTTAACTGTTTCTTTCAGATTCTAAGTACAAAAGATTTCTCATTTTCCTTAAGTTAAGCAGATGGAGTTAAAGTTTTTCAAAAGTATCAAATTTTAAACCTTATTTTATGCTAGAATAAGATTTAAGATTTTTAACTAAAAAATGAACTGCCATATTTAAAATGATCTTTTTAGTCACTGCTATGTTGCATATGTCAAAGAACAATTGTATTAGAACATTTTGCTACAGGTTAAATAAAAGAAAAATGTCCTACATTCTATAGCTTTTCTTCAAGGTTCATACCAATTTTCTTATCTGCTATTGAAAAGAAAAATATTTTGATCCAATGTATATGTGACATTTTCAATGATTGCTATCACAATAAAACAGACATTTTGTTTTATTCTTTTCAGTGCAATTTTCATACATGAAAGGCTAACTAAAGGCTTAGCACACTTTCTTACAATAACCTTTAAGCAACGACAATCAAAACAATTACACTGTCACACTAACAATAGTATGAGCCTCTTTTGTGAGGAAGAAAACACAAGATGACAACAAATGCAACTCACTCGCACTATGTCGATATCCTGTATACTTGCTAGCTTTTCCAAACTGGAAGAAATCTTGTGTCTCTTTGTCCGCCATTGTAAGATTTCAAGGAGATCTCCTGTAAATGCAAACAGTGGATTGAACTTGAGCAGACAACTTACCAGTAACACAGACATGTGAAACAGAATCTAGTTGAATATAAATCTACCAACATCTGTCACAGAATCATCTTAGATACAAAGAAAATTGTTTATTTTAACAACAAATTTACTTCAACAAAAATAACAGAAATAGAAAGAAGATGAGGGATAAAACAGGATTGATGTTATTTTGTAAGCATGCATGAACAAACATGGCAGATTTTTGAAAAATTCAGTTTTTTGCAGAAAATGTTTAAAATTATGAAACTGCTTTATTGACAGCCAAATGATCAAATTTCAAATTATGTTTTTTTTTCCATTTAAAATAATTCAGTTTAAATAGAGAAGGAGTCATTACTTCAAAGGGCAGCATATTTTGACATATAGTCTTTTTGGCCCTAGCGACAGATGTCCATTTCAATCAAATTATATGTCTATATGTTTGTGCAAACTTTGTGCATATTTTAATTCAATGACAAACCTAAAAATATGTATGCCAAATTTTTTTAAAATTTAAAAGAAAATTTTATTTATTAGCAAACAATTTATGAAAAGTCCACTGAAATCATAATTATCTAACTGGGAAGGAGGGTTAAAAATTAAATTGTCCCATTTTTTTTTAAACTCATTCCACTTGTGACTGGACATTTACTTTGTGGTTATCTCTATGCTGTCAGATTCTAGATACCAATAAATAATTATTAATAGACTGATACTGATATATGATAAATGTGAATAGACCAATATCAATAGTTAGTGAAATAATTACTGATAAGATACTAAAGCTCAATCACTGTAGGTAAAAGACATACACACATGTAAACAAAGTTTGATGGGCATTAAGCTGTTGATGAGCTTTACATTTTTTTCTCTCTCATCTCCAAATTTATGATTTTATTAATCAGATTAGGGTAGGAATTATCCAGACTGAGTGGGAGGTATTATTCCAATGTTTCATTTCAAACTTAGTCAAATTGTGTGTGTTTGTGCTTATGTGTATATAAAGTATCTAAAAATTGAAGGCTGCAAGCTTTTTTTTCAAAATTAATTTACTAGCTCACTTTGGGATAGATATCATATATTCAATAATAATAATAATAATAGCATTAAACCGTTACTATATGAAGTTTCTTTAAAATTTTAGGTTTTTTTACCTAATCTACCTTGCTGGCCAATGGTAATCTTAGAAGTGGCAGATTTCAAATTTTAGGTAACACCAACTCTAAAAGATTAGAAGCCATGCACTGATGAATTAAATAGTTTCAGCATCTTAGCTTAGAAGGAGTTAATTAAACAAAAGAACGTATGAAACTTCAGTCAGTTAAGTGCCATATGTAATACACGCTTGGGTAATCATGTCTTTTTCAATCCATGACTGACTAAGCTGAACATCTTCCCACAGTGAATTGCCATTTATTTCTGTGATGGACTGGTGCCACCCAAGGCTATAGAACCCAGGCTGTCCTGCTATTTAATTCAAAGGAGAAGAGATGAATTCATACCTTTCTCAAGAGTATTTGCCCATAAGTGAATGCAACAAACTTGTCTGGAATTCAAATTTGGCTCTCCGAGTTGTCTTTCCAAGCTGATATCCATTACACCACAATCCTGTCCTATAGTGTATGCATATACATTATGTATGCATATACATTACGTATGCACGTGCAGTGTGTGACAGAGAATTAGCTCTTCTTTTATAATTTAGATTATGGAAAAGATTTTAATGACATTTAAGAGAGCATTGTAGGTGTGACAAAATTTGGGAATATATAGTGTGCTGACATTAGGGACGTTTTCAGAAAATCTATTTTTCCTTTAACTATTTCACAGTCAAGAGAAAGAATAAGAAATAAAAACTACAAGAGGAGAAAAAATGATGGAAATTAATCTTTAAAAAGATTTGTCTTGTAGTTGAGATAGTTGCGTCTGCTTCTGGCACCTGTTAATGTTTGATCTAGAATTTTAAATGCTGATTTACACCCCATCCCTCTCCACACACTTGAATTCAGATTCATGCTATACAATCTTACTTCACTACTTAAATTTGGCCTTGAGCAATATTAACAAGATGAACAATAAAAAATGAAATATGAAACAAAAGGAGGCAAAGAAGAAAAAATTATTTTTACTATTTTGTGTGAATTTTGTTGAGCAGAGACAGGAAGTGACTTCTATATATTCTCGTGCACTCCGTTGAAAATGTGGTCCTCCAGTCTGCAGGGCTGATGAAATGGGGTTATTTAATTCAGAAGTTGTACAGGGCAAATTGATGTAAGAGGAATTTTTGAGTTGTGATAAAGAGTCACACTGAATATGAGTGAAGGAAAAGAAAAACAAAAACAAATCAATTAGCAAAATGAAATTAAAAAATAGACTTAAAAGGAAATGAAACAAATAATTGAAACAAAAGAGGAAAGTGATACTTTCATTTAATTGAACATTCAATACAACAATTATATTTTACAACCTTAGTAATTAAGTATAAAATGTTTTTTTTATGGAAGAAATACAATAGAAGCCAATTTAATGAATCATTTCAATTCCTTGTAGAATTTTTGTTTTTGTTTCATTGTATTTTGTTGCATGATTTTTTTGCTTTATATCATTTTTTCTTTACAGAAGTTGAAAATATTAAAACCACAGGTCCTAAAATGTTCTATATCACAAAACCCAAAGTAACAATTTATTATTTAGAAACATTTGAAATTGGAGATAATATTTAGCATAAATAAACAAAATTAATTTAAAATTTAAAATACTTACTCCATATGCTGAGATGCATTCATATAGCATATTTACTAAATATCTACTTTTTTAACAAAATAATATAAATATTATATACATAAGCTAATAAATACATATATTTACACAGATATATAAATACATAAAAATATACAAGGTCTGTTCAGAATGAATTCCGCCATTTCGAATATTTCAAGAACAACATTGGCCTTGATGTAATCAATCAGAGGAGATCTTACTGTTTATGTATGAACAGGCAAATCTGGCAACCAATCAGACCTTACTGCATACACATGAATTTTCTCTCATGTCATGAAGTAAATTTGCATACTGTATGACTGTTGCATTGATAATTGTTGTTTTCCAAGTTAAAAGTTAACTCTATAAATGAACACTTCTTCTAAGACTGTATAGACAGAATGATTTTTCCTTTTCTTGCTTCTTCTCTTGTATTGGGAGACAGAGATTTAGGTTGATTCATGGTGTCTAAAGCATCCCAATGAAGAAATGCCAAGGTCAAAAAGTGAGGACTGGGCAGCACGTGCCTAGATATGGTAGCAATATGCCATTCTTAATCTGATCTGACTCATGTATAGAGAGAGCATGGCAGCAGGAGTCTGGTATTTTCTGGAATGATACAGAGAACTGACATTCTCCCAGCATCTTTAGCAATAGCACAAATATATAAGTTCCATTCAAGGTCTAAAGTGAGATTTTGATTCAATAGGTATTTGTGGCAAGTAGCCACATTAAGGTTATGACTACTCATTAGGAATGGCACAAATTTGAGGTCTGCTTTCTGGTGATGAAGCATTACTTGCTTTGTTTTGGAGGTATTAAATGATACAAGCCAGTCTTTAGTCTATTGAGCTGTGAGTCAGAGGAAAGGTCAGCTGCAAAGCACTGGTCATCCAGATATTTGGAGGTAAGCCCATACACCATGGTATCATCTGCATATATATTTATCTATCTCCTTTTTAATGTTCTTTGTGAAAAGGACCAAAGTGTAGTACCTGTGCATACAAGATATATATGTGAGTACTGAAAATTTCTTGGCATCATCCACTTCCCTAAATCTTACCAAACTAAACCTATCTGATATTTGTTTTTAATCTCTTCTTGGTTTGGCTAAGAACTTTTCAACAGTTATCGTGAAACTGACAATTAACCTCATATTTTTATTTTATCTTTAAATCATTTTTATTGGTTAATGGCTGGCTGCTCATTTTCAAATATACCCATCTGCTAGGGTGTCTAGTTAATCTCTCTTGTAGACACATGCTCAAGTACTTTTGTATTTCTTCAACAACTAATCTATGGTTTATACTCCAACTATGCTGAATCAGCCTTAGTTATAGTTTCTGGAAGAGTGAGCATAATATGGTTGAACAAGAGCAGTATGTTTGAACCCCCTCAGTCACGAGGATTTATAGTTTCATGCTAGCACAACTAATAACAGATTCTTTCCCACAGATGCAACATAGCAAGCTTATCACTATTCTATCGCTATTTCCATTACAAATGTTCAGATGAGCTACACTCTTTAGTTCCCCCAGTTCAAACTTTTGCAATTAGGACTCACTATGCTACATCCACGGAGTTGAATCACCCACATTTCCTCTGTATTCCAATTGTAAAAAGGAAGTTCCACTCAGAACTTTTAATCTATAAAACAGAATCTTTTATGAATACTTCCATGAACATTAAAATCTTAATTCAAGCCAAAGGCCAATGGTTATCTAACCTCCTTATCTTCATAAGCTTCACTTCCTTCTACCTCTTGTTACATTAATATTACACATCTCACCTTGAGTTGCTCTTCAACCTTGTATTGGGTGAATTTTAATATGAAAAAAAATCCATTAAATAAATTAAAGTTGGCATCCCAAGATCTGCCTTGAGAATGTACATTGTGATACCAGTGTTTTTTTCATATGTCAAAAGCAGTGCAGATATCTTCTTCGTAAACTCTGCAAGGTGATGCCTGTTCAGGTTTTCTGTGACAATCTCTTTATAACCAATTCCAATCATGTGAAAGACTGAATGGATCATTCAGCATGGATTAGTTCACAAATTCCCTCCCTCCCTCACCAATTTTCTAGTGTTTTGCACATAATTAGTTGACCTGATTGCTTATCTTGATTGACCTTGAAGCACACATGCCACCAAAACAATTTTCACCTAACAAAACAAATTTGTGAATCTCAGTAGTTGATTTTTGCTGATATTCACACAAAATTTGATGCAGTCATGTTGTTTGAATTTTTCAGCCATAGTGAGAATCACAGAACTATTGTAAACCTAACAACATTACAAAAACTCATAGACTAATTGAACACAACTAAATAACAGGAAGACTATTGGCAGCCTGACTCATTACTTTAGGGAACAATGAACATAAGTTGCACATGTATTTCTCTTGAATTGTACAATCACAGTATATGCAATTTGCAAACTTTCCAATGCAGTCTCATATGCATGCATTTTAAATGTATAATGTAATTTTTTTTATTACCAAAGAGCAATGACTGAATCTCACAAGCTATTGTTAGTAAGTTTGATGAACACTTAGTAGAAACACCTACCATAGAGCAATGAATAACAAGATCATTTTGAAAGCCATTGCTTGTGGATTCATATATTACTGGATGCCATATCAGATGTGGCCAAAATTATCTATATTGGAAGCCTATTCTAAATTGAAGGCTAACAAAATCTTTTATTACAAGTTGTTATTTTGAGCCTTACTAGTTTGAAGGTCAGGACAATTGTAAAAAAGAATAAAATAAAACAAAGAAGCATATAAAGTCATTTACTTACTTTGTATATACACAAAGTATGAGCATTGTCCATGAGAGTAATATCACTGCTCGTTATTTTCAAAAACGTGAACCCAAACAGCTTCTTCTCCCCTTTGTCCCGAGCTGTGGAAATGAAGAGAGGTAACGAAAAAACAATAAAAATAAAAAAATACAGAATAACATGCATACATTGACACAAAATAAAAATTACATGTATCCATAAGGATTGGCTTATATCAACAGACAGCTCTTTCACATGTTTACTTTTTTTTGGTAATATATAGATTTCCAAAATTAAGAAAATAAAATTTCTTGCTTTTAAAGAAGTGTTAGAATCAGATTTCTTTACCTTTTGATTATTTCAAAATAACAAAACCACAGCAAATTGTAAAAGTCATTCATCTTACTTACTGGAACAGTGCCGAAGATCCAAGCGTATGTGGGCACCAGTGAATTTCTCAATGGGCAAGCAGAACTGTTTAAAAAAAAAAAAAAAAAAAAAGTTTGTCAATCAATAAATGCCTTCAAAGAAAAAGAAAAAGTTAAGAAATGCTTGAATCCAATTGTAAAATTGAATTTAAATGTAGTACTAGACAAGCAGTTAAGTTTCATTTTTTTATTTTTGAAATGACTAAATGTAACCAAAAGTTCTAGTCTAATAGTTTCTATCAACTACAATCATCCAAAATTTAAATGCAACATCAATTGTTATCATTGAATCCTGTTCGTTTTATTCTACTTCTACCTCAGGAAACAGTTTTTCCTAGAGTGAAATGATTAAAAATAAAATTGTTTACTGCAAAATATGTATGATAAACATACAGAGAAGCATGACCATATTGGCCTAGAGAGAAAGATAAAAATATATGTACATTGTTATTACATAGTATATGTATTTAGTACTGTATTGGTAATAAATATTCAATATTAATTATGAATGTAAAGAAAAAATAAAATTTTGAGAAAAACAAGAAAATTTTCTTTTTAGTTAAATTCTTTATGGAATTTTGTAAAGAATTTCTCACTATTTTTTCCTAGACTTTTAAAATTTTTTATACAAATATTTTGTTTCATGAGGTAGAAATATATTTGATACAAAGATTATTTCTTGATAATTTACAAAATTTGATTTCCCGTAAATACAGGATTAGGAATTTACAATAAAACTAGGAAATAATAAATGGTTACAATTACTCCATTTTTTTTCAAATACAAAATTTTGAAAAATCTTTATATTTCAAATCATTAGAAAACAATATCTGTATACATTTCTGACATGAGATGTAACTATTTATACTATTTACATTGGATTGTTGTCCTCATCTTTTTTGCTATATTCCCAACCTTTTGGCTCTTGTAGACTCCGGCCTTTTTCAGGATCTGTCTATATTTCCAAAATGAGGTATTATAATTATTTACATTGTTCTGACTGTTGTCCACATCTTTATTGCCATATTCACCTTCAACATCTGCGATGATGCATTGTTAATATTTACACTCTTTGCATTGATTTGATTGTTGTCCTCATCTTCATTGTCATATTCACAACATTTCGGCTGTTGTGCATTCCAGCCTTCTTCAGGATCTGTCTATATTTCTGAGATGTGGTATTGTAACTATTTACACTATTTACATCATTTGGATTGTTGTCCTCATATTTATTGCCATATTGTCCCCAAGGACACATGGCCCAGTGGATAAAAGAGTTGTGAGTTCAATACCTGGCCTCAGCAGAGGGAACAAAAAATTGGAGAGTTGAGTTACTAAAAGGAATTAACTGATACTGAGATATCCAGATAAGGCATGGCATGTAGAACTAGAAGAATCTACCCCCGTGGATTAAGTGAAGGGTTTGGTTTGAAATTCCAACATATATCATCTGAAGAAGGTTGGAGCATACAATGGCTAATATGTTGTGAATATGGCAATAAAGATGAGGACAACAGTATGAACAATGTAAATAGTGTAAATATTAGAAAATAAACAAATGAATTTCAAAAATTCACTCAAATGATCGAATGACAAGTTTCACAAGAAGAAATATTATTGCCAAAATTTTTGCAAGATTTTGTTTTGCCCTGAATTGTAGAAATTCTTGAGAAATAATTGGGAAGGTAAGGACTTAACCTTGAGTGTGGAAAATAAAAACATGGCTAATTGCATAAATTAATGAACAGGTTTTCTTGGAAATAAAATCCAATAAGCATAATAATGGAGGTGGAAAATGTTTTAAAATTCAAAGTAAACAGGATTAAGAAACTGTCTGCCATTGCTCTTAAATTAGTCAGTTAGGAACATATCAATGGTTGAGATGAAATATTACTGTTATTTCATTATTTAGACTTGTGTCATTACCTTCATTGTTTTTCTTTAACCTTCCTCAAGTAAATGCCACAGCCAGGCACCTTTATTAAGCTCACAATGTTTTTTCTATTTATTGGGTGGGGACCAAGAGGATAAATTTTTACTGATCATTTAAAATAATTCACAGATAGAAAGATCAATATTCTAATTTAAAATTTCCTGAATAAATAGAAAGCTTGAAAATCTTATTTTAGGAAGTAAAATATTATTTGTGGTGATTAAATGATTCTTAGCTTTCAGGAATTCAATTCTGCTATCAGATATTTAATTTCCTAGAAATCTGATAAATTTTTCTCAGAAAATAAAAAAAAAAACACTCAAGGAAACTATTTATCTAAAATCATTTGGCAAAGAGGCTAATTATAAACCAATTAGTGGATCTTAGAATATTCACTTATAAAAAGAAAATGTTTGCAAATAATGATTATCATAAATATTAAACAAAAATTGGTTAAAATTTAAGTTTACCTTAATAGTTTCCATCCATCGCGGATTATTGTTGTGATAGAACACAGTGGAAAGGTAGCTGGTTGTAGGAGGCTCACTAATTCCACCATAGATACAATCCTAAAAGAAAAGCAAAAATGTATAAATTTCTAGAATTTTCCCATTTTTTTGCTTTAAATGACAGAATCCAACGTCATAATGGCATTGTGAAATCAGCTATTTCCTTGTATGGATTGATTGACTGACAGAGTTGTTTTTTATGGATTATCAACCCATTGTGGGTTATTTAAAAGTAAATCATATTTTGGATTGTAAAATTGTTTTTTGTAAATAAATATTCTATTAACAATTTTTTGAAGATAATGATTTTTCCAGATACAAGTCCTACTATTTAACCCAAAGTTGGGGGTAAGAGATAGATTGATACCTTGCTCAAGAGTCAAACTTGACTGGAATTTGAACTTGGCTCTCTAATTTCTCATTTCAAACTGATATCCATTACACCACCTGCACATATAGAACCATTTGACATTCTTTGACTGAACTTTTTGAATGGTTGAACTTTATAAAATCCTTTTAAAATAATTTTTCAGGGAAACAGGTTTCTCAAGTCCATTAGCTTTTATTGCTCTTTCTAGTATTGATGGGAGTTTACTTTCTAACCTTTTGTTTGAAGTTGTGTAGAAAGTCAACATCTTTATTATATCATTATTTTTCCTTTGAGCTACATGTGCATTTTAGTTGTTGAGTTGCCTTCAAGTGACACTATTTGTTATTTTGTAAAATTCTTTGTTTGTGATTCTGTAGAACCAATTGACAAGATCTGATAATATTGATAATGATTTGGGTTGATTTGACAAACATTGATACTTTCCTATTGTGTATTCAGAATAAAAGTTCACCATTTTTTTTTCAATTCTTTTTAGAAGAAAAATGGTTCTTAGAGAAAAATTAAATTATAAAAATCTTGTCAAACAATTTCAGTTTTTGTCAACAAAAAATATCTCAAATTGAGGTGAGAACACACAAAACAAATATAAAAGAAAACAGAAGGACAAAGTAAGTAGGGTAATGGTTAAAGAGCAATCAGATACTTCTATGATGATGATTCTTGTGTTGATTATCTTCAGGATGTAACAGATCATGGCTCTCCGCAATTTCCTATCCCTGGTAGCTCTAAGCAATATTTGACTCTTTTACCATTCTTCTTTGTTTCCATTCTGCCATCCAATCACACTAACTCATTAGATAAGTCACTTGTTGCTTCCCTCTAACCCTCCTGCCTTTACTTTTAAGTTCTCCAAGCCCTCTTTTCTCACGATGTTATCTCAGAAATTTAAACCATCTCTTTCTGATTTTAAGTTGAAGTTATGACACTAATTTTATTACTCCTGACATTTTTATTACATTAATCTTTGCTATTTTTATCACAGTGTTTTGGAGGCTATGTTCTTTGTCTTCTAAAAACTACTAAATGCAACATAGAACTCATGAAGGCCAAAAGTCATATTTATTGAAAGTAGTGATTAAAAATAACATAGGTACTCATCTAAAAAACATAATTGTCTTTAAACAATAACCAAGACAGCAGAACATAAGAGAATTAAATTTTTTCAAAGAATTATTTCACAGCTAAACATTTCAAAAATTATTTCAAAGGAAAACTTTTATGCATTGAAATGTTCATAATAATTTAAAATAGAAACTGTTTTGAATCCTGACACAGACTCAAATCAAACGTACGTGTTTTTTTTTTGTTTTGGGGGGAAGCACATTTTAAGAACTAAAACATGATTTAAGTCAATACATCCAAAATTCAAAAGGAAGATATTTAATTCTTGGAATTCTTGTAGCACTTAGCAATAAGTTTCTTCTGAAGACTAATTGAATGGAATTAACAGTCACATGTTTCTACTAATGTAACACAATTTGTAGTAATAAGTAATTCTAATGAATAATTAAGATGAATAAAACAGAATCAAAAGACCTTTTAAGAGTAATGTAAATTATGAATGTGAGGCGAATGAAGAAAACAGTAACCAGCGAGTAAATTCAAGCTCTCCCAGCTGGTATTTCAAACTTGAGTCGTTCCTTCCTGAGTTCTGTCTCCAAATCACACTAACTGCCCGTTCTAGCCGTCAACCGTGAACGTTTTTCGAAGAACTCCCGACTTGGAAAAAAGTAGTTGTTTTTATAGTTGTTCATGTACCCATAATCCCTTGTGTCTTCCTGTGATCCCATAATTCATTGCGTCCATGTCCCATAATGCATTGCATCGTTATTGGATAAAATGCGATGCCAGTCCCCCCCCTCATTCTTTTACGTTATCTGACCGAGGATGGATTACGTCAGAGCGTAAGTGCTTTTTTTTCTCTCCTCATTTCAACTGCAGTAGCTTTACATGCTAAGCAATATTACGGGCTCTTTTTTTGGCGGGGACAAGGCAAGTCGCGACCAGTTGTGCTCGTCCCAGGTTCTGTCTCATGTCCGCCACAGAATGGAACAAAATTAGTAGCAGTCATAGGTTTCTGATGAAAAATGGAAGAGAATTAGCAGCCATATGCTATTGAAAATTGCTAAAGAATAATTTATAGCACTTAGCAGTCACAGACTTTTGATGACAAAAACTGGATTCTTAAGATCAATGTAACAATTCATTGTTTGAAAGTTTTAAAATTTTATAGCAGGATTGATGATATGAAACATTTTTTTTTTTTTCAATTCTGAATTTAACAAAATCTTGTGTTTGGTGGGAGTTGAACCAATGTACTTATATAAATATGGTATGTACATTGGTTTATGATTTGAACATTAAAAAAATGCTCTGAATTTCTTATAGTATCCTGCCTGCCATTTTGTTGATTAAACACTAGAGAATAGAACAAAGGCAGAACTTTATAAATTACTAGCAGTAGAGCCCGGCGTTGCCCGGGGATGTAACAGTAAGAGATAGATCAAGTATCGACCATCATAAAGACTGAAAAATAAAATTGACAAAGATTATTGTTTAAGGTTGACGGACACGCATGTCTTGATTTTTTTTTTGTTTGTTTTTTTTTTTACGAATTGGTCAAACCCAAACTCAAACAAAAACATTGTTTTCAATTGTTATGAGTCTACCGATTGAATAGAATTTTATTATACACAATTGTCTTGTAAATGGAATTTTTAAAGCATTCTGAATGTAAAAATAAAGAAAAAAGTGTGCAAGACAATAAGAAACACTACCTGCCAAAAAAAAGTGAAGTTTTGTTGAAATCGGTTGAAAAATGTAGGAAATCCGATCCCATATATAAACGAACACAGACACAAGCACACAAACAACCTGGGTTTTATAATAAGTATAACTCGATATGAGTTGTCCCCCTTTCATTCTCGACAGTGATGCCTCTTAATCTGGTTTTCAAATTGATTTCATGCAAAAACAATTGTGTTTTTTCCAATTTTTGGTGCTGTCAGAACCACCGCAAGGTAATTTTACGTAGCCCTGTGAAGTTTTGCTGAAATCAGTTGAAAAATGTAGGAAATCTGATCCAATATATAAACGAGACAGACACACAACCTGGGTTTTATAATAAGTATGATTATCATTTAAATGAAAGTCTAACATTTGTATTGACAAAACAAAGAAACAAAAAGAATACCAGAGATGTGTACATATGTTCTTTTTGCTAATCATAAAATTAATATAAAAAAAAAGAAATAAAAAAGACAGTTTTACTTACATGAATTATGTTTCCATCACTGTCAAATGCTGTCATCTCCACCTCTACATTCTTTGCTGCTTTTTTGTTGCCTCTTTCAAAGTCTCCACAGTTGAGAACAATGTACAAGTCATTCCGAACTTCACCTTAGATAGGAGGGAAAAAAAAAGGTAAGCATAAATCTATGGAAGAAGAGATGGCATGAAATAGGAATTTATTAAAGATGTCCCCAAATGGAAGGTCTTTGGAAATACAGAAATGAAGTTTTCAATATTGTAATTGAAAGAAAGATTGTATTCTACCCATTTTTCTATCTCTACCCAATTTAGTCCAAACTAAACAAACAACTTTATTACATGCTTATATTTTCAAGATTTCAGCATCTACAAGTAGTCCCTGGTTATTGTAACTAGTCAAAATATAAACTAAGAAAAATAAAAAAAATGATAGGGATATTAGTCTGAATAACAAGTAAAATGATGAGAATTTTAAATAATATGAATATCAGCTTCAGATGCTGCTAAAATTCCAAGGCAAAAATTTTGCTTCATTTCTTTAATCTTAATGAAAATAAAGAATTAAACAGGCAAGATTTTTTTTCATTTCACTCCAAGCAAGGCAATAAAGCCACTAAGATTCAAGAAGCTACTGAGAGTGAAAGAATCTGAGAAAAACATTATTACAGACAATAAAAGATCAGGATTCAAGGAAACAGATGACAGTTGACATGGCATTTAAATTTTTGAAGATCCTAGTTGACAGGAAAACAAGAAGCCAGAAGAGAGCTCTACAAGTAAGACGTGCAAGAGTAGAAACTGTTAGCATAGAATATATGGTTATATCTAGCAATTTCAACAGTAAAATGATGAGATCTAACTGCCAATCTAATGTTGCACTTAAATTTGTAAAGTCAGGGTACCAAAAAGGAAAACTCATCAGAACAATTAAGCATGAAAATATTTATAGAAATGCCACAGGGAAGCTATGTTACAGCAGTTGGAAAGTAAATGAAGCTAAGATGCCAGGTCATAACCAATAACATTGCAGATTCTTAAATGGTACATTTTTAACTTGGAATTCCTTTTAATTGCTATCTGAATGATAACTTGTTGAATATCAGTTACAAATGAATGATGACAGACCTGATGAAGATTTCAAGTGGTTTTGTTAGATTTCCTTCCTCTTCCCTAATTAGTATATAGCAATGCTTGGCCAATCATGTGACCCATAACTTCCAGTTTGTGGGTAGAGACTATGAAGAGAAGATGCTTTCCAGACATGTGGGAAAATACAATCTCTTACAAGATAGATGTAAGAGATTGTATTTTGTGAGTAGATAAACTATGGTAATATTCAATAGCTTTCCTTTCAGGATCAGAGAGAATGCATGTAACACATTTGTTACATGCCTTTATTAGATTTTTTTCTCCTTTTAAAAAATAAAACCATTTATGTTCTTCTGACTTCTTAGCTATTTTTATTTTTAATGTTGGGGTTAATATCTGTACCTATGGCAGGTACTATTAAGGCCACCCACATATATTTGGTAAACCCAACATTTTGATTATTAATAATAATTGTTAAATAATGGTAAAAATTAGAAAACAAAAACTTACCAGGCAGCAATGATTCTGGAAACATACATTTCTGCACAAGGTCCACACCTTTGTTGAACAAGACTGGATGTACAGCCTTGAGTGACATTAAGTCGCCAAACATAATCTGAAGACCAATATGAAGACCTGAGGAGTAGGAAGTGAAAAAAAAAAAAACTCAGTAGAAGATCAATGAGTGGGGAAAAAGGACAGAACCAGTTACATGAAAGGGTGTGGCAGAGAGAATATGAAATACATTTTGATATGTTAAAAATAATAATCAACATCAAAATAGTGGAAGAGGATAACAAGTGACAAAATAAATTATGAATGAAAATGATAATTCATGTTTGACTTCTGAAATAAAAAGAAGCATTTTACTTAAGATAAAACAAACCAGATACAAACAAAAAATATGAATAAACTAATCAATTATTGAAATGAAATTTTTTATATATAATTCAAATTATTTATGCTTTAACAGAAAAGTGAAACCAACATTTTATAAAATTAAGAAAATTGATTTTAAGCAAAAAATTATCAAAATTATTAGTAATATAAAATTAAGAAATTCTTCCCAAAAATATGAAGTTTTTAGTAACTTCAAATTGATTAATGGTGAAAATTAATTTTGTTCCAAGATAATCCTCAGTAGAATTTTAGCTTTTGGCTAAAACAATTTATTTGACTGAAAAGTTTAAGGAGACAAAATGTTTTAAAATAATGAAGATAATTAAATGCCATCATTCAAAACTGAAGTAAAATATTTTGCATCAGTCACAAGTGCAACAATATAAAATAATAAAGAATCCATAATTACAAGATATGTAGTATGTAATATTTGCTTTTAATGAAATTTAATAAGTGAAAAAAAAAAAAGCAAGGGAGTGGGGTGGTAATGTCAATAAGGACATTTCCAATGAAAGAACAAAGTAAAAAATTAATCAAAACAGAAATAAATTTTGATTTGTTAATTTTTGTTTTTAATCAACTAATGTTACTTTTTGTTGATATGTGTAGACATTTAAATTTACTTTGATGTTTCTTGATTAATCATTTTGATCCTCACCATGCAGAGATCTTTGTTTGGTCTCCTATCTATAATATCAATGTACTGGATACAGTATAATTTTTTGAATAAAAAATATTTCTCTGAATAAGATACTCATTTTTGTATTGAAGTAGCTTGTAAATATTTGTGCAATCCAGATAAAAGTATCATATTTGTTCACTTTACTTCCTCCTGAAACTTGAGCTGTACACATCAAGCCACCGTCTTATTAGATGCAATGAAAGATTTGGATACTCTTGTTTTTTTAAGTTCTTCTTGCAAATAAATACAGTGAATATGATAAATAAAGAGAGATTCTATTTTAGTCTCCCATGTTTGGTTCATATTTGACAGAAAACAGGACAGCAGCATTGAAGAAAAGTTACCTTGGCCTGTAAACTTGGAAACAGAATGAACATTTTCACTTTCAGCTTTTACACATCAAGTATGAAGAAGAAATTAATAAGAATCAATTCAGTTGAACTCAATATTAACTATTCCATAAGTAAAGTGAATGAATGCCTCAAAATTGTATCAAAAGAAAACGTACACATATTACTTATATATGCATAATGATGATCTCCCTACAGAAAAATGGAAAACTCATTCATAACAAAAACACATACACGCATTCAGTATGCATGTGTGCACAAATTCACCTAAACAATAGCAAGAAAAAAAATTAAAGACTTGCCCATAATATTCTTACAGAAATTCCTGAAGCTTGAATAGAAACATTTGTTAAAAGAACAAGACAAAAATAATTTCATTTTCAAAAAAAAAAAAAAAAAAAAAAAAGACACTGCACAAGAAACAGAAATTCAAGCAAGACTAAAATATTTCTTTCTCAATGACAAAAACTATATTTACCATTTCCAAAGAAGCCAGAATAAGGAAATGTATATCAAATTCATTAAAGCAGTTTTTCATTTGTTTATAGTTTTGCCTTGGAAACTACTCAGTTTTGCGAGAATTCACATCTGAAGGCAATTTTTATTTTAAAATTTACTAAATATAATTAATAATATTGTAAAAAAAATTAATATTTAAAATCATCAATAATAACTTCTTTAATAATAATATTAAATACAGGGAGACATAACAAAAATAGATGCTTCTATTTTCAAGCAAAAGACATAACTTTTCATGTTTTTACCCTTTTAGACATCAATTATATCAGATCTGCTACCTCCTCTTCTGAAATATCAGAGCTGACTGCATTCCAACCATAAAACAAATATGTTGTAGATGTTTTTTCTGGCCAGTTTTCTTATTTTACAATTCAAAATGGCCAAAATGTTTAGCATGAAAGGAGAATGATTTGATCATGAACCATTCTCAAATCTTTGTTGCCATATGGTATGGAGCTCCCTTCTTCATAAAAGAAGTCTTTTCTCATATAAATATCCATCAGTGAATACTGGGAAAAGTCCTTACAGGAGGGATACATATTAACTTGATATAATTCATGCACTCCTAAAGCTTTGAAAGGCCACTGCTTTAAACTCTTCCCAACACCATAACCTAAAATGCAGGTAGTTCAAACAATTTTTGTTGAGGCAATTTCCAAACTGAGAGTAATCGGTTGTTCAAAATTTGGGCAAAGTTCTAAATTTCTTTCCATCATCTCAGTTGATCACGATTTCCTCTGATAAATGCTGATTGACTTAAAAAGGACTTTCATCTGGCTGCTATGCAATAATAATCTGTGCTATGAAAACACCATATTACTAACTTTGTTATATCTACCAACTTGTAATGAATTTGTCTTTAATTTTCTATCACAGCAAATCACATATTTCTGGGGTCAAATTTGACCTAAACAAGATTTTGTTATCTTTCATTTATGCAGGAAATTATTCACAGATGAAAGAGGAATTCTCAATTCATTGCCATTTAACAAAAGTTCTTTCCATCTTTGGATTGACTACCAAGAGACTGACAGATTTGTGTTCTTGAATTATGATGCATTATTAAAAGATTGATCAATTTGTTCTTTTATATTTTATAGACAACTGATGAGATCTTTAATTAAATGAAAAACATGAATCAACTAATATATTTACTCATTTCATGTATCTATTTATACATAAAATGCTGATCAAATTACTCTTCTTTTTTTTTTTTTTTTTTTCAAATGAGGGTTAAAATGATATTTTTATCTTTGGTGAAATTTTAAGAATAAAAATTTGATCTTTTTTCTATCAAAGAATGTTTTTGTAGATTTTGCTTAAATATAAGCAAAATAAAATGCTCACAAAACATTTTGAGTTTCATTATTATTGTGTGTGTGTGTGTGTGTGTGTGTCCGTGTTTTAATATTAAAACCTCTATCGATTTTTAAAAAACCTGAAAACCTCTTTCTCGCTCTCACACGTGCACAATCGCCCGTTATTATCAAGTGTAAAATCTCATTATGCTCATCAGTGGATATTAATCAAATTGTCAAATTTATTTTTTAGCAGAGAACATTTTTTTCTGGAGATATTTTGGAAACTAAACAAAAAAAAATGAAATTTACAATTTTCATTGCTTATAAATTTTTCTTTTTCTTAAAAAAAATTTTAATTTAAATATTTTTTTGTGGATTTTTTTTTTAAAAAGCAAGTCCAGAATTTTATAAAATATTTTAAAGTTATTTTCTACATGAATGTAAATTTTAATTTTTCATTTTAAGAGACAGTATTTTTTTTTTTAATAAAACCTGAAACGATCTGGTGTCTAGTAATTATAAAAAAAGTACAAAAGTCAATAGATTTAATAATGCAACATTATTTACCAAAAAAGTTAATAATTTGTGTTTCCTATTTTGCTTTCAAAACCTAACTGATATGATCTATCAGTGAGTTTATGAATTTAGAAAATGTGAAGTGAAAGAGTTTTTATCATGCATCCATAATTGTCTGTTTCAGTTCCTCAAGAATAAAATAGTCACTGTTAGCACTGTGCACATTACTTGACATCATTGCCAAACTTTTTCTATAGGAGTGAAGTCCGGGGTGAAGGCAGACCACCTCATTAAAGATAAGTGATAACTGTGGTATCTTTTTTAGAATGGCAACTTGTATTGTTTTGTTGAAAGATTAACTGTTTCCTATCTTTTTTTTTTTTTTTTTTTTTACGGATTGGTAGATCTGGGATCAAGCTGCATTCTAGCATTTATAGGTACTCGAAAACCATCAAATTTCCATTAAAAATAATCAGACATTGCCCACTACCAGTAAAGCTACCTGAAATCCATAATTTCTACACTATTGAACATATTAACAACTCTTTTCAGTGTTTCTTATCATTGATCATGTGACTCCATTGTAGGAAATAGCTGTAGGAGTCAGAGCTGTAAAGAATGAAGTATTTTCTTGTCCATCCAGCTTACATCAAGCAAATTAGGTTACACTCTGAGGATCATCTCTGCCCACCGACATCTGGCGTCTCTGTGTCATTTATATAAACATGGTTTTGGTCTAGCTCACATCAGTACTAGCAGAGAGTTACTGTTAAGTCGTTATGAATAGAAGAAACTTGCTGTACCTGACTTTTTGTTTGTGTGTAAATCTTTCAAACACCTTTTAATGGATTTTCTATTGCATCTTTCACAATTCTTCATCTGTTCATTTCAGTACTTCACAATAAGCATCAAAATTCCTTAAAAATAGCGGTTCACTGTAAGATTTTTTAAAATATTTTACAAGCCTTTGCAGCATCTTGGAGCATAATTATCATCGTGTTTTGCTCTAAGTAAGAATGTTTTTCTTCTGATGCGAGCAAGGAACATTTTGGCATTTTTTAAAAAAATATTATTCATCTAGTACAAGAGCACTTAAGGTAGAGAGTTATTGAAAGTAGATAACAGTTGACCCGGGAGATGAAGAGATGGAGATTGTAGTGATCAGGGAAGCATCCTTGCAGGAGTCATTTCTAAAATAGCAGTTCTTGGGATAAATGAAACTTCCTCCTTACCAATGGAATATGAAGGGCATGAGAATGATGTATATGTGATATGGCAGGTTTTGGCTGTAATTTTCAAGGAATATTTTAGGGAATCCTTCAGTATTAGAATTACAGAAAAGAGTCAAAATGCAAAACACTTTCCCCTCCCTAACTAATAGGCAGAAGCACACAAATGCATGCTGGGATTTCTTCCTAGCCAATAAGATAGTCCCAGTCTGTCTTGCCTTGAAGTCGGAATGTTATGTCCGCTTATCTGAATTTGCTCATCTGTTAACCTCAATTCTTAGTTTGTGACATTTTTTCCATATTATTGTTAATTTGCCTTGCATATATTATTTGCTTGCTTTATATTATTTTGCCCTGTTCTTTTTTTGTTTGTTGTTATTCTAATATTGCAAACTGTCAGATCTGTTTGTTAGACAGTTCTACCATTTATTTTACATTTAATCACTCGCTCTATATATTTAAAAAAATCAATATCAAGACTTCAATATAAAAAATGCTGCAAGAAAGAGAAAATGTTATAGAACAAAATAGAAAATTTACACTTTACAAAAAAGAAAAAATATTTGGCAAGAAATTCTAAAATATCTAAGATCCAATGTGAAAGAATTAAACAATTGCATGAAAAGGAAGTCTACCTCCTTTTGACTAAGACAAAAAAAATGCACAAAAAGCAATGATTCTACAAAAACGATACTGAGAGATGTGCTTGCATTCAGAAAATAAAGAGACATCACTTTGTGTTCTACAAAAGATCAGTGTTCTTTAAAACCAAAACATTCAAAATGTATTGACATTAAATACACAATTGCAAATAGTCAAACAGTTGAAGGTCAAATGAGAAGAGAACATGCTCAAATTGAAAGATGGTGCAGTTAGGCGATAAAAAAAGATTTTTGGCCATGAATTGTGCAAGTGCACTCTTATAACTGCAAAGAAAATTAATTGGACAATACTTGAATTGTTTTTAATTCAGAAACAAAAACAGTTATAATTTGCAACAGTTAAAATGACCTAGATTTACAAGTACATAAATCAATTCCAATATAAATAGACTGTGAAAGGCTTGCACAAGATCTATAAAGAACCTTGACAAATGAATTGAAATATTCATTGAAAAAATAACATATACCATGAAGATAAAAAAAATAACACGATTAAAATTTTAATTATTTTCATTGTCTGAAAAATTTTCAATTCAATGTCTGGATCATAATGAAATCATAATTAATGGTTGTTTAAAAGATAAGTTTTTAATTTTATGCTTGAATGTTATTCATGATTGAATTTTTACAAGAAAATAAATCAAAATGAACTTTGGAGATAGAAAATGAATATTTTTCATTCTATTTAATATCCTACATGCTTTTGTTAAATTTTACATATCATTGGATGAAATTTAATTAAGAAAGATAATTCTTGATCAATTTGAGAGACAACCAAGGTGCAAAAAGTTTGAGAAAGAAAAGAAAAGTATCTAAATGAACGTGTAAATGATTCTTTGTGCTATATTACAAGTGCTATAGACTCTCTGTATACACTGTGTGTAAACTACTTCATGTGTTTGCAACAATATTTGCATCGATCAGATGAAAATCCATTGAGCCAATCAAAAATGCACATTTGTTAAGGAGATGTGCATCTGACTGTGTAGGATTAGAACAGAAATTTATTATTTTTTTTACAGTTTTTGGTTTTTAAATTTTTATTTTTCTTTGCTCTCTTAACTTACTACATTGATGTAGACCTGAATAGTATTCTACGAAGAAAAGGCAGATGGGAAAAAGGTAGCCAGCTCCTTTTGTCGTCAGTCTGATTGGAATCTGTCCATATAGAAAAGTAGTTTGCTTTGAGCTGCGGAGGCAGCTGCTTCCATAGGAAAATTCAAGGAAATATGAATAGCAAGGAGGAGATACAAAAGATTCATGCAAAGGAGAGAAATAATTAGGACAAGAGAAGGTAAGTAAATAGAGAAGTGGGTAACAAGAAACAAAGAGAGAGAGGAGCAGGGGAAAGGCGTAATAGATAAAGATAAAAAGAGAAAGAGGAAAAGGATAGAAAAAGAAAGAGAGCAGCAGTAAAGAGAGAGAGAGAATGTAGGTATGGAAAAGAGAGGAGATATGGGAGAATGAAGGTAAGAGAGAGAGAAGAGGGAATGAAGGCAAAATGGATGGAGTTAAAAGAGGAGAAACAAGAATAGAGGTAAAGGAGAGAGTGAGGGGGTAGAAATGGTAGAATAGAGAAAGAAAAGATAAGTTGTGGAAAAAGAGATAAGGAAAAGAAAAGAGGAGAAACTCAGTAATGAAAGTAAAGAATAGAGATAGAAAAGAAAGATAGCAGAAATGGAGGTGAGAGAAAGGAGAAACGAAGGAATGAAGGTGAGCAAATAAAGATGGTGAGGATGGAGGTGAGAGAGAGGAGAAATGGGGGAATGAAGGTAAAGAAGAAATAGAGAAAAGATAGTAGAGACTGAGGTAAGGGAAAAAGAGAGAGAAGAGAAATGGAGGAATGACGGAAAGGAAGAAAGAGAGAGAGAGAAGAAAGAGGCAGGGATAGAGGTAAGAAAAAGAGGTAGATTCAAAAAAAAAAAAAAAAAAAAAAAAAAAAAGGAAAACAATGAAAACTCATTTGAATCCTAAACCTTTTAAAATGATTAACACTATGGTTTTTTCAACCTTGATGATTCAGACATTGAAAAGAAGAGTTGAAAAATATTTGGTAAAGAAATTTATTTATTTAAAGATTTTGCTTTTTAAAATTTGTCGGCTTGAATAAATTATATGTATTTTTCACATCTGAATGAAACTTGGTTGAAAAGTAAAATATTTATTTTCACTATAAGGATTTTGAAAAAAAAGAGGTATTGTTTTTGTTCCTTGTGCAAGTGGCGCTTTCAAGAACTCAAAAACTGACGTTCTCAAAATTACAAAAAACACAGAATCAGGAACCAAATAAAAATAAAAGTACAACATCAAAAGGGAAACAATTTTTCACACCATTGATGAGCTTGACAACGACACAGCAACATGCAAACCCTTTGAGTGTTGCTTTGACAAGGAGAAGAGTATTATAATCATTTGGGTTTTTTTTTCACAATTTACTTAAATATTGTCTTTTTAAAAAAGCAAATTGGTCTATTTTGTAATCTAAATATTTAGAAGCTGCTGTTTCTTCAAAAACAAATTAACAATCCTCTAAAATCTAAAAATAAATAAAACTTTTGATGGTTGTTCATTGAAAGTAACTATTCTATACGTCATTTTCAGTATGCATTTCATGATGTGTAAGCACCATTTTTTTTTTCAGAAAAATGAATCATTGTTACTTATTCTGTCAATTTTGCAACACAAAACTTTTCCAAAGACACTTCATGATGCCAAGGTAAGCCACTTGGAAAATGCACTTATTAATCAGTGTGCATCATTTTATGCAGAAAGGTCTGAGCTATTGTGAGTGAGTTTTAAAGATATGCATTGTAAAATTAAAGCTTTGATGAAAGAAGTGGTTAATTTCAGGACAAAAATGTTAAAGAAAGCACAATTCTAATATCTAAACAATATTATAAAACCATTACATCAGAATCTTAGTTTTATAGTGAATAACTTCAATACAGATTCTAGACACTTATTAGAGCAAAATATAATAAACATTTAAAAAATACACACACATTTCCAATGCTCTATCCACTGGCTTCCAAAAAGTATCTTTGATGCAGGAATGGCAGAATAAACAACAATGTTTCTTATATTTCTAAATAAGAAACATTTACAAATCAAAATAAAAGAGCAAAACTAAAAAGTTGGAAAGTGAATGAAAATGAAGACAAATAAAGAGAATGTTAAAAAAGGAAAATATCTAAAAACAAAAATGGATGCAGTATATTAAAAAAAAAAATAAATGTTAAAACTACTCATACGATAAAATAACTTTTCATTTAAAATTTGTGATCTCACTATACAATATTAAGTGCAGAATGTCTATAAAAGTTATAATTAGGTTTCAGAATCAATGAATTTCTGTTTTTCTCAAGATGGGTTCAAGTCCAGATAAAAATTAGCATTCAAATTTTGGTTTTTAAGCAAGCTGTTTCTAAAATATAAAAAACAGTGTTTAGGAAAAAAGTTACAATTTTTGTTTGAATCAGTTCTAATATTTATACTATCACAAGAGAATAAATGACAATTTTTAAGATTTATTTTAAGGAAATCAATAAATGTATTTTTGTTTTGACACAGACAACCAAAACTAATAGATAATCTGAAGAAATGCTATGAAAATATAAAAATATTTGCACCATTTCCAAATGACATGAGGAATTAAGGCTGCATTTTTAGAGGATTGGGTGAAATATCAGAAAAAAAAAAAAAAAAAAAAATTTATTGGAGGAAAATAAAAGCAAAATGATCTTACAATAGAAACAATAAAAATAATAAATAACTAACTACTTTTTCATAAATGAATCTAAGAATAAACTTTCCTGAAAACAGCTTTTATTTAAGGAAATCATTTTCTGATATTAAACAAGCTTCAAACTTCTACTAGCTATGAACCTACATACTTCTTTTATGTGCCAAGTCCTTTCAGGATGTAGACAATCATAACTTCCTGTCTTTGGCTGCTCTAAATATTTTTTGACTTTGTTCTTGTTCTGCCATTCAATCACACAAGCTTATTAAATAGGTTAATTACTGTTGCTCCCTGTTTCTCTTGTCATCAATGTCCTATGAGTATTAAATTCTCTAAGCTCTCTTTCCTCATTGTCTAAGAAATCTCAGCTGTTTTTTTCTAATTATAAGTTTCCTCATTATTGTGGAATTACAATTCATCTTAAAACTGATTTCTCTGGTAAGCTATACAGAAAAAACTGTTTTGACTTATTAACTGATAGAAAAGAGAGTGACATAACTACCCAGGAAACTTAAGACATAAACTTTAATTCATCAATTTATCTTAGTGATGGTTGTAATAAAATTTATTCTTAATTAGGAGGGTTTATTATTTGGCTTCAGTAATTGCTAAAATGTAGAATATTGTCTAAGAATTAGAATCATATATGCATTTCAGATTCAACAGAAAATGCCTGAAAGTAAATGATTAGTTGAAAATCTTCTCTAGAAAGTTGAAACAGTTTCAAAGTCCCAATGGACTTTATGGAAAACTACACAAGCAGATCTTTGTTTATAAAGTCACATCAATGAATTCTCAAAATTTCTATTGGAAAAAGAACACATCTAACAAAAAGAAGTTTGGAAAAATCATTTTGAAATCTAATTATGAACAAATTTTGTCATGGTATCATGAACTTATGACTTGAAGGAATTAGGAACTGAGGGGAAATAACAATGGAAGGTGGGATTCAGATCCAAAATAAAAATATCCGTCATGCAAATCCAAAGTTAAAAATACCAGGGGGTGTAAACAAAAAGGAGTCAAAAATCCATATCTATGACTTACAACATGTAACTGCTTATTTCACCTATGAAGAAAAGAGAATCCTTCTGTTGTCCAAAGTAGCATTCTTTTATTGGGGGTAAGAAAGGCTGTGTTTGGTCAAGTCTGGTAGGTAAGCACAAAGATTACCTTATTTTAAGGCATTATTAAACTAGATCCAATGTTGATTTTGAATTTCTTTTTTGACAAACAGCACAAATTGTTTTTTTTGGAGCTAAGAATTTGTTTTCTTCTTCATTGCCATCATAAAGTTAATCACAAGCAAGGGAAGTGCAAATTGCAAAGTTACTTGCTTTTCTAAAATGATGCTTTTGTTCATTTACAAGATACTACATATCAGTGTTATAAGAAATAACAATATATATATATATATATATATATATATATATATATATAATGAAAAGGAAATTTACTTTTCAGAAAATATCACTTTATGCTACGAATGTGCCAACAAACAAGGCAATTATTATTAACACCAATTGTAAAAGTAGCTTAATTCACTTCACACATTGATGCTGTACCTGTGAAGGAAAGAGTGATAGCCTGATAGCAGGAAAGAAAAGAATAACAACTTACACTGCAAGAAAAGAAAAATATAAGATGGAGAAAGAAATAACCATGACTAAAATACAAATTTATTAATAAAAACAAGGAAGAAGAAAAAATATATATATTGGCAAAAGAGCCAATATAAAGGATTCTTAGTGAATACAAAATGGAAAAAATTCACTCATATACCTCCTAAAAATATATATTATAGATAATGAAGTACTTTCACTTAAATAAGAAAATATATCAAAATTCTTGAATCAATGAAAGTCTTGAGTAGCAGAGACTTAACATTAAGCAATTAATCACTGCTCTTTATGTGGGGTGGGGGACTTTTGCCCCTTTGGCTCTTAACCAGTTATGTATGAATGTTGATGAAGGAAAGAAATGAATTCAAATCTTACTGATAAAAAAAAAAAGAAAATGAGCTGTTTGTTCACTAGTTGCTGTCAATATACAAGCAGAAAGAGTATTTATGTATTTAATAGAACAAGTTTTTTGTCCCTTTAGGATGTTGGAGATTGTGGCTCTATTTCTTTTTTTTTTATTATCTGTGAATTGCCATGACTTAAAATAGTGAAGTGGTTTCCTGTTGCCTTCTCTGCAGCTTTGAATCTAGAGTAATAGTAGTCCTTTTAAACTGGCTGCCACCCAGTCTACATACTATTTAATCCACAGGTGGAGGTGTAGAAAAATAGATTCATGCCTTTTGCAAGAGTATTAGTGTAAAAGTGAATGCAACAGACTAGACCAAAACTTGAACTGGCTTTCTATACCACCAACACAATAGACCACAATAGACAATTACTAATGCCTAACAAATTTTATTACTGTGTCTCTCTAAAGAAATAAAATCAATTGTGTTGGCAGAAAAAAGAAAAAACCAGAAAAATAAATTCTATAATGAAAACAAGAGAGACAACTTTTTTATTCATTTAGTTTGTAATTTGATCAGTTATTCAAATATCTTTATTATTTTGTGACATATTTTTTGATGTTTTTATCCCTAGCCCTTGGCTGAGATTTTCTTCAGCCTTCAAGTTTATTATTTATCATGTAAGTCTTTTTCCTTCTTACAGATGATTCAAGATCTGTCTGTCAAATATTTCTGCAAACAAATAGTATTTATCTTGTATACCCCCCAAAATTCAAAGTCTTTTGTTATGTGGATCTGAGCTACTAGATCTTTCCTCAGACATCAGTGTGTACCTCTGAATGATACCTCTCAATGCAAGGGGGAAGTGGTGCTTGATGGAACAGATTCACACTCACCAGACAATAATTGATTGATTTGGTTTTTTTTATGGCTTATCAACCCTCTATGGGTTATTTAAAGCCAAAACATATTTTGGATTGTAGGAGGTTGCTTACAGTACTCAACATCTCCCTTCTAAGTACTAACCAGGCTCGAGTTTGCTTAACTTCATTGATCAAACGAGAACTAGTGTTTCAGTATGATTTAACAATGTTCATTGGACTAAGTAATTTTAGCATACTTTGTCCAAAGACAGATGTCATCCATTTATCAAAGTGAGAAAAGAATTCCAGCCACATCTGAGCAGGCAAATACTTAGGTTATTTTGCCAACACAAACAGAAAATCATAACACAATTTTTCAACTGT